GCTTCTATTTAAAAACTCAGTGTCTGCTTAACTGTGTTTTCTCTTTCTTATATGTTATTATATGTTCAGATATCTCTTAATAAATAATTATTTCTGATGAGAAGATAATGTATAAATAATTATTTTCTAATAAGAAGACAATGAATGTTTTTATAGTGTAAGAGATTTACACTGAATAGATCAGTATAATATTGATAGATCTTATATAACAAAGATAAAAATGTTAGAGAAGAAAAGAAAGAGAAAGTGTGAGAATTGATGATCAAGGTGAATATTTATACGCGTATGTGGTGGTGTATGTGGTGGAGCTTCGGGGTGGAAGAATATACGCGCGTTCGTAGCAGCCGAGGATCAGTGATCGAGAATGGCTGAGAATCGGAGCGTATGCTGAATCTGTGAAGTGTAATGAAATAGTCTATATGATTGATCAGAGTGGCGGCCGAGGATCGGCGATCGAGAATGGCCGAGAATCGGAGCGTACATGAAATCTGTGAAGTGTAACAGAATAGTCTATATGATTGATCAGGCGCAGCCCGTCACAGTAATGAAACTATCAAAAAATCTAGTTCTAGTCTCAGACACGGTCACACAGTCAGTCTAGATATATCAATCTTGATTGATTAGTAAACTGATGATATCTTCATCTATACTCAGTTTCACAAGCATTTTTATTCTTCATAATGAGTAGAGAGTGAGATTGAAAGTATTAAAATATATAGAAGCATCTAGACTGACTGTCAGAATCATGAATTTCACATTTGATCTCATTTAATCTGATCTCATACATTTCTTGGCATGAATCCTGCTGAGACTGACTATCAAAAAAACATGTAAAGTGACTATATATCAGATCTTAAAATGAAATCATGACTTAAAAAAAATAAGAAAGTAATCTCATTTAATCTCATTTAGTTTCATTCTTAGTATAAAGTTACTATTTTTAGACATTTTAAGATTTTTTTTAGACTATTTTTAATTTTTTAAAAAGTAACACTTTTTGATAATACTTAAATGAGATTTAAAGTCATTTAAAGTAATAAAAATAATTTAAATTGAGAAGTGAAAATCATGATCTCATTTGAAAAATGTGATAAGAGTAGACAGTAAGTTTTACTGAAACAGTATGAAACTACTATCTAATGTTAAAATCATGTAATGAGATCAGTCAAATTGATAATAAGACTATTAAAAAATCTGATCCTGGTTTCAGACACAGTTATACAGTCAGTTTAGAAGCATCTAAGCATTCTTTCAGTGCTTTTATATTTAATTCTGTAAATGTTGAAATTATATGAGTTCTTTGTTAAGTTAATCATTGAATTTCTTTGTATTAAAGTTATTAAGTTACATGCATATCAGCTATCTATTACTGTTGTAATTTTAACATTACTCAGAGTCACTGTAATATCACTTCTATACTCACATTTAAGAGTTCTTTTATATTGTTATTAGACATGTCATTCATTGAGTGTATAATATCTATGAAATCTTGAAGAAGTATAATTATATGAATATCTCATATATCTGAGATTAGACTGGCCGCTAAGATCATGAATTTCATATTTAATTTCATTTGATCTGATCTCATACATTTCTTGGCATGAATTCTGCTAAGACTGACTATCAAAAAAACATGTAAAGTAACTATATATCAGATCTTAAAATGAAATCATGACTTGAAAAAAATAAGAAAGTAATTTCATTTAATCTCATTTAGTCTCATTCTTGGCATAAAGTTACTATTTTTAGACTATTTTTAATTTTTTAAAAAGTAACACTTTTTGATAACACTCAAATGAGATTTAAAGTCATTTAAAGCAATAAAAATAATTGAAATTGAGAAGTGAAAATTATGATCTCATTTGAAAAATGTGATAAGAGTAGACAGTAAGTCTCACTGAAACAGTATGAAATCACTATCTAATGTTAAAACTGTGTAATGAAATCAGTTAAATTGATAATAAGACTATTAAAAAATCTGATTCTGATCTCAGACACAGTCACACAGTCAGTCTATCTAAGATGTTAGAACTCTCAGATCTTTTACTGATATTCTCTTATAAGATCTTACTCTCTTTATAAGATCTTGTTACAGAGTCAGAGTGACTGATAAGTAAGCTTCTATCTGAGAACTCAGTGTTTACTTAACTGTTTAACTGTTTCTCTATTTCTTATATATTGTTATATATTCAGATATCTCAATGAGTAATCATTTCTAATAAGAAGATAATATATGAATAATCATTTCTAATAAGAAGATAGTGAATATTTTTCTAGTATAAGAGATCTATGCTGAATAGATCAGTATAATATATAGATTCTATATAATAAAGAGAAAAATATTAGAGAAGAAAAAGAAAGAGAAAGTGTAAGAATCAGTGATTAAAGTAAATATTTATACACATATGTAATAATGTATACAGTGAAGCTTCAAGATGAAAGAATCTATATATATTCATAGCAGCTAAGAATCAGTGATTAAGAATGACTGAGAATCAGAGTCTATATATTCAAGAATGAAGCAGTTAAAATCTGTGAAGTGTAATAGAATAGTCTATATAATTAATCAAGCACAGCCTGTCACAACTATGTATATTATTATATACATGTATAAATATTCACTCTAATTGCTGATTCTCATACTTTCTCTTTCTTTTCTTCTTTAATATTTTTCACTTTTATATTATAAGATCTATATATTATACTGATCTATTCAGTGTAAACTTCTATATTATCTTTTCTTCTTTATTTTAAATATTATCTTCAGATATTTTATCTGCTGATCTGATATTAATAATTATCTTATCTGAATAATAAATACTTAAGTATTTATTATTCTCATCATGAGAATCAGCTTTATTAAACTGTTAAGTAGATCAGAAACTTGACCTGACTATATCAGAAGCTATATTCAAATCAGCTTTAAATTAAGAGAGTGTTTCAGAGTATTTATTAATGAAGCTATTAAATGCTTCAGAAAAATATTCACTGATAGAGTATAAGTATAAAGCTCCAGTGGCTGAATGGTTAATGCGGCCACCAAGTAGCGCCTTGGCGTGAGAAACCAAGGTGTGTGAGTTCGAAACCCGCAGGGGATACATTAAATCCGGAACTCAAGCACCTCAGGTTTCTAATAAATACAGAGGTGTATAAATTGCTTCAATAAAATCACTCTATGTTCCTGAACTGAGAAGTTATTATCACATGTATTTAATTGTCACTTCTTTGTATTTCCTATGTTCTTGTTATCTTGACATGGTCTCAACACCTGTATTTCCTTCTGTATAATCAACACTTAGCCTGTATTTAACATTATGCAAGGACTCATCATAAGCTTCACTTGCATATGAGTATAATGAAAGAATAATAATAATAATAATAATAGTATAAGTATAAAGAATTATTATTAACTGAATCAGTGAGTTAAATATAAGATTATAAATATATATATAAGTAAGATTATAATAAATCTATTATTTTAATATTTATTTATTAAATTCTTATTAATATTATTCTCTTTTTCTTACTTTTTTTTTTTTATAATATAATGTGTTTTCTATAAGTTAAGTAAGTAGTAGTATTATTAATTAATAAGATTTTAAACATATTAATACTGATAGAATAAGACAATTTTAACATCTGATAAGTGTATTAAATGAAGTAGTAGTTAAAATAATAATTATATTAATAAGAAATTCTGAATTAGCAGTAATTTTACACAAAACAGATCTCATAACCTGTAAAAGATGTAAAGCTTACTTGATTGAAAATGTTACTAGCTTATGAGAAGTTATATAATAAAAGAATTAGTAAGTCAGATTATATAATCTGATATTTTTCACATTATTTCTGTTATCTCAGTAAGCTCAGATACTTCTTCAGATATTCATTGCTGTTTTAACACTGAATTAATGATTATATTATAAGCTAATCTCAAATAAGTAATAAGCTAACTTAAATAGTAAAATCAGATTATATAAGTGATAATATCTTACAAAGTATCTGAGAAGAAACAGTTTCTAATTATTAATAATATAGAAAGAATTTACTCAGTACTCTGAGTATGAAAGAGAATTTCAACTTAACTTCATAGATTCATCATTTCTATATTATCTTGAAATCTTAGAATAATAATGTTCTTATAATGTATCTGATTTTTATATTTATATTTCAAGTTCTTAGAATAGAAGTATTATCTCAAAGTTGATCAGTGTGTTTTTGAACACAGGAATTTTAATTCAATTTCTCATACAAAAAAAAGCTCTTAGAAATTCTGAGATCAAAAAATATAATCATTTTCAAGAGTATATATCTATCTTAAATATAGATTTTTTTGAAATATTAAAGAAATATTTCTATTCTTCTTCTCTTTAGCTATAAGCTAAGGTGATTTTCAAATCTCAAAGATATGTGAATATATAGTAATAGAAAGTCAAAGTTAAAGAATCTGAAAAATCCTTGTAAATCTCAGGAATCTTCATTGAAGATGAAACCATTTCTTCTCAGATCCTCTGGCGAGGATTGCTCTGAGCACATGACTTGTATCAAAAGTAGGTTAGTGTCATGCTGGATTAACTAGTTAATAATAATGCTGCAACCTGTTCAAACCGAGCCAGAGGTCTGAGCCCGCTGAGATAACATTTCTGAAAAGAATGATTCATTTTCAGATTTTTTGATGCTTGGTCCTGAAGACCAGACTAAATAGAATCAAATGTGAAATTCATGATCCCGCCGGCCAGTCTATCCACAGCTTATTCACCATTATATTAAGATTTACAATTCAGTGATGGTGTCACTGACTGGCACAGTTGAACAACCATAACCCGGTTGTATAATAAGCCCGGACATGCTAGCTTGATCCAACCTGTTGTATTTTTCACCAACTTTTTGCACCGCTCCTGGAACTCTGCCAGTACTGCTTTTGTGCACCCTGCTTCCCCGGAACTTCGGGGGTACATGGGAATCGTCCCTGCACGGTTCCAGGCACACAAGGAAGAGAAGAGTGAATAAACTAGAATTTATTTTGTACGGAATAAAAAAATATTTTTTTAAGAAAGACGTTTGTAGCCTTCAAGCATGAGTAAGGCACCAACCATCCTCCCTAAATGAATTAAATAAATGACAACAATCAAGAAAAATACAATTCCAAGAAAATATTATCAAATTCTCCCAACCAGCCCCAACGCCGAGTCTCACCCAGGGCTAAAATCCCCAAAAAAAAAGAGAATACACATAAAGCCATCCCGTGGGAGAATAAATAAAAGAAAAAGACGTAAAAAGAATACAGAATCCAACCAACATTCTCCCAGGCTGTCTGTAACACCACCATAAGAATCGAAATCCCAAGTACCCAAACCACCGCTCCCTAAACACCATTTTGCGCATTCTGCTGCTGCACACCTACCCCAACCATCTTCCGCAATTCATACTCCTTCGTAAACTCACGACTCAGCGAACCTAGATCCTTGACAAGTTCGTGGCAGGCTGTGATGACGGCTTCCTTAGGTGTGATTTGACCATCGGTTTGTACGCGCAAGATGAATTTGGGGACTAGGGGATGTGGGACCTGCGGCGATATTAATATACGTTAATTTCATAACAATGATTGTTCAAAGGCAATAGAAGACCTGGGGGCGCGGAGAGGGAATATATATCTACATAGATGAACAACATACCTTATAGCCTGAGAAAAGAACGTGGGAGCTATTAATGAGACGCGAGCGGATCATGTTGCCAAGAGTGTGGTCTTCTTTGTGGAAGGTGAAAATAGCGGTGGACGGGATACCTGATGGGCAAATAAAATAGTTGAGTCACGTCGATTAGCCATCGCTATTCTGTGGGATGAATATAACAATGGGGTGGGAAGGAAAAGGCAAAAAGAGACTCACGGGTATCCACCTCAACCTCGACCTTCTTCTCACCCGGGAGAAGAACGAAGGATTCAAATCTACGCGCGAAGTAGAGTGTTAGCTTCAATAACGCGATGTTCGAGAATAACATGAACAGAATATCAAAGACATAGAAGTGTATCTAGCCAAGACTAGCAACCGAAAACGTAGAAAAAGGAGAAGGATCCGAGTGCAAAACGTGAAATTGACAGCAGAGCAGAGCAAGCCACCCGAACCTAGGCACCATATCCAGATGCGGACGGACTTTGGTCTTGCATGGGTTGTGACGGTAACTAGCCGCCGAGGAGTCGAAGAACGTCATGGCGCGTTCCCGCTCTGGATCAAGCGTTTTGTGGTGTTGGGTTTCCATCATGAACGCTTAGGGCCGATAAAGCTATTGAAAGAGATGAACGAAGAATGAAATTCGGGATATGAGGGGGACTCAGGGCTGAGGATAGAACAGAGCAATGATATAAGAGAGCATAACAGATGCGCGGGAGGTAATAAAAGGGGATAATGCAGACATGGAGACGAAGGAGAGGAAGGAGGGATGACAAGACACAGGACACAAACAGGCTCTTTTTGCTGGCTGGGCAACTATGATGGATCCTCCAGCAGCATCGAGCAGAAAGTTGAGAAAAAGATGGAATGTTTCATTCATTCCTCTCCAACTGCATGCTTGTATTCTTGCTCTGTGTGCTTCTCTGTTTTTTCTGTCTCCTCTGTTTCCTCTGCTGCTTTCTCATGTTTCTTTCAACCACAAGCAGAAAAGTATGTTGAACATGACATGAGCTGGGTCTGTTCAAGGGGAAAAAAATATAGAAATATCTCACCTTTCAGGGGCATTCATCTTGAATCAGAGCAGTTGCAGCCAGAAATATTCCCAGATGACGACACACCTCCTGGTGCAAACAGTAACAAAAGTATAGATAAAACCACTCTGCTTGGGGCTGTTTGTCAAGAACAGTTCAGGAACTTCCCCTCCCCTCTTCTTTTATGTGTGTAAGTAATGGGGGTGAGTGTAGAATACAAAAAGAAAGCACCTCCTGCTTCAAAGAAAACAGAAATGCGGGTATCCAAAAACATACAAAGAAAATGAAAAGGAAAGTAAGAGGTGGATTTCAAACCAGAAGAGTGAAATGGATGAAAAGCGAAAATGAAGAATGTAGGGCGTATTCAAGAAGGGAGGAATACGTTACTGCAGCACGGTACATTAAAAGTGGAATAACACGGCCGGGGTATAGCTATTGTATAAAATGTCTTAATATTATCAATTTGATATCGAGTTGAAGTTTCTCTCTGCGGCTCTGGATGCGGCGAAATTGCAGATCACGTGGGGTGACTAATTTGGAGCTCCACAGAGACTTCTTGACACTCGGATTAATATATTCTCCGTATTAAGTTACTAGCTGAAGCATAATTACGTCTTTTGATTTCCCTCGGCCGACCCGCAGCTTCAATATTTCCCCTTTAGGAAATTCGGATTCCAGAAGCAGAATAGATACTGTGATCTGTGATACCTATCTATGTAACAAAACATCTCACAGGACGGAAGAAAAAGGGCTCTCTTTCTCCAATCTTAAAGTTGCTTGGATACGAACACTTCTATCTAACATTGGTCAATTGGCAAAGATCCATTTGCTCCCCAGTTAAGAGCCCGGCCTAGATCCGGAACCAACCAGCAGGGCCACCGCCTCAGCTGCAGGCCGCCCCGCTCATTGAGTTCCCGATCATCGTGGAGCGTGAAGAGTTGAGTCAGAGACCCCCGGGGCATCCGTATTATTAATACCATTATCAATCGCTGACTGAACGGCAGAAGCATCCGAACGTTGCTCCCTCTGCTCTCCTCCCCTGCGATATGCCCCACACTTAAACACGTTCCAATACTCCATGAGGGCGCCGAAGTGTATATAAACGGGGCACGCGTCCGCTCTCCCCGGTTTCCAGTCTACACGTATCAAAACCCCTACATAAAACGCAGGCTTCATACCAGAGACCAATACAACGAAACCGAAGAAACCAAAACAAAGGGAAGTGATACTTTTACTCGACTATCTAACATGCCGACCCTTCAAGACCTCCACCCCACCCTCCCCGCCAACTGCCCCGCTATAATTAGCGCGCCAATGCTCTTCATCGCCTCCCCCAACCTGGCCATCTCCGTTACCCGTGCCGGAGGCCTCGGCTTCATCGGCGCCGGCTTCGACGTCTCCAAGCTGGAGAGCCTCCTCACCCAAGCCGCCGAGCTCGCCTCGGCCTCCTCCTCCCCACCCATCCCCAACTATAACAAAGACGACCCCGCCACCTCCCCGATCCCCATCGGCGTCGGCCTGCTAAGCTGGGGGCGCAAGCCTCGACCAGGCCCTCCCCATCCTCGCCAAACACACCCCGGCCGCCCTCTGGCTCTTCGCCGCCCACGACCCAGACCCCGCAGCCAACTACGCAGCCTGGGCGCGCGAGGTGCGCCGCGCCACGAACAACCGCACCCGCATCTGGATCCAAGTCGGCTCCGTCGCCGACGCGCTCGAGGTGGCCGACAAGGCCCAGCCGGACGTGCTGGTCGTGCAAGGCAGCGATGCGGGCGGCCACGGCCTAGCGCGCAGCGCGAGCATCGTCGCGCTCGTGCCGGAGGTGAAAGACGCGTTGACGCGGGCTGGGCATGGGGGGATACCCCTGGTGGCGGCGGGTGGGATCGCGGACGGGCGAGGAGTGGCGGCGGCGCTGTGCCTGGGCGCTGCGGGGGTGGTGATGGGGACGCGGTTCCTGGCGTGTGCGGAGGCGGCGGTGGCGCGGGGGTACCAGGCGGAGGTGTTGCGGGTTGAGGATGGCGGGGTGAACACGGCGCGGACGACGGTGTATGATACCGTGCGCGGGTATAATGAGTGGCCTGCCCGGTATGATGGGCGCGGGGTGGTGAATGACACGCTGCGGGATAATGAGGCTGGGATGGATGATGCGGAGAATCAGCGGTTGTATAAGGAGGAGATGGCGAAGGGGGATGAAGGGTGGGGGCCTAAGGGTCGTATGACGACGTATGCGGGGACTGGGATTGGGTTGGTCAGGGAGGTTAAGAGTGCGGAGGAGATTGTGAAGGGGGTGGTGACGGAGGCGAGGGGGATTTTGGAAAGGGTTAGGGGGAGGTTGTAAACCCTGAATTTGCTAGCTATTAACTAACTATATTTAATCATCATGACGCATTTATGCATGTGTCTGTTCGTGTGTTGTCGGAGCTGTGAATAATTCCAATTATAATTACCTATAGTTATGTATATGATGATATATATGATCCAAATTAAGAGGAAAATGAAGCAGAGAAAATAAGCAATGCCATCTTCAGAAAGCCAAAAATAAATAAATGGAATAAAATACGCAGCAATCGAACGACAAAACAACAATCCCTTATTGTATAATTCCCTCAACAACGAAATCAGCAAGCAACCAGGAACAGAAAATAAACCCAAATTGACGAAAAACGGAGAGGTACCAGAAAGGAAACCAAGATCCGTGCACAAACTGAAAGAAGGGGGGGAGAGCATAATTACACCAAGATGTCATTCGCAGCAAAGCGAAAGAAAAATAACATAAAAATCAAGGAGGGCGCAGAGAACGAAGACACCAAGCAAGCTAGATCATCCCAAACGCGCAAGAAAGGGATATTAAATAGGTACGTAAGTTATGTGTGTATGTGTGTGTGAAGGGGATAGATGTAAAGCAGAAGATCAAAATCCAAGGTGGGTAGGCAACGTAGGTAATGCAGGTAACTCAGCTTCGTCCTCATGGAAATACACCACTCCTTTTTGTCTTTTCTCCCGCATCCATTCACCAGCTTGTACTTATCCGCCCGTTCGTGATTATTCTCCCGATACCTCACATTGCAAGCCATGCCATATCATCACGTACCATTGTCGCATCCACCACATATTCATTCCCCATTCCAATTCCAATCACGGGGAATTCGGCCCTGAACCAGGAAACAAATCCCCCAACCCTAACCCAGACGAGCCTGTCTTCTTAAACCGCCACCCACTCTTTTTCTTCTCCCGATTCTTCATCATCTCCGCCCAGGCCGCTTCCTCCTCCTCATCATCATCATCATCGTGATGATCTTCATCCTTCCCACCTTGCCCACCGTTCACACTCGCATTCGTACTAGCCCTCAGCCCGCTAACAGGCCTTAACCCACCGACCACATTCGATCCCTCTGTCGCCACCCGCGGCAGGTGATACGGCTGCTGCATACCCATGCCATTGCCACCGATGTTTGAAGTGAGAGACATCTTCCGCGACTCCGCATCCGCCCACGGCCGCAGCGTCGAGGCGGTGAACGTCGACGAACGCGCCATCGCGTTGTCCTGCGGGGGCTGTTGCATTGTCGAGACGGGGCGGTAGCGGCTTGCTGTGCCGACGTTGCTGCGCTCGGAGGGGGCGACGGAGGGGGTGTAGCCGGGTCCTGGTCCCGGGCCTAGGTGTGGGTGTTGCTGTGGGAGGAAGGAGGATTGTCTGTTATTCCATTTGGGGTCAAGGAGGCTGAGGGTTCTATGGTCGACTTGTGGGGGCCCTTGCGGCTGGGGTTGGTTGAAGTTGAGGTTTGAGAGCATGGAGATGGGGCGGGCCATGGATGGTCCGTTAGGTGGGGTAGAGTTATGAGAGCCAAGACCCATATTCAGTGGCATTTGCATGCCCTGCATCTGCATCATGGATTGCATCCATTGGATCTGCGTCTGCATCATCTGGGTCATCTGCGACATCTGGTCCGGTTGGCCGAACCCTGGCGGTTGGCCTGGTGGAGCGCCAGGAACGTTCAAGAACTGTTGTTGCTGGGGAAGAGGCATGGTATTATTGTGCTGTCCGTTCAGATTCATACCGAGCAAGCTTCCTGGGGGCGCATCATATGGACGAACCGCATTCGGGCTCCCTCGTCTCATCGCCTTGGCGCGCTCTTCATTTGCGATTACTCCCACTAGTCCGCCGGGGGGGAAGCCAGGCGGTGCGCCGTAGACAGATGGAGTCCCTCCACCCATGGCCAGGGATTCCCGGTGCGATGGGTTAACAAGACCAGCGCCGATGTTATATGGATCGCGGGGAAGATTTCGTGCAAATACTGGTAAGCTAGTGCGACCTGTTTGCGTTCCTGCTGTAGGTTCAGCGGCAACGGAGGGCGGGCCTTGAGCGAACGATAGCATCGATGCACGAAGATTAGGATTTGAGATCGACGGGGTGAGATGTCCCGGTGGTCGAGTTTTATTTGGGAAGCCGTGCGCCGCAAGAATGGCAAGAGGAATATCATCATCGTCCTCTCCATCGCTGACTTTCCCGTTGGTCGTGGGCTCTGGTGCCAGGAAGGAGCTCCGGTTTAGATTGTTCAACGAAGCTGCACGGGCTTTGTCCACACCATTCTGGTCCGAATCGAGTGGTTTTATTGTCTCTCCCGTAACCTTCATCATTTGCTGTCTGTAGACTGACAGATGAGCTTCCTGCTTCTTCCTTTGCTTCGCCGCCTCGCGAGCCTTCTCCACCTCATCCTCTTCTTCCTCGTCATAATGATCACTATCGTCATCCGAATGGTGGGTGTCGGAAGCGTTACTATTCTTCCTCGTCATTTCTTTCTGCTGTCGATACCGTTCAAACTGAGCCGGAGTCATGACTTTCGTGGGTAGCTGCCTCTCGGAGTTGTTGGCATTCTCCTCGTATCGTTCAGCCAGACTGGCCTCGGCAGCTAATGCAGCTGCGAGGTGGGATTCTTCGTCTTGTAGAACTGGTCGGCGGGTGATTTGTTTCACGTTATTACGCTGCTGCAGTCTGTTCTCCGAGAACGGTAGAGGATCAGGAAAGTCACCGTCAGGTGAGAATTCGGCGGTCATCCGTCTGTGTGCAGATACTGCATTTTTAACGATCTTTGCGTCCTCATCTTCCACCGCAGCATTCCGGTCAAGCTGTACGGTGTTTCTATAGAACCTAGAGGTTGAACCAGTGTTGTATGTCGGCGAAAGACTGCCGTTAGTGTTCGGCTGCACCGAGGTTCTTACTCGAGAGGCGGGCGGGCGGGATATGATATCATCGTCTTCCCTACTCATTAGGCCGTCTCGTGAATTCTGACTTTCATTTGTGCGCGGGGAGGGTTCAACATCTTTAGAGGGAACAATTCGGAGAGGAGTGGGATGGTTCTGAGTGTCATTTGTAGGTAGTGGCGGAAGTGCTGATGCGGACCCCTATTTTTGGCCGATTTATGTATTAGCACTCTAGCGATCAACCAAATAAATAAAATAAATAAATAAAAAGGATAAAACAAAGAGAAAACCCACCCGGCCAAGCGGACTTGGTGACAATGGTTCTTTCTGGACTTCCTTCTCCTTGTCAAATCCATCAAACATATTCCCGAAACTTAACGAGTCACCCATATCCAATTCTGTATCTGGTAACCTGTGGGGAGTGGCAGTACTCGTAGTACTGGTAGTCGGCGCACGTTCTCTGGCAGTCGCAGTCCCCCTAGATCGAGGTGTGGTGGCCTCCAGGCGTTGTAGCGACTTGGAAGAAGAGGATTTGGTTCCGAAGGAGAATGTCCGACCAGCCGATCGAAAAGAGAAGAAGGAAGAGTCATGCACGGGGGGGGGGGGAACATCTTGGATGGGGATATCGGTGGAGCTGGGTAAGGTAGAGGAGGAACTAAACTTGGCGGAGGAAGCAGAGCTATCGTACAAACGACCGGTCGAGGCAGAATTGTTAGTGCCTCTGCTTCCACTTAAACCAGTCAATTTCGTGACTTGTGCTCCTCCACCACGTAAGGGATCGCTGGGATTCGGGTTGACATACCGGTTGTCCACGGGAGAGGGATGGTCTATGTTTGCAAAAATGTTATTTGCGTAGGGGTCCTCCGACAGACGTTTATTATGGCTGCTGTTGCTGGTACTGGAGTTCAGAGTGGTGGATCCATCGAGGGACTTTCTAGCAGCACCAGGACGCTCAAAGACCCTGAACGAGGGCTGGGGCGTCTCATCCAAGGCTTCCAAGGCATTTCCAGAAGATTTCCGCCGAGCAAAGCCCTTGGGGAGCTTGATCGGCATGGAGAAAAAGGGATCCGGAAATGCAAGTACAACAACAACACAACAACAACGGCGGCTCTCTTGAGGTCCTGGATGGCCTTTTGGGGTGGCTTGGAGTTGTAGATCTATCTATCCTTCGTTCCTGGTTCCCAACTCAATTCGCTTGGGACAGGGTCAACAACCCACGCCCGGGACAATAAGAAAGTTACTTTATCACCACGACATGGAACAAAGAGAGCACTGTCAAGAGGGGAATCTATGCACAAAGGTATAATAATAGCAATGGCTGTTAGATAGAAATGTACCGGTTAGAAATGTAAGGGTTGAGAAATATTAAAAATAGAAACAGACAAACAAGAAAAAAAAAAAAAGAAAAAGAAAAAAGAAACCGCACAAAACGTAGGTGTTAACGAGGACTTCGAGAATATGCCAGCTTATTTTTATTTCTTTTTATTTTTTTTTTAGGGAGAGAGAGAAGAGAAGGATGATAGAGAAAGTCAACAGCATCGTCTATACACACCTCTTATCAATCTTATTTATTGCTGCCCTCCCAGCAGACACAGACCCAGCACCAAAAATAACAAGACAACCAGCTTCCCACAGGTATTCACGTGCCTGCAATGTACACAGTCAGATGAACAGGTCTGCAATGTAGCAAAGCTTTGTTGCACACGGATGAGGGAAGAAGGTAGGACGAGGGCGCCGATCGAAGAGTCGAGGGAGTCGAGTTGGGGAGGGGACGATTTATTTGGCTTCGTGTACCTGCGAAAGATCGTGATTGGGGGAACGCCAGCAGCCAATGGGAGGGAATGAGAGGGTGAATTAAGAATGAATATACACAGAGAGAAGAGGGGATACGGATGGAGGGAATGAAGGAGAGATGAAGATGAAGATGAAGATGAAGATGAAGATGAAGATGAAGATGAAGATGAAGAGGAGAAGTGAAGAAGTCGGAGAGCAGGTTGGCGATGTTTGTCTTTCGCAGGCGATGCTTCTGGCCCGATCGATCCTGCAGCGGCGGCGGCAAAAGGGCTGGCTTAGCTGGACAGTGCACAACAGATAAGTTTGGAATTGAAGGCTGAAATAAATAAAATAAATAAAATCAAATAATCAAATAATCAAATAATCAAAATAATCAAAATAATCAAAATAATCCAACAAATCGGTGAATTCAATCAATCCATCCGCGTGTAAATGTTTTATATAAAATTTATGAAGGTCCTCTCCTGCCTTTTCTCTCTCTCTCTCTCTCTCTCTCTCTCTCTCTCTCTCTCTCTCTTCTTCTGCATCATCTCTTCTTCTTCTTGTTCCTCTACAAGGTGGCGATGTCTCTGCCCAGTCGAGCTGCCGCCGTCCCTCTCATCGCCGACTAGGCTCCATCTAGCCCCGTCCGCTAAGCAGGGCCAGCACCACGCTACCAGCATCCTGCACCATGGCAGCGTAACTCCTCGATTCCTGGCTTGATGACTCTCTATATTATTCCAACCGAGTTCCCCACCCACCACAGAGAGACACAAACCATATCCAGAGACATCAGTATCCGCGCAACCCTCCCTCCGATGAGAATATGATCGCCGGGCCGGGCTGTCTCAGAAAAATACTCTGGTTCTCGTCCTCGCTGAGCCTCCCATCCCATCCATCCATCCTCTCCTCGACAAATCGGTTGGTGGGTGCTCCGGCTACTGCAGTCACGTGTTCCCCATTCCAACCTCGCTAGCTCGATTAATATAAATAGATTGCATAACTACGTAGTTAGTTAGTGTAGTGACACTAAAAGGTTATTATTATTACACAATCGCCCGCAAGCTGCTTACTTCATCTCGTGGTCATTCCATTTCATAACTGGGTTAACAAAAATGCCCACCCTTTAGCTTCTGTTCATTCGAGAAATTCACGCGCCATGGGTCGCTCGCTGATGCGGCAGTGACCGGAGATGATGGACTTCCTTGGCTCCTCCTCTTTCGCAAAGCAAACCGCGTCAGAAACACCTTCCAACCCACACTGAGGTTGCCGCGCATTCACCAGATTTCGGTACCGACCCGCGACCCGAGCCAGTCAAGTTTGAACATTAAGACTTAAGCTCATCGTCAAGTTCGGTCCTTGTGTGGTAGTTGAAGAAACCCTATGCCTTCATATGCTGCGAAAAACCGTTCCCGAGAAAGTCCCTGTTCCAGAGGTGCACAGCTAGAGAGTGGAAGAGGGTCGCGTGCTTATTTACATGGAGCTTATTCACGGAGAAACCTTGCATGATCGATGGGATCATCCAGTGACCAAGGGGAAACATTGATTTGTGCTCAACTGAAGGCGATCATTGCGGTGCTGCGGCAGCTTCAGCCAGGCCCTTCAGACTCATTCATTCATTGGCATGTGTTGGATGCCAGGAAATCTATATCACCCAATTTGCCTTTGTTTACTGACAAAAAGTTGTTGGATCCATTACTGGTCGACTTTTACTTGACTGTGTCTTTGAGGCGATGCCATCAGCTGGGCTGTTCATGACTGGTTTTCCACACCACACTGCCTCAACAGAAACTCCCCGGTTAATTGAAATACAATGACCCCTATCGAGAGTTTTGCCTGATGGTGGAACAATCATGCTCACTTACGGAGACTTGCACCGCGGCAACATCATAATTTCCCGCACAGATCCGCCGCGTGTCATGGGCGGTACTCAACTCAACAGTGGATGGTATCCCGACTATTGGGAGTATTGCAAGGCTCTATACCCGTCTCATTATAATGGGGATTGGCGCAATACCTGGATACCAAGAATCGTGGAACAGTATCCAGAAGAATTTACTGCGTTCTCGGAATATGTCATGCAGATAGGAGCTATATGAGTAGAAGTGAGAGAGGGTAAGAAAGAGCAGGTGGCTGAAAGACAGCTTGATCGCCTACGTAATACTCCAGCTTCCCAACAAATGTCCTGAACTGATGAGAAGCATCCATGAAGAAATACTAGCAAAGCACAACGACATCTAGCCGTGCACACTTGATCACTGAAGCCCTCCATGGGATGCTGGTACTAGATGTACTGCACAATCTGGATTGCCCCGTGGTCCAGGTACTGAAGGTGAACAAGGCGATGAACATATTCCATCATCCGCTTCTGGCATTGTTGGCTGGTTGTCTAGGATATCTAGAATTAACACCCTGCGGCAAGACTAGAGACTAACAAGATAGGGAAACAAGCGCTCACGGCGAGGGGGCCCTGGGTAGGAAAAAGTAACAGGACCTCATGCTTGAGAAACAAGAACCCCGATGTCGACACATTTAGCTGGCAAGCACACTTGAGTTGAATCACCAAAGAATCGATGACCAAGAAAACTTTTTTATTGTTCATTGAAACAATTACTGCACAGATTGAAGAGGACAAAGGGTGATTGACTCCGATGGTGTCTCAAGTCCCCAGGAAGCGCTAGATGCGAGGATTCGGGGGTAGTGGTGTCCTCCGGGAAAAAAAAAAAAAAAAAAAAAAAAAAAAAAAAAAAAAAAAAAAAATGAGAAAACAGATGACTGACCACTACGCTTTAAAATTAGGCACCTCTCAGTGGTGATATTCTGGGCAACTAAGAATCTAACTGATTGGCCGAGCACTCATATTAAGGTATTCTGTCCTCTGACATTGAGAGAATGGCCAAAAATTTTGTGGCATATAGATCATCAATCGCGATTGCAATTTATTTTATATATTCGAGTCTCTCATACATGGAGTGAAGAGCAGGGTAAGGAACAGAAGGGCTATATTGATTATTGATGGATGGAAGTACTAATAATATTGAATTTCTTAGTTATCAATCAGGATTCTTTCTTACATTCAAGAGAGTGATGTTTGAAAAGAAGAGGGATGGTCGTTGATATTTTGATGAAATATAACGCTACATTTATTGATTGATTGGAGAAGAAGGAATTGTTTGAAACAGGAAACACAGATTTCTTATTGGAAAGTGGATCAGAAAAAAAAAAACAATTCTTAGTTATACATCAATGATGATGAAATTCCATGAGGAAGTAAGTAACAGGCTAACAACATAACATAAACATAGCATCACAGATGGGCATACATGCATACATGAGGACGAACATACAAACATACAAACACAGATCTCATACTCATCTCATCTCACACATGATTTCACAAAGTACAATCTCACTCATCCACAGGCAAAATTCAACGATAGTACCCGTCAATCATCATCGGAATCCCAAGCTTCTGGTGAATCCTCCTCTTCAAATGCCACCACAGCGAGCGCCTGAACCGCAGCCCCCATTTCCGCACTAGGCGGTCAAACGGTTCGTATTTGTCTCTGTCCTCGCGGACGCTGTCATAATACACCGGGTCCGTGATCAGATGCCCGACCGCCATTCCGAACTCACCCGTCTCGAGCACCGGAAGCCCCGCGGGGAGGAGTGTGTCCCAGTCTTCTTCGCTTTGCTTTTCGATCTCGGCGGCGGTCATGGGCTTGTTCTCATCCGATGGAAAGGTGGAGGCGGAGAGAGAGCCAGAGGTAGAGCGAGCGGTAAAGCCGGAGATGGAGCCAGAGGTAGAGGCAGGAGTAGAGGCGGGGGTAGGCGCAGGGGCACAGGCAAATGCGGAGACAGCGTCATATTCCAACCGGCGTCGCCTCGCCGCCGCGTTCAAGCAGACACCCACATAGTGCATGTCGCGCAGGACGTTCGAGCTCTGCCGGTTCAGGAACTCGGGGTACTCCTGGATGATGCGGCAGATTTCCTTCTCGAAGACGGACTTGCAGCCATCGCGGGCCCATTCGCGCAGCGTCTCGCGCCGCATGAGGTCTGCCGTCCTGCTGCCGTCCGCGTACGTCCAGAGCAGCGAGTGCATCCAGTAATATTCAAACGCGTTTCTGCGCTCCAGGTCGGCGCGAGCGGATAGTCTTGATTTGTCGCTGGCTCTGCCTTTGCCTTTGACTTTGAATTTGTCTTTGAGGGACTTGGCTTTGGGTTTGGCTTCGGCGTTGCCGCCTGCGTTGGCGCTCTCGCGCTCGCGCTCGCGCTCGCGGTTGCTATCGCGAACCAGCTTGATCAACCCGTCGATGACGTACCAGTCCATCAACTCCGTGAATTCCTCAGAGTAGGTCTCGACGCGCAGAGCCTTGAGGTTGGGCAGCGTGCAGAAGGGGAGGATGGGGACGTCATAGTCATGTTGACAGGTGGAGCGGGCAGGCGCAGGAGTGTAAGCCGTGCTCGGCCAATCGAGCGTATCGATCCAGTTCTGGCCGTCACTCTCGCGCTCCAGCAGGCGGATGAGCAGACTCTTGATCTGCGTGCCGCCGCGGAACAGGCTGACGAGGTTGCGTACTTTCTGCCACAGGCAGAAGAGCTCGCCCACGTCGTTCGGGTCCGGCGAAGGGATGTTGACGATCACTTGGTCGAACTTGTGGAATGCCATGCTGCCGAAACCGCGCGTTTTGGCGCTGGCGACGCTCTTCAGGGTCCAAGACACAGGCGGGCTTGGGCAGTCCGCTCCACCATGGTCGAGGAGCCGATGTTTGCGTCTGAAGGAGACGGTGCAGAGATCGGCAGTGGGGCGGTAGACTGGGTCGATATCGAACTCCAGCGTACCGCGTCGGTGGATCACCTCATCGATCTCGTCGTGCAAGAAGTGGCTTGCACGGAGGATGCTGAGATCGGTATTGGAGTTGCTCATGTCTTGAGCAGGGGTTGGGACCAGTTCAGCCCAGATCTTCTCGCGCAGCTCGTAGGGCAAGCGCGCGAACAAGCCGAGGTTTGGCATGGTGGCCATGTTTCCGACTTGGATGTTTTTTATTGCTGTACTGAAGTGTACAGTGGATAGTGGATGCTGACGGTGCTTTCAGAGTTCACTTTCAAAATGTTTGTGGATAGCCGATTCGTGGAGTAGCCTTAAATGCTCTTGAGGCCTGGTTGGGGAGATTGTCTTGTTGTGAAGTAGCAAAGCTTCTTTTTATTTATTTTTTTATGGCAAGCAGGCAGTTCAGTTCTATGAGCAGGCTGGTTTGTATGTAGGCTGGTGGAAGGAAAGCTTATCTGATCAAAACTTATGTCTCAGCAGGACAAGAAGCAAGAAGCTTAAAGCAGAATATATGGAGTGGGTTGTAAGATGGAAGAAGAAGAGGGAGCAGACGAGCAGCCGGGAGAGCATTTATATAGCCCGCCGTGGAGTCTATTGCCCCAGGGCTCCATGACTTACCATTGGAATGACGCAAAAATTAAATGTCGAGGAGAGTTCTATATAGATTTAAGCTTGATGGCGTCTGGGGAAGCCGTTGGGCTCCGAAAGCTTCCCCTTAAAGTTACCGAGTTTTGGGCAACTTTATTCTGTTTCCCCCTACGAATTCTCGCAGGGAAAGGAGCAACGACTGGATCCTGCTGGACAGCTCATTCCCCTTCTGGAGCAAACCCGAAGCATGTTGTATTTAGCCTTGCGAAGTACGTTTCTATCGAGGAATATGCAGTCGCCGCTCCCCTAATCGGGATATACAAGGCCGATGATATGCAGGAGAGTGTTTAAGACTATCTAGCCAGTTCGGGCATGTATAGCTGTCAGGTTTCTTATTTCCTCCAGTTCCCTGGACGGTTCAGGGAACGTACTGCCAGATGGGTGGCAATCAGATTGCCCCCGACAGAAATGTCGACATTTTTGTTCCTGTGGCAGAGTGCACACTCCGAGGGCCCCTGGCGGGCAACACAGGTTGGTATAGTAGGAAATGAGATCGCGAGAGATGAGAGAATGGGCAGACGGAACGAGGAAATGAACGATGGGCGGGGAGTAGGAGGGATATATTATCAGTAGAAACGAGTAGAGTAGTGTAGTGTAGTATATCATGCTATATTAACTCCTGCTAGAGCTGTTTTCATCGAAAGAGCGCCATATCCTATACAAAAAAAAAAGAGCCATCTCAACCGCTCCAATGAAGGCCACAGCCCCAGATATCGCACCCAGATAGCCCAAGTAAGGCAAGACATCGACGCTCAGGTAGCAGGAGTAGATGCTGTAACTAGCAGAGTAGGTAGACCGTGTCGTGTCGCTATGGTCAACGTCGAGACATCCTGGTGAAGAAGCCCGCTTCGTCTGCACCCATACGTCTGGTTGTAGAACCCCGGGTAGCCGTGCACGGCTCGATATTGGGGCATTTGGGTTTCTAGGCGCTATAGGAAGTCGTAGCTAGTGAAAGAGTCGCTGTCAGCGAGCTGGCGATCGTATTTCGTGCTGATGCCAGTCATTTTGACCTGCGTATGGCTGTTCGAAGAGAGCGGAGAGACGACGGACGGTATTTTTGCGTCCATTAATGGTGGGATTGAATAGAGGGTGCCTCTCCAAGAGTTGTATATACGATCTTTCGCGGCTATCTAATAACACCCGATATAGTAGGCAGTTTTGACGGGCTTACCCTTGAGGTTGTCGCGGCGTGTTGCTGGAAAACCACCACCGGCGTACTTAGGGAAGCAGCGATCTGAGCTGTCGATGAATGAGCAGGCGATAGGTATAGCCTAGAGAGAACGAAGGGATAGTGAGATAGGCTGCGATGGGATAGGGGACGCGCAGTGGGATTGATACAGGCAAAGTTAGGCCCATGTGGAGTGGGATAGCATAGGACACATCCATCCCACAAAAGGGCGAGGGTCAGTCGCTATACATGCTCGGATAGTCGCCAACGATCCCCATCTGCCTCGAGAAGGATGGAGCGTCCACTCCCCTTATCAGGCCTTCACAACAATCCCGCCTTCGTTTGAGAGATGGATGGTACAAAGCTTATATCTATATGTCTGGCTTTTACTCGGCTGAGATGCAGTCTTACGCGCCTCATCATCCCCAATGCAGGAAATGGGAAAGGTATACAGCCAGGTGGGGTCTACTTGCAAGGGATACCGTATAACGCCGCAGCGCGATTGCATGGTCTCAAGACACTGATAGCTACCACACTCTAGGCTATACCAGAAGTGAATGGTATGAATGGACAAGGTCACTTCTGGCGATAACACTAAAGGACAAGCAACGTTTTCCCGGCAAGCATCTGAACGTAGGGTTGGGTATCAAAAGTATTAAACTTGGTAGAATGAGGATAGAAAAAGAACAAGGAAATGGGAAAAACCTGCGAGAGGAGAGGCTCGGAAGACCTTCTCTGGCTTATTTCAATGTAAAAGAATATCATAAGAATCCTAGCAGCTTCGGACGATACATTGATTCATCACTAGGTATTCCAGAATACACAACCTCGAAACATAGCTCATACCGAATACTAGGCAGCGCAGGTAGATCGAATGCACGCACTTACACGCTAGCATATCTTCAAAACATTTGGTCAATAACCTTCATACTATCTTGCTGCAGCGCTGTATGGTGCGCATTCAACCCCCCAATAAGCGCCACGCCAGGCGGAATTCTAACGTCTCGAATGCCAAAGCAAGCAAACGCAATAACCTTCCTTAGGGCAGGACAGGACTTGAAGATGGAAAGAACAAGAAAATCATCCGCAGACGTGTGGAACGACATGTCGAACTCTTTCAAACAGGGGTATTTGTTATGAGTTGCGTCGAAGACGGCAGACATTGACTCGTGCGAAATGTGTCGGCAGGAACAGATGTTGAGCTTTTCGAGGAATTTCCCGGAGTGGTCCATGAGCGCTTGAAAGCCAGCCGAGGCTAGGCCGATGGGGGTTTCGGGGCCGTCGGGATTCTTGTTATCCACATCACGAGTGCTGGAAAGATCCACGTTGGTGAGAGGCGGGTTATCCCAATCCGTGAAGAGGCGAGCGTAGGCTGCATCGGTGCAGATGCAGTTGTCCGCGAAGCGCAGTTTTGAAAGCCTCTTGCAGCGTTGATGAATCATGTCCAAAACGGTGTCGTCGGCGTTTTTGAAGCCGCTGAGCGATAAGGTCTTCAGATTAGGCCCGAGTTTGTCGACTACCACCAGCAGTGCTTCGGAGGATGTCTCTTTGAGCAATTCCAAGGATAAGTGCTCTAATTTCGGGAGTTTTGAGATTGAGCTGAGCGCATCGTTGCCCAGCAGCCAACAGGTTTTTAGCTTCAGGCGGCGTAAGTTCGTACAATGTTCAACCATCACAGCTATCGACTCGTCATCCAACGAGTAGTCCAAGTTGGATAATTTGAGGCTTTCAAGTTTCGAGCCATATGCTTTGAACAATTTCTGCCAGCCTTCATTTGAGATGAGGTTGGATGCGTCAAGATGGATATGTTTGACGTTTTTATTGTGGCCCATCATGTACTCGAGCTGTTTATCTTTTAATTGACCAGCAAAGCGAAGATTGACCCTTTCGAGGAATGGCATGGTAGCGAATATCTTTTGAAAATCATTCTCTTCCAGTTCTGTGGCCCTGTTAGCTAAGTTTTCTATACTCTTTCTTTTCTTTTCTTTTCACTCCTTATACTCTTAATTATAGGAGAAAACGTACTGCCAGAGTCATATATATCAATGACAGTGACGTCACCTCGGAGGAACAGGTCAACCGTTAAAGAAGTCAATGCCCGTCGTTTGGACAAAATGTGGCTAAGCCTCAAGACAAGATCAGGAGGGAGGTCACCAAACTCCTCGATATCTTCGATGTGATTGGCAACTTGCTATATGGTACCACATAAATCAATCTACCAGCCCTGTGGCAAGAAACACGGAGAAAAAAATGGTGCACCAGCATACCTTAATGCAAGCCTCAACAAGGCTCGGAGCGCCAAGCTGTACAATACCATCCAGGATCTTGCTAACATTTTGACGTCGGCCCCGTTTATTCTTATTAGCAAGGGTCTTTCTGCTTTGCTGGTCCCGGAGATCCTCCCGTTTCGAACAAGGGGCGCAGAGAAGACCACCCTTTGCGCCTGCTTTAGAATATGTAGTAACGGTGAAGCGACTTTTGCAATACTCGCAGTTCTCAAGTTGGCCAGGAAGCGCGTTACCCGATTTCCTCCCGCTGACCATGGAATTGAAGATTCTTGCATCGTCATTTCGCATGCCTTGCGCTTTCTTCTGCTTCGCGGCGTTCATAGCCTTAAGCGTGGCCTGTGACTTGCGTTTCCTTGTCTTTGCGCTCTCCACGGGAACATCGGGCATTTCTTCATCTTGCTCGGCACCTGCCTGGCTGTTGTTATTGTTGTCTCCAGTGTCATTTGTTTGCTGTTCATCTTGTTGGCGGGCTTCCCTCAGGCGCTGCTCGTAGTTATTGCGGATTTCTGCCGCAGAGATATTGTTGGACTATGGTAGGGGAAAATCAGCTAACCTGTCTTCCAAGTACAGTACATGTCTAGAAACAGATACAATCAGATATGGGTAGAACATACCGCTAGGAAATCTGTCAAGGCAGAATGTCTTCATAAGAAACGGTGAAGTTAGTAATTAATTGGCTCCGGGTGCTGGTCGGGTCAAGGAGTCTATTGTAACCACTTACGGCCCCCGGATATTTGAACGTTGTGGTCTTCGCGCCCTTCAAGCTGTTAGCAACCATTACCAGTGATCTCATTAAGCACATCACCAGTCAGAGGAGTCACATACATGTTGAAAACCGGTGATTAATATCCAGTATTTGCTGTTCTAAGTCTCCTGTCGTCAGGTCGGTGTCTGCCCCTGTCTGAAAGGGGTTTAATTGAAATACTCCCTGCACGTGACTTCGTGCCTCGTGTTCCTCGACCACAACGCGTTGCTTCGGGAACGAATTCAGGCAGCCACGGTGTCTCAAATTGGTCTATTTACGCTCCTTTTTTGTGCTAGATCTATCTGTCTAGTGCAATTAGAAGGAGAGTCGCTGGCGCCGGTACGGTGAGTCATTGGATAGTTCGTATTCAGGTTGTTGCGGACGGGAGGAGAACGAACCAGGTCTTGCCAGTGGAGCAAGCTTCCATTCTGGCCAACTTTGTAGACAGGAGGCTTGCCAAACCTTCGTCTGTCAGATTTCAAGGGGTGAGCGTGAGCCAAGAACACCACCACGGAGACGAGCCTGATTAACACAAGGTCGTGTTGTTATTGAGAAGGTGGATAGATTTCTCAGCGGTTGAAGCCAGTCGTTTCCCCTTTATTCACCTTGCACTGCAGAAGTGGAGATTTTCATCCATACTCGAACGCTTTCAGTTTACAGACCTCCGCGGTACACCGAGCCTTCGAAGCAGTCTCGGCTTCACATTGACAATTCAGCCTCATCCTTAATTCTGTGGACCTGTTGGTGGACGTCATGGCCAACGACCGTCCGCCTAAGGGGGGCATGCCCTTAGGCCTGGCTACAAGTGAGTTCAAGTTTTTGACTTTTTCACGATATGTGCACAGCTAATCATCTGGCAATGTTATTAGATAAATACTCAACCTCATTGAGAAAAAGAGGCCCAAGCCAACAAAGTCGATCCTCCTTGAACCTCTCTGTTGCGGACTCCGCTGCTAGCGAGAGTGACGACTCCATTAACGAACTCCTGAAAGCCCCTCGCAAGCGAGCGAAAGTATCAGATCATGATCGAACCAACGATAATACCAGCAGGCCAGCGGTCATGGTTGCAGTCTCGATAGGACATAAGCCCTCATTTGGCTCCCCTTCATCCTCAACGGATGCAGGTGGAACGAGCACCACAACCGGAGACTCTACTCCTGCGACAACCGCAAATGTTACCCCAGCAGAGCCTATCAACCCTATCAAAAGACGTGTGAACGCAACAGCCCGTTTTCAACAACTGCGGTCAAGTGCATTTGGTTTGATGAGAGGCTCAGGGGGTGCAAAAGGTGCTCCCAATTCTACAAGTACAGATGCTTCACCCGACGAAAGCGCAGATGAAGCCCTCGCTCGTGCCCTTCAAGCGGAAGAGTACGGTGACTCTAACTTGGACGAACCGACATACTCCCTCGATAGTAACCAAACTTTGCGGCCAAGATTAAACGCTACCCGTTTAACTCGAGGAAGGGCTACTCAGCGACCTCTTACGCTGGCCTCGAACCACGTTCATGCGAATATGAGTAGCGCAATACGGAGCGACACTATCCCTGACAGTGAAGAATCTTCTCTGTCGGAACTAGATTCTGATCTAGCCAGTCCAGATATCAGTGACTCTGAAATTGAAAGTGCTTTAAGTGACGAAGATTCCAGTGACGAAGACTCCAGTGATGGGGATTCCGCCCGTAGGACCACCAGACCCCTACGACGTGTAGTTATAGCTCCAAGGCATCGCCGCGTTCTGATTCGGCCGCGGAACGCTGAAGAAGCGCGATTAACTCCACGAGTAAGGAGTTACCTTCCCACATGGAGTCTCGTTTCCAAGCTGACCAAGATATAGGCTCTCAGGGAACGAAGGAAACTCGAGCAACAGCATCCAATTATCCAAACGATGTGGGACGATCTTAAAAGTGCCCCTTTGATAACTCCTACTCCAGCCGCACAGCCATCCGGCATTTCTCGAAACTTGAAATCGTTTCAGCTGGAAGGCTTGAATTGGATGATACAGCAAGAAAAGTCACAGTGGAAGGGCGGGCTCCTCGGCGATGAGATGGGAATGGGAAAAACAATCCAAGCAGTCTCCCTGTTGATGTCTGACTACCCTGTTGGCAAGCCTTCGTTGGTCATCGTGCCCCCGGTTGCTCTGATGCAATGGCAGTCGGAGATCGAAGTACGTTTAAACCTCCAGACCCCTTGCCCGATCCCTGCTAACGTTGGGCTTTGCTCTAGCAATACACGGATGGTAAATTGAAAGTACTTATCCACCACGGTTCTAACTCGAAGGTCAAAAATCTTTCAGCAAAGGAGCTGATGGCCTACGACGTGATCATGATATCATGTAAGCGCTGTTCATCACCTGCAAGGATTTCTTTTCGTTGCTGATTATTTTTGATAAGATGCTGGGCTTGAGTCCATGCACCGAAAGGAGGTAAAAGGATGGAAGAGAAACGATGGTCTCGTGAAGGAAGATAGTATGTGCTCTGAAGCCCCTGAATCTTCTCATCGGAGTACACATCCTTACAGGTTTAGGTGTCATTCATTCTATTCACTATCATCGCCTGATTCTCGATGAAGCTCATAGTATTAAGGTAAGGAGTCTCCTTGTAATAAGATATCTCGAGTCTTATGACCCGCTAACTTTACCCCAAGCAACGTACCACTAGTGTAGCAAGAGCTTGTTTTGCATTGAAGTCAACCTACAAATGGTGCCTTTCTGGTACTCCAGTTCAGAATCGAATTGGAGAGTTCTTCTCACTTCTGCGGTTCTTGGAAGTCAAGCCATTTGCATGCTACTTTTGCAAGATGTGTCCATGTCAGGAATTGCATTGGTCCCAAGATGCAGAAAAGAGATGTACACATTGTCGCCATAGGTACTTTACTCCAAACCCTTTCATCATAAGCATGTTCGGAATTCTAACATCTCGCAGTGGCTTCAGTCATGTTTCCATCTTCAACCAGGAAATTCTCAATCCAAGTAGGTTATTTCGATCCTTGGAGAAGGTACTGGCTAACATACTTCAAGTCACCGAGTCAAGACATCCCGCAGATCGGAAGGCTGGCCTTGAAAAATTGAGATTCATAACCGACAGGATTATGCTCCGTCGAGTTAAACAAGATCATACAGCCTCGATGGAGCTCCCACCCAAGCGGTATGATAATAACGGAGCCAATCTTAATTATACCTACAACCGGTCGCTAACATGTGCATAATTTAAGGGTTATCCTTCATAACGAATTCTTTGGAGAAATCGAACGCGACTTTTCCTCTAGCATTATGACGAATACTGTTCGGCAATTTGACACATACGTCAGTCGAGGCGTTATGCTCAACAACTACGCGAATATTTTCGGTCTCATCATGCAGATGCGCCAAGTTGCAAATCACCCCGACCTGATTTTGAAGAAACATGCTGAAGGTGGTCAAAACGTCCTTGTTTGCGGCATCTGCGATGAACCGGCGGAAGAACCAATACGGTCTCGTTGTCGCCATGAATTCTGCCGACAATGTGCCAAGGACTACATTCGCTCCTTTGAAGATGGACGAGAACCCGACTGTCCACGCTGTCATATCCCGCTTTCTATCGACTTCGAGCAGCCTGATATTGAACAAGAGGAGGATCAGGTCAAGAAAAACTCCATAATCAACCGCATCAAAATGGAAAACTGGACGTCATCGACGAAGATCGAAATGCTGGTCTACGATCTCTTCAAGCTCCGCAGCAAGAAACAGACGCACAAGTCTATTGTCTTCTCTCAGTTTACGTCCATGCTCCAGCTGGTTGAGTGGCGTCTGCGGCGGGTGGGGTTTAACACGGTCATGCTAGACGGAAGTATGACGCCAGCCCAGCGCCAGAAATCCATCGAGCATTTCATGAATAATGTCGATGTTGAGGTGTTCCTCGTTTCTCTTAAAGCCGGAGGCGTCGCGTTGAACCTTACAGAAGCATCGAGAGTCTTCATTGTTGACCCGTATGTATTTCCCGTCGCACCCCGATATTAGTACGCTGCCTTTGCTAACAAATTCTCCCTTTTCTCTAGATGGTGGAACCCAGCTGCAGAATGGCAGAGCGCAGATCGATGTCACCGGATCGGCCAGCGGCGGCCGTGTGTGATAACCCGGCTCTGCATCGAGGATTCAGTGGAATCGCGCATGGTCCTACTCCAGGAAAAGAAAGCCAATATGATTCGGGGTACGATTAATAAGGACCAAAGCGAGGCGCTGGAGAAGTTGACGCCGGAGGATATGCAGTTCCTGTTCCGGGGAACTTGAATGGTATACCCCAATTCTGCGCTGCGTTTAAACCATGGTGTTATTGGAATGAGGTAGTTTGGGATGGATATATGTTCAAAGTAACCTTGATCTTTCTTTTCTTGATTTGCATTTAGCTAGCTATACCATTGTTAGGGTATTCAGCCCATTCATTCGTTATTACATTGCAGTTCTCCAACATCACGCGGGCAATAGCAAGCTGCTTTGCGAATCCTCGCGCGCAGCATGGCTTTCTAGCTCCATGCCGATGAAGGCGGAGTTGACATGTTTCCACAGCACGGGTTCATCGTCATCATGAGGCGTGCTTGCTATTGCGACTGGTTTGGCACGGCGATGCTGTTGCTGTAAATGGCTAGTAGCGGGGTTATGTGAGTTCGAGTCTTGTTTTGCGCGTGTGGTGCGGAAGGCGGTGAGGAGGACTGTAAGGCTTTTTTCTCCTGGTTGGGGGTTGGCGCGGGACCGGTGGACGGAGGTTGGCGTGCTTTGGAAGGCGGACTGGTTGTCGATTAGGAGGAGGGTGTGGTGGGAAGGGAGGGGGTTGAGCATGATGGATGTTCTTTTGGCTTTCTCTCTGCCTAGTTATTTATTTATTGATCATTTAATTTATTTATGTAGAACTCCCTCCGGAAGTCATCTGGGGAAATTTTTATCAGCACCAGACTAAACTAATACGGAAAGATGTCTATATGTCAAAGTGAGCCGCGATCTTCAAGGTCGAGGCTGAAGGAGCTGTTGAACTCGGCATCCAATTTTGCAACTGCGATAGTTACATACCAGACAGATTCTGGGGTAGAAATCCTTTTTTTATACGTATATATCTTTCTAGCCATTGATTTACTCTCCATGCAGGTTTCATTCACCACCGCAAAAGTTTTTGTCTTATACAGCCTGTCTCCTTAATTCTTAAAATAGCGTGCAATTGGCATATATATATATATATATTAGGTTGTAGGGGGGGGGAGGAACAGAAAAAGCCCGTTACTTATCGCTCCCTTCCCATTGGAATGTATAGAGCGGCCATCCTTGGAAATTTATTGTGCTGGACACTGATTCCTCTCATCTTATCTTCAGCAACTTCCATTCACCATCATATATCATATGGAGGGGTCCAATTATCTCAGCGGGCTCAGACTCTCTGGCTCGGTTTGAACGGGTTGCAGCATTATTATTAACTAGTTAATCCGGCATGACACTAACCTACTTTTGATACAAGTCATGTGCTCAGAGCAATCCTCACCAGAGGGTCTGAGAAGAAATGATTCTATCTTCAATGAAGATTTTCAAGATTTACAAGGATTTTTCAGATTCTTCAACTTTGACTTTCTATTACTATATATTCATATATCTTTAAGATTTGAAAATCACCTTAGCTTATGACTAAAGAGAAGAAGAATAGAAATATTTCTTTAATATTTTAAAAAAATCTATATTTAAGATAGATGTATACTCTTGAAAATAATCATATTTTTTGATCTCAGAATTTCTAAGAGCTTTTTTTTATATGAGAAATTGAATTAAAATTCCTGTGTTCAAAAACACACTGATTAACTTTGAGATGATACTTCTATTCTAAGAACTTGAGATATGAATATAAAAATCAGATACATCATGAGAACATTGTTATTCTAAGGTTTCAAGATAATATAGAAATGATGAATTTATGAAGTTAAGTTGAAATTCTCTTCTATACTCAGAGTACTGAGCAAATCCTTTTCATATTGTTAATAATCAGGAACTGTTTCTTCTCAGATGCTTCACAAGATATCATCACTCACATGATCTGATTTTACTATTTGGGTTAGCTTATTGCTTATTTGAGGTTAGCTCATGACATAATCATCAATCCAGTGTTAAAACAGCAATGAATATCTGGAGAAGCGTCTGAGCTTGCTGAGATAAGGGTCCAACGGGTAAATACAAGAAAGATGGAGACCGAATCACGTGGCGGCGGGCGGAAACGGTCGGCCCACAGGGAACAAAACTTTATATAAGAGTAGTATTAAAATAATTAATATAATAACTCTTTTATAAAATAAACTATCAAATTTATAAGAAACTACAGAAATAGTTGATTTAGAATATAATCAATCTGTATATCAAATAGCTTCATTGAGTGATAAATTGACTAAATATTGTGAGTATCCCCTCGTCAGGGAGCGAGGCCTCAAATAGCGTATTTTTCTGCCCAATTATTGACTACTTATTGGCTAGAAGTCGCTATGTAATTCAGCTTGCCTATTGGCCATATCAAGGCGGTAAGGCACGACGAGGGATGAGATATACGGAGTAGTAATATTGAGATGGCAAGACTCCCAAATGTGAGGGTCCAACCAGAGGTTGCAAGTGAGCAGTAACTTACAAATCATCTAGGGCCCGGTTATGATACCTACATAGTATTATATTATTCTGTGGAACTTGATATACGCCGCGTATAGGGTAGACCGCGGCATCGAAAGGACCAACCCGTGAAATCTTCTGATAGGAATTGTTAGGCGAACGCCCGTCTCAAATCCAACCGTTAGGAGAATTATTCCATAGGTTGAGAGAGCTCAACAAGCCATCATTATTGGAAATATCGCATACGGCGCCATCTCGCTTCTCTGAAACCCATCCATCCTCAATTCTGCCAGAGTACTCCGTAGAGTACAATGGTCGCTTTTATCCAAGGAAACGGGTTTCAATATGCTGCTAAACGAATCCAATGAGGTTGTTGGTTTTCCAAGCGGTGTCAACAACTCGCGGGGCGCCGGGAGCAGGCAAGCCACCGCTATATACTCCGACGGGTGGTCTTTTTGGCCTAGTGGTTAGAGCCCAGACCTGGTAGCTTATAATCATGACAATTCGGCTGGCTTCGTGCAGACTTCAGTTGCCCAGAGGTTGTGGGTTCAACAGCTGACAAGGACAGACAGGGTTGCATTCCTGAATCCTTGGGGTTTAACGAGGCGTGGCTTGACTTAGCAGCATGGCAGCTTGGCGGCTTCTGGGATGCTACGGCTGGTTAGTGGACACTGGACTGACTGCCTTCCTTAGGGGCTGCGTGTCCTGGAGCCTAGGCGTCTGGGCTTGGGATGTGCCCTATGATAGGGGGAGGCAGTTCTAACGGTATGCCCCGGGGCGCCGGGAGCAGGAGCAGGCAAGCCACCACTATTAAGGATGGGTGGTGGGCGCAGCTGGCAAAGGAGCCAGCCGTCTTATGATCTTTTTAACCTAGTGGCTAGAGTCTGGGTGGCAGCTAATAACCATGACAGTATTTATAGCAGTTAAATTGATACTGTGTACAGAGTACAGCTAAAAAACATATCAGATATTTGAATTCATGAAATTTGAAGCTTTAGAGTGGACAAAAGGTATCTTACTATGTAAATTTATATAATTTAGTAAGAATAATGAATAGATTGAATATTTTAATATTGAGCCTGAGATCTTATTCTTTATTAAAATATATACAGAAATCATTGTATCAACTGATTATTCCATTTTGAAGAGAGAGATAAAGTAGATTTGAAAATAATCATATTGATGGTGAATAACATTGAGATGGTGAACTCTTGTATGAGAGTATTAAGTAAAAGAGGTTTGCAAGGTAAGTGGTAGCTTACAAATCATCTATTCTTTTTTGCAACCATGTTCGGCTTCGAAAACTTAAACCCGTTCAAAAGATACGTCCGTAACCAGGCCTTCCTAGCAAAAAAAGAAACCAGAACCGGAGAAAAGAAAAAAGAAAAGAAGAAAAGAAGAAAAGAAGGAAGAAGGAAGAAGAAAGAGGAAAGAAGAAAGAAGAAAAGAAATAGAAAAAGAAAAAGAGGATATGGCGTTCTTCTTGACAGTCGGCATGCCGGGCGGCGGTACCAAAGTTTCCACCCGCGCAACCGCCGCTCTCCCGCCTCTGAAGATGGAGACCTAGATCCACCTGTTCCCCTCCGAAGCTGAAGCAACAACGGATAACTGAGCAAGCAAAACATTGCTCTTGTTTTGGCAAGCGGTTATTTCGCCTAATGGAAGGCAGGCATACCATAACTACACAGTAGTCAGGAGGATCGATCAATGATAAATAGCTCTAATCCTTGTCCCTGGTGGCTGGTGCCACTCAGCTTCCAGCTTCTCGAAACCTTATTGTTCTCTTCCGCCCCTTTTTTGGCAGCAGAGCAGGCAATGTTTGTAAGCGAGGCCGTGGGGGCAAGTTCCGCCATAAGCTTTGAAGAATCATCGGAGCAGACGCAGTGCAGTAGTGAGAAAGAAAGGACTGGTTATAATAATACGAGACTTAAACGGGAGACAAAACAGCCACTCCAAACTCGATCGCAATGACCGATCAGATACAGCACGCCCCCTAGTTCATACCTAGGCTTGGAGATTTGATGCGCCTCTCCTCGGATAATAAAGTTCGCATTAGGCGAAAAAAAGAAAATAGGAAAAAGAAAGGAAAAGAAGAAGACTGATGCCAGTGCACATGCTAGTACGGAGTAGTTAGTTATTTGAACCGGTAAAAGAAAGCCATTATTGTTTCAATTCCTCCTCCAAAGAATCCTACTGGCGGGGGGGCGCTTGATTCGTTGATTCGCGGGCTGTCCACCCCCCTCCCGCCATGGCTTATGGCTATGGTTTATGGTTTACGCTGCATAGTAGTTAAGCTGACCCCTAAATTACACCAGTGTTACAGGCCTCTTGGCCTGCATTACCGATATCATCGTATTATTTATCGGGTTCAAACTTTCTCTCGTCCCATGTCACACTAGGCAGAGTTTCCGACCCCCGGATCCCGGCACTGTTAGTGTTGGTTTTCATTGTTTATCACCGAATATCCCGATCGATCTCTTGCCTTGATTCTCCAGGCAAGGAATTGAGGAGGAGATGGAGATGAGAACTGCACATAATCCAGCTCTGTTTCATGTTCTCTTTCTGATATCACGTGACTTTCTTTACCCTTACATGATGGCTACCTACTTCCAAGTTCTGTCGAGCTTCTTTTGCCTGCTCTTTTTTTTTAACCTGCGGAACAGCGGACATATAGATGCGCCCGTCACGCCAGGCATGGGCATCTGCGTATTATTATTATTATTATTATTATTATTATTATTATTATTATTATTATTATTATTATTATTATTATTATTATTTTATTATCATTATTATTGTCGTTGTTGTTGTTATTGTTGTCGTTGCGCAGTGGCCTTGGACGCCAGATGAGGTGGTTGGATGATCATGATTGGGCATTTATGATTCGCATCGCACACTACCACCACACTAATTTAGTATAACTAGGGAAAGATATGAAGTTTGTTTACTTTCTGGGTTTGCCTGCTCGCAGTGGCCTAACTGTTTTGTACCTTCTCACGCCAAATAGGTGCAGCGGTACGTTAGCCCCAACGTCAGCAAGCATCATACAAACACGGGATATATGAGAGCAAAGATGACGAGAAGGCTGCTTCAGCTCTCGACGGTGGAAAGCTTAAAATATTCCAGACCAGCTCCGTCTGATTCCCCCAGATTTCCACTCTTACTCAATTCCTCTCTTGTCCCCCACCACCCGAAACTTGAACCCACAGCAGCGGCTAAGAAGCCCCTTTTCCGCTCCCGTTGCAATACAGAGTACTAAAAAAGCCAACGCCTCCCACCCGCTGGACACGGGTCGGGTAACACTCGGAACAAGTCCCCCCACTCTCTGGCTCCGCTTGCACAAGGTCGTGCTGATTCTGGCGAGCTTTGGCGTAATAGTAAGAAAAGATGGCTTGAAACCCGCTTGGCCCCAGTGTCAGCAAAACTCGACCCAGCTGGGTGAGAGCCCGCGTTATATATCTCATGGAAGAGAACCGTTTATTTCTTCGTCTTTTTTTGCCTTTGGAATGGGTCTCTTCTTTTCCCCCGCAATCCTTAGCAGCGATCTTCGATGTGATTTGAAACATAGCTGAAATTCTAATGTTCATGATTGAAGAGCTGCCAGTCCCTTTTTACTTCGCTCGACTTGATTGACTGATTGACTGACCGACCGACTGCCTGACGCACCGCTTTCTTTCCACTCCCATTTGTTTGTTGTTTGATTCCTCTGGCTGCCAGAAAGCGAGCGAGCATTTATTCGTCGCCATGAATGCCGCAGACAAACTCAAAGAGGACCTGCCGGTCGCCATGGCCATGGCGGCCTTCGTGGGCATTTCGTGGTACATCGGTGCGGAATTGAATATCCGACTGTTCTTAATCTTCAAGTACGTTCCCGCTGCCTCTAAATAAGAAATTAAAAAATTAAAAAAAGGGAAAGAAAAAGAAAAGAAAAGGCCATTTTTGGGTCTAATGATCAACATTGAGCTGGTGCTGGTGCTGATACTGTACCAAAAAAAACAATAGGCGAAAACGTGGGCTGTACTTCTGGAGCTGCTGTCTCTGCTCCTGGGGCGTTATCCTCCAATCACTACTTATCATCTTGGTTGATTTTGGCGTGCTGCGGCATATGTGGGTGGCAATGGCGCTTATCTATGCCACCTGGTGGCTCATGGTTGTGCCGCAGGCTGTGGTTCTCTACTCGCGGCTCCATCTCGTCATCTGGAATCGGAAGCATCTTCGATACGTGCTGTACATGATTATCTTTACTGTGATATTTATCTCGATCCCAACGATGCTTCTTGGAATCTTTGCTGTTAGTTCTTTTCTTCTTTTTCTTTTCTTACTCTATTTTTCTCTATCACTTGCTTCAATTGAAACACCCGTTGGTAAATGATTGAAATCGAGCTAACTATGACCAAACAGCAAGCCGGCGGGAATCCAACCGTTTTACGCGTAAACGCAGTCTGGGACCGCATCCAAGTCAGCATCTTCTTCGTCGAGGAAACAATCATCTCCATCCTGTATGTTATAGAGACTCGCCGTCGCCTTGAAAACCTGCGGACCCTTGGCGAGCGCCATAACACCATCTACCAAGTCATGCACCACCTCATCTACACCAACCTCTTGGTCATCTGCCTCGACATATCCCTCCTCGGCCTCTCCTACTCGAAGCACTTCTACATCCAAGCCGCCTACAAGCCGTGCGTCTACGGCCTCAAACTGCGCGTCGAGTTCTCCATCCTCAACCGCCTCATCTCCTCCCTGCAGAGTTCCACACACCTCTTCTCTACAACGGCACCCTCCTCCCATCCGCATGCGCCTATTCGCAGCCCCGAATCGAGGATGCCCGCTCAGCGTTCTCTAAAACCAGACGAAATGACGCTGGACACTCTCAGCTTCGAACCCAGCGCGTCCAGGTCAACTTGAACCCCGACCAGGCTATTATTGGTCGATACGAACAATTTGAGGCTAACGCTCTAACGACGCCTCCATGGAATGTTAGACCAAGGGAGCGGGGGCTCTAATCCCCATCCGGATTGCTCCGAACGACCGGTTCAGCTCTCTCCATGCGTATCGAATAGTAAAAAGGTCGGCATGATACATCGTTACTTGGAGATGAAAGCCAACAGCATTCAATTAAATACGAATCGATGGAAGCTAGTGCTGAAGCTCAGTTGCAAAATCATCTTTCGTGACAACTTTACAAATACCTAATGGGATTCTTCTCGTTAACCTACTCCCCTCCCACCACCCCCCTATCCATACCACCACCACAAGCAATCAAAGCGAGGGCCACCTTCTCAACCACCCCCTCTACCCCTGCAGCAGCAGGCAACTGGGAGCGTAACCTCCCGGCCCCAAGCAACAACAACACAAGCAACGACCACAAAAACAACAACGACAACAACAACATCATCGACACGATAATGCCAAGAAGGGAAAAAGTGCCCAAGAGCAAGCTGTCAAACGCAACAACAGTAACAGCAGCAAAAACAACAACAACCCGCAATTCCCAAAGCTCAGCTTCGAGGCGCTGGGATTGAGCGGGAGCATGAAGATATTTTGTTCTGGGGCTGGTGGGGACACTGGGCAAGATGGAGACTTGGTTCTGGTACAAGGCGATTTGGGGGTGGTGGAGGGGGAGCGTGGATGAGGAAGGGACTGATGGGGACAAGGAGAAGGAGAAGGGATCAAGCCTAGATATGGAATATGGATTTTCTTTAATGTCTAACACGGTAAAGAGGGAAATATGGAAGTAGGGGTAGTTTGGGGGGATATATTGCCTCCGTACCACGGCAATTTGGGTGAACTGTATGATCAGTGTAACGTCTATATTTTCTCTAGAATATTTAGGATAGATAAAAAGAATAGATATGAATTTAATTTATGAGACTATCAACCAATCACCTCCATTTCTCGTCCGTCTGAATGGCGAACGCACCTAAACTTAAAACTTTGTTTGGTATGGCTCAAGATATTTAAATAGTTAAATATTTCAAAAATCGATCCGCCCTGAGTGCGTGGCAGAGTCAGTGTCACCAACAAATCTCCATTGATTGTTATTATCATTGTTATGATCATTATTGTCAAATGTTTGAAAATGGACGGAAGAAATAATAACTACGACGCACAATCGCCGAGAGACTGCCAGGCGCAGCTGTCATGTTGTGTATCGTCGATGTCTCAGCTGTCTGTCCCCAGCCTTGTCACTCTCTCGTCAACTCACGGTTTTTTATTATATTTTTATTATCCCTTCCTTCTCTCCCTATGTATTTCCCTCTCTTTCTTAAATAATACTTAATTAAACGCCGTTCCCATACTGTTCCTCTGAGTCCTGTGTCTATGTGTGTGTGTGTGTTTGTGTGTTGTTTCATGTTATAAGCTATACTACTACCCCATGTTGGCATCAGGTCAGGCAGACAACGCATCCATCCCACCAAACCAAGTTGAATAAAACAACCCGCAGTTCATGACCACAATTACCACCACATCCTTGAAGAACACCACCGCCACTGCCTCCCTGTTGGGCGGGATCCCCTCGACGTCCATGATTTCAACAGCAGAAAACCCGGCGACGACGACGACGACGACGATAGACTGTCCGAGCTGCGGCTATGATGTGCGCTTGGCCGACGATGATGCCCAGCAGCGCATCATCTCCGAGCTGGAGGCGCAGGTTAGGTTTTTGAACAAGAGGGCTGCGGAGACGGGTAGGTTATTTCTATCACTATAATTCTTTCTCTGTGCTTTTGATAACTCACCCATGGTCTTCTCGCAGCGGACAAACTCGCCGACTACGAAGATGAAATCCGCTTCCTCCGCTCTAAGGCAAACAACGCCGCAACCGCAACCGCAACTACGGCGCTCACAATCCCCCCAACAACACCCACCCTCCCCTCTTCTCATACGGCAGATCCCTCCATAACCTCCCAACCTCACCAGCAACAACAACAGCAGCAGCAGACTGCCACTCCACCCCCTCAATCCCGCCTAGGCACCTTCGCCTCCCTCCTCCCCTACGGCCGGCGCAACGCCCCAACCCCCCCTACCCCCCCTCCCGCGCCAAACCGCTCCCCAAACCGCTCCCCAAGCCCCACCAGCCCCACCAGCACCACCACAACCTCCCCCCTCCCATCCACCGCCAGCACCAGCACCAGCACCCCCACCGCCCTCCAAAACGCCCTAACCCGCGAACAAGCCCTGCGCAAAGAAGCCGAGTCGCGCCTCACCCAAGCCACCTCCGAGCTGGAAGAGCTCACCGCGCAACTCTTCAGCCAGGCGAACGAGATGGTGGCGCAGGAGCGCAAGGCGCGCGCGAAGCTGGAGGAGCGGGTGGAGGTGCTTGAGCGGCGGGATGGGGAGAAGCGGCGGCGCCTGGAGAGGCTAGAGAAGGCGATTGAGAGGGTAGATCGGGTTAGGGGGATTGTGGGAGGTGCGTAGGAAAGGGAAAGGAAATGGGAAAAAGGGGGGGGGGGCGGTGTTGGCGTTTGTTTTTCGTCTTGGGATGTATATTTCTGGATGGACGGGTATTATGACACATGTTTTTGAAATATTTATTAATGAGTGCTATTTGCATGACGGACGATATTTTTATTCTTTAATGGCTTAGCTAACCCCCTATTGCACTTTTTTAGGAGTATTGTATGTACACTATACTATGTATGCATTTATAGCGGTTTGGTATGGGATTTTGCGTTTCCACGTTCTTATCTACGTACGCAAGAGGAAGATATTTAATTTTGGAGAGTTTGTCTGTTCTTTCAATCCTCAGATCTTTACCTATAGTTGATATGCTCATACTTTCAAAATTGCCGAAGAATTTACCAAAGAAAGACTCTCCATTGGATAGTGAGAGCGTGGGAGGAGGCAAAAGGGAAAAAACAAACATAATCATGCTATGGGGGACATGACAAAGAAATCAAGTAGTTCGATTTATGTGGGTATCTTGCTATAAATGAACAATGGTATAGAATCATGAATTGGGAAATGAGGAACCGGATGGGTAGGTTATCAAATCCATATGGAAAGACGCGGAAATAGTTAACTAATACATCAGTGCGTGAATAGAATAGGGGATGGAGGGGAAAAGAGGCTAGGCCCGGATTGCATTCAGGAAAGGGGGAATGGGGGAACATGCTAAGATATAACCTGGTGCGGGAAGAATGCAATGCGATGTTGATATATGGAAGTATTAGGAAAAGCAGAAATGACGAACACAATGGGTATATAATACAGGGGCAAATTATGCCGAGATAGCAACGCCAACTATGCATGTACGCAATAGAACTAAACAAATGTAGTGGGGAAGAAAAAAAAGGAAGAGAGTCGAATCGAACTTAACCGCTCACGAGGTTGCCCCATCCGTTTCATTTCCACTCTTCCAAAAGGCATACTTGCCCTGCGCGGGGTCCGCATTCATCGACCACACCCATGCACACAGTGCGCCTAGCAGCCCAGCGGCCCCGATTAGAACCGGCCGCAGACGCGCACCACCTCTAGTCCGCCTTTGGGCCGACGACGAATCCGATGGTCGCCGCAGGATCCCGGAGGCAAACGTGGGCAACTTAGCCCTGATCGACGGAAAGATTCCACTACCCGACCTACTACGGCTGCTGCCGTTGCCATTACCAGACACCGTCTTCCCAATCTCCGCCCGTTCGACCTCGACGTCAATCTCAGCGATGATACGGCTGCAATGTCGGAAAATGTTGACCGCCTCAACGATGATTTGTGCCCGTTCAGAGACGGAGAGGAGATTCGAGGCGGAATGAAGCCGTGCTTTAAATTCTTGTTTTATCCCCTCGTCGTCGTACAGGTCTTTGTCGTCGCGGTGGAAAAACCAGAAAGTGAGCCCGTTCGGGATCCCGCTATCGCCGTCGCCATGCTCAGTGGATTCCGGGTTAGTCTTCCAGAAATCATGGCCCCCCGCTGCGAGTTTCGTGCGGATTCGACGTCCCCCGTTGAGCAGTATTAAATACATTATCCATGCGTAAACCATGATTAGGTGAGGGTGTTCCGCTGTGGCGGATTTGATGTGGGCTGCAAAGGCCGTTGCGGCGTTGCCGTACGCATCGTCATCATCATCCTTGTTGTTCGATGAATAGTTGTCCCTAGGGGTATCCTGGCCTGAATCCTCCGTACCGGACGACCAACCCAATGCACGCAAATCCGATCGCAACTTCTCGCTGCGTAGCAGCTCGGGGATATATAACTGGCTCAAGATGCTTCTGATTCTGCCTCTGTCGTCATTTACGAACGAATCCAGAATCTCATATTCATCTGGGCTGCTGGTGCTGCTGACGGATGGTAACTGAGATAACTGAGAAAGCCAGGCTTCTTCAAAGGCGAAGTATATTTCTGCAAAACGGGATATTCCAAACGCGTAGAGCGCTGGCGTATCAGTGCGGGGGGGAAGGCATAGCGGGACGCGCTTGGCAACCAGGCTGCCAAACGAGGTGTGATGGTCCCTGTTGGGGTGTATTAGCTTGATCCATCTTTGAGCAAGGCAAGGAGACTTTTATGGTGATTGGGTTGGAGCCTGTGAAGTATATAACGGCCCCCTCATAAACGACAGCCTTTACCTGATTGCGTCGAATATCTCCTTTGAAAGATCCTCCATAGCCCCCTTGTATAAAATGGCAGACAGCGGTGATAAATCAACCAGGTCGGCTTTTCTAGTATAATAGTTGCGCAGGCGAAAGTCTTTAGACAAAGGTAGAAATCTCTTGTTCAGCATTTTTAGATCCAGCATTCCCTTTAAGCATGAAACATTGGTCAATACGCACGGATAAACAAACGAGGTAGACTGCTCTTTTATAGCAATAGGAGAATAGGTATTCCACTATTATATCCAAGCACATGACCAACATCATGTGTTTAAGCGTGTTGCTTCCAAGGTTCAAGCGCACGGCTACCTGGTTGTTTGTATGGCAGTTACCACCGATGACTAGTTTCGCTGGTAACTGGAGGCATCAGGTCATTAGTTGTGGGCGAGAAAGGTGGTTTTTTCTAATCGTCATATCGTCATATCGTCTCTCAAATGACAGATGGTACAAGATCACAACTGCTGGATGTACCAGCTGCGATATTGTCCATATAAATAGAATACGGAAGAGGCCAGGAGCATCTTGACTGTGACCTGTTGGGTGAGGATTCTGGGCACATGATCGAGGATCTCATGGCTGCACTTCTCGCGACTGACACTGCCATTTTCGTGCTTCATCAGTGGCTGATTGATGAATTTGAATCCCCTAGCGCTACATAAGAGCATTTATCCAATGCAGATATCGCACCCAGCCGTCGTGTTGAAGACTGGTTGGTTGAACATGGTTGATCGAAACTGTCGATAGCCGAATCTGGTATATATCACGTGATATTTTCCCAAAGAGGAAATCAGGGTTCGGGAGATAAAAACCCTAGTTCCCAAGTCTCGCTTAGCGAGCCAACTAGCGCCGGAATTCCACTCTGGCTGGAAAATCCAGAGAAGAACGTCGTTGAAAACGTCCGCCATCGATCGCAATCACCCTTCGACGACACCCGCCCACGACCAGCTTCGGGACCGCATAATACCGCCAAGGTACGTTTCCTCATCAATTTCTAAGCCATCTAGGGGTTTGGAATGGCATCTAACAAGCTATTGTTGAACAGATGGTCGCCGCAAAGAAGCATATCCCGATCGTGAAGAAGCGTATGTACCCCCCAGTTTCCTCCCAGGACCGTTTAAGGAATCGCTATGTTTGTTGGTTATGGAGTTGGAATTGCGTTTGGGGGAAATGGATGTGGATGCAGGGGAATCTTGTGCGAGGAAGAGACGATTGAATTGCTGGAAAACAGTTGAACAGAGGGAGTGTTGTAGAAGGAGTACAAAGGCTGATTTAAAGGATTTCCGGGGATACAGACAAGAAGCGCTTCAACCGCCACCAGTCAGACCGCTTCAAGTGCGTCGACCCGTCATGGCGGAAACCTAAAGGTATCGACAGCCGTGTCCGCAGACGGTTCAGCGGCCAGGCTGCTATGCCAAAGGTACGATTTGCCCGCCCCCGGCTCAGACTGGCGAACATCGCCTTCCGGTCAATCAGGGACAAAGCAAGAATGAAAGAAAGATATCATCAGCGTTGGAGAGATTGGGTTCATCAAACCACCGACTGACAATTGGCGACTTGGAAAACCACATCATAGATCGGTTATGGAAGCAACAAGAAAACCAGACATATGACCCCCTCCGGCCACAAGGTCTTCCTCGTTCAGAACCCCAAGGATGTCGAGCTTCTGTTGATGCACAACCGGACCTACGCTGCTGAGTATGTTGAAACCCAACACCTGCATCGGAATTTTCAATATCGACCCTCGAATTAATACTAACACTCTCCCGTTCCTTTCAGGATCGGCCACGCTGTTTCGTCAGGAAAGAGAATCGACATCATCGCCAAGGCCAAGGCACTCGGTGTCAAGGTCACCAACCCCAAGGGCAGACTCACCACTGAGTCGTAGTCATGTTTTGTTTTCTTTTTCTTTTTCCGTTTTACGTTTATGTCTGGGGTCCGAAAGGCTTGGGATTTGGCGAAAGCATTATTTGATAAATAAAATAGCCGTTGAAAATCCTTATTTGAAAATTTAAACAACAAAAAAGGAAATAATTAACGGAAATGAAAACTGTTATTTTACTTTGTCCCCCTGTGTTTGCCGGCTGCGTATTCATTTTTGTCGTGGTTTTCCTGCTATTTTTATCGCTGGACTTCTGCGGTTCACAACGGTTTTCTCCAGACCAATCGACATCGTGTAGGGAAACCTAAATTCTTGAACAGTCCCGAGTCATACTCACCGTCGATTTACTGTGTAGTGCCTCTTCACACTCTTCTCCACTGGCGCTTATCCAAGCTGTCGTCTGCATCTAATTGCACAGGGTTAACGGGGTATCAGTATCCTCCCAGGGTATTGGGAACTGGAAGGAAGCAATCTCAGATACCCCCATCCCCAGCTGTCTTTCAGATCAACTTGTTGACTTCACACTCTAGCTAGCACACACCTGCTGTAGCTATGTACAACTGCCGGGTTGGCCGTCTCCCACCAATCACCACTTACTAGCAAAACTTTACTAGGAGTGGTGTAAGAGAACACAGCAACTCCTCCTCGCAAAACACAACTCTTAGGATTATTCAGAAGGCCCTGTTCACATCTTTTTCCTACTTCTCAGCATGCTGCACCAACCTTTGTGCGTGAGACGTGGACAAGGGGTCCCCACGATAGCATCCAAATAATTTCTTACCGACCGAACTCTTGGACTCTTGAGATCATTTCAGCGCAAAGCAGAGCGCCGGAGAACTTTTCAAGGTCTTCGTTTATTCACTGGCCATCATTCTGCTAAGGCAATATGACCCCTAGATTTATAATATCCCACTCCAATGTTCACAGGGGGGGTTGGTGGAGGGGGTTGGTCCGGTTCCAATGTGTGCTGCTGCCAGTAGTACTAGTATCTTATTTAAATGCCCTTTTATACATTATTATCCCTCTCCTTGGATTTCTTATGAACACATCTAAACCAAACATATCTACGAGAGCGCGCAAATTTCATAATCCCAGCCTGAGGAATGGGTATTCGTTGCGACACCTACGATTAAGAACAAGGATTGCATGAGAACTGCTAGATGCGTTAGACGATTATACGTCCAGTTCTAAATTAGCAGCGGGAGGCTACGTAGCTCCTAGCCAGCCAGGAAATATCCCATGCCCGCGACTTTTGGAGGATGGAATGCAAAGCTCTCTAGTGCATGGGTAGTTTTTCTCCCCGCTTTCATCATTATTCGGAAAAGCTTCTGTTTCTTTATGTTAGAATAAATGGGGGTGAAAAGAATGGGAGTACTTAAAAATGTGGTTTGGTACAAATATATATATATATTGATAAAACACACCATATTATATTCTGAGTCTCATGTTAAATATATTCCGATCCATTCCAACAAATTCATTAAATTTGAAATCCAATCCTGCCCCATTCTTTCCCCTAACCACACTCAACGGTTACCCAGAAAATGATACGGAAGGGCTAGATAATTTGGCAATATCTGTTCAGTTGATATAACGGACATTCTATGCGGATCTGCGGCGGTGGAGGCAAGCATATTTGGTCAAATGGCGGGCGCACGTAGGAGGGAAGTTTTTTATAAAGGAAGAGGCCCTTTTTGCAGGACATGATATTCCCCAAGGTATAGAATAATTGAAGACGGTGCCCACCTGGATGAGAAAGTCATTTTCCCTTCAGATACCCCAATATTCATAGTAGTAGTGATAATCGCTCGTACTCATCGGGCACTCGGGTCGGGACTGTCCCTATATTTCCCGGCCAATGGGACATGATATTGTGCGAGGGAAAGAGAGAGATCTACAAAACTATACAAGACGTGGTTGGGTTGGCGGAAGCCTTCAAGTTTCGGTCGTCTGATCATGATGTCATGGTCTCCATATTTAAGCTATTTATGGGTCCTGCACGCTAAGAAAAGCTTATCTGGAGCCCTGCGCTGCGTCATGTCCCGGCAATGTGTATGTATACCGATGTTCCCGGTACAACGCCTGTAGGGGTGGTAGTTTCATGCCATTGTTCTACTTCCATCCATGGGATGGTGAAGATACGCGAGGTTTGGATCCCGCCGGCCCCTGAGCCGCTAGGTTCATATTTTGGCTTTGAGGGATGAAGCAAACTCTGAGCGCTCCAGGGGAACATCAGTAGAGCTGCCATCTGCTCCATCTTATAACTCCATTGATGCAATTCCATCCATTCCTTGAATTGGTCTTGTGGAGCAAATTATTCAAATATAATCTATCCCCGAAATGCACAATGTTCCCTGTTTCAACTTCCATTCTTTTTCCCTTCTGTATCGGTCTCTTCAAGGCTTCATCCAAAGTCTCCCGCTGTACTGTCCTATATCTCCTTATCTCTTTTCCCGTCGTTTCCCCTCCCCGCACTTCCGTATTTTCAAACGAAAAATCCCTTAATATTATCACAGCTCTCTTTTCTTGATTTTACCTCCCCTCCCTTTGACCCAGCTCGAGTTGTCTTAACTAGCACTGGCCTCCTTTAACGGCGTATATTCGTCATGGTATCGCCGACGTATGCAGGCATGAGCGGGAAGAAGCTTTCCCTAGCAGGTTCAACCGTCGCCACCATGGCTTTTTTGCTATTCGGATATGACCGTATGTTATATGGTCGATTCTGGAAATTGACTGTGCGGAGCACTAGCTAACAGCAATCCATCAGAGGGCGTCAAGCATCCCGGATCCGGCATTCAACAATATGTATGCCGCCACCAAGGACAATAGCACATTGCAGGCCACCGTGCATACGGTATATGAAGTTGGTACGTACCACAAGAGTTCGCTCAAGCTGCACGGAAGAAATCACAAAACTAATACCGGATATAGGGTGTCTCCTAGGTGCGGTTGTCGCACTCTTCATCGTCGATCGGCTCGGTCGTCGTTGGATGATCATATCCGGTGCGATAATTATGATTCTCGGCGTGATTATTCAAGTTACTGCAATCGAAGACAAGGTTCCACTCGTGCAGTTTATCATCGGCCGTGTCGTCACTGGAGTTGGAAATGGAATTACCCATATACCATCCCCACCAACCAGGCTGAATGTTCCAAGTCCCATAACCGCGGGTTGTTGATCTGTATTGAGTGTGGCGTCATTCCCATCGGCACAGCAATTGCCTATTGGATTGACTTCGGGGCGCGTTATGGACCCTAAGACTTGCTCTGGAGATTCCTTATTGCATTCCAGGTCGTTTGTCGTTGTTGGCGTTTTCATTATAATCGGCATGTTTTATCTTCCCGACTCACCCCGTTATCTTATCTCCAAGGACAAGGTTGAAGGTGAAAGGGTACTTGCTGCCCTTGCGGGCACAGAGATTGACGACCCTGCCACCTAGCTGCAAAAGAATCTGGTCATCTATTCGATTAAATAGAGACTAAGTGAAGCTCTTTCCCCTCTGCTGCGCCTCCACTCACAAACCGACCAAAACATTAGTCCAGGTGCCACGAAAGCAGGTTACAAAGATCTTCTCATTGAGGGCAGGACTCAGCACTTCTGTCGCATGGTTGTGGGTTCCGATGTAACGCCGTCATTTACTATCTTCCAGCATTGTGAGAAGAGTCCCTCAACCAGTCGCATGACTTTGCATTGTTGATCGGTGGCGTTAATATGATTGTCTATTCCATTTTTTTTTTGCGACGTTCTCATGGTTCTTCATTGAGAAAATAGGGCGTCGCAAGCTCTTCCTTGCAGGGAGTTTCGGTCTATGCGCTGCCATGGTCATCGTATTCGCATGTCTTATCCCCGGAGATGACCAAACCGCCAAGGGCGCAATATTTGGCTTCTTCATGTACATGTGTTTCTTTGGTGCAACTTGGCTGCCTCTCCCTTGGTTATACCCTGCCGAACTTTTGCCCGGACACGAGCCAAATCCAACGTCATTTCCACCTGCAATAACTGGCTTTTCAATTTTATAGTCGTCATGATGACGCCAGTCATGGTGGTCCGTATCGGATGGCGGGCATATCCCTTCTTCAGTGCATGGAACGCTATTCTCATACCATTCATCTGGTTCTTTTACCCAGAAACTGCAGGTCGGAGCTTGGAGGAAATCAACCACATCTTCGCCAAGGGATATGTCGAGAAGATGAATTACGTCAAGGTCGCAAAGGCATTGCCTAAACTGACGGATGAAGGGGTTGATAGGAAGGCTAAAGAATATAGACTGGCTCGGCACAATCTCAGATATGAAAATGTTAAGCAAGGAAGCCTTTCAAGTTGGGCAGGTTGTTATGTCGTAACGGTAGAGAGCGCGTTCACATGGTCCCATTCTATACCCTGTGAACTAGATTATTGTTGTTGTTATTGTTATTGTTTCTGCTTTGGATATTGATGGGCTTCTCCGTATATTGGAGGAAATTTGGGAATAGCGGAGTGAAAATTACCATTAGACATAGATTTTATGATCTTATTGCGTGTTAAAAATATTCTATACCTCTCAGGTATCGTTACTGAGAAACATTCCATATTGAAAATTTCACAGCACTAGGACGGTGGGAACCTGACCAGCAGGTCCATTATCGACGCCCGACAACATATATCGAGCGGGAGTCCAAAGTGGAACCGGAGGAGGAATCCTCTACCTAACTCCATCTGGCAATTGAGCATAAAAATTGTGTTCTCCGGCATGGGGTAGGCCCGGACGCAGGATGAACAGCATGGAAATGAAGAAGATGGCGAAGTTGAAGGCGGAGATCACCACCATTCGCGAAGTACCAGTATTACCGCTCTTGCACGTGCTGTGCTGGAGGAGGAAAGTATTAGGATGCCAACACTGGAGAAAAATATTTTGATAGATATGCGCATTTTTATATAGTGGGCATGGTATCTGAAATAGTCGTAATCCAACTAGCCACAGCCTATTGATCCATCTCACGATATCCCCTTACGAAACAGCAGCACTTGTTTCGGCTCTAGTAGTAGCAATATCAATATCACCTCCATTCTCCTTCATCTGCTGCTCCTTCATATTCTTATCGATCAGCTCAGTCACGTTCACAGCGCCTAACCCCTCAACCAATGCCGAATCCCCATGCTGCCCTTTCCCAACAACTTCCTCTTCCTCATCATCCACCCAATCTGGTACAGTGGTAGGACCCTCCATGCCCTCGGGGGGCAGTGCCCAGCCAGGCATTTTACTCTTATACTTCCATGCACCAGTGACATCCGCATATGACACCGCATGCAGGAAAATTCCCAGTTCATGTACACCGGGATCGGTGTATAAATCCGTTCCGCATATCTCGCATTGCTTCCCGTTCATCTTCTCCCCCTTGCGTTTCAAATAGTCATTAACCATAACTTCATGTTCCTTGGCTAACAGCTCATCCACAACGGCAGGGTCGTTCTTGGAGACTGATTCAGGTGGTGGTGTTTGGAATGTTTGGTAACTGAGTGAGTCGGCGGGTTCGGTTTTACCCATTTTGGACAGCCGGTATATTATCTGCTCGTCGTTTTCTCCCGTTGCGTCTGCCTTTCCAAGGCTGTGGCCAAAGACTCGCCGGTTGGAATAAATTGGGTCATTGGTTATTGGATGGCCTAGGTATTGAAGGTGGACGCGAAGCTGGTGGGTGCGGCCAGTCAGTGGCAGGCAGTGAACGATACTATAGCCCTCTTCGTCTAAGCTCATAGGAATAGGGGTGGTTGCTCCTGTGGGGGTATCGGTCGGCGAATCGCTGATGTTCATTTGATCTGGTAGTGTTGCGGGAGGCGTTGCCGGTCCGGTTGACGAACCCGAGGTTTTCTCTGCTTGCTTATGCGGCGGATAATATGCAATTCTCCGGAATTTTGTTCTCGCTTCCTTTCCTGAAGCTCTTGCACGGTTTAAGCCCAGAATCGGACTGATTTTCAACATAGGTTGATCACACAACACAACGCCATCCGGGAACTTCCCTTTCACGCGTGCCACATATTCCTTGCGCACAGTGCGCGATCGGAGCTTTTCGCCAATCTGTTCTGCACCCTTGGGGTGTTTGCCGATAAACATCACCCCCGAGGTCAACCTATCCAGACGATTGCAGGGATACGGAACCCAACCATTTCCACGCTCCGCCTTCATTATCTCGAGAACTGAATTATAATTGTATCTCCCCGCAGGGTGTACAGGAACGCCCGCCGGTTTATCGATCACAATCATGTCATTGTCCTCGTGGATTATGCCGATCGGTTGACTGGTGACAGGCGGCTCGTGTCTGTGGAGTGTGTGCGAAATGACGTCCCCATTTTGGATCTTCGTATCTATTGAAACGGCCTTCCCGTTTATGCATACAGCCCCGTCTTCAATGGCTTTTTGCTGAAGATTGCAAGTTAGTACGATTTGCGGTATTTCTGAAGTGAAGGGTCGTTTAAACAAGACCCCAACAAGATTTGAGTCGCACTTATCAACATACATAATACTCCCTCGGCCTATCTCTAAACTCTGCTCCAAAGACATCTAACAGTCCTCGACCCCGCCACCTTTCTTTACAAAATGTATTATACGTGTAGTGGTATGGGGCAACTCTGCGCAAGCCTCCTTCGATGTAGTAAGGCCTAGGTAAAGGATCACAGGGTGTCACCACCACATCCGGAGGTGGTTCGAATTCTTCCTTCTTTTCCACAGGAGATGGGTGATCAACAGTTGTCAGGGCCATACTGGTAGTCGTAGGATATCGACCCCGCCGAGCCAGGCAGCCCAGAGCGCGCGGATAGGGCGCCACGGAAGTTGAAGGTATTTCGTTGGGAATATGAAAGAAAAGTAGAGGAGAGGAAGCAATTGAGACAAGGTAACGAATAAACGTGTGAACGAGCCAGCTGGGATGTATTCAGTATGGTGCAATGAGAAAGGAGAATGAACCATAGACAAAAGCATCAGAAAATACAACGGAGAAATATACTTCCGAGTTAATTGTCAAAATAAGGTTATCATGTGATCTTCGCGTCGATCAATCTTATCTTATCTATCAACCACAGAACAACCGAGGCGAGACAACGCCAAATTCCCGTTTGATAGCGCTCAGTTTATACAGCATTCGATACTCCATGGATTCGTATCATTTCATTGTACTTCGCTGTCGAAATCATAAACTATCTTTTCGTGAAGAGGAGCCGTAACAATGGCCCCGACGGAGCTAGAACTCAAGAAGCGCCGAACGAGAAAGGAGTATTTATTCCACTTAGAATATCGAACAAGATGGTGAGTACATCTCCATATAACTAGTTATCTTAATTCTGCCCGTTATCAACTCAGAGAAATTCAATTGCGTTTTGATTGGGATTAGGGGAGGAGATAAGCAGATAAAAACAAACCCCACACGATCCTACACTACTACTGCATACTAATTATTTTGAATGTTAGGTCCGACAACGATATGTACGCCCACCTAAACAATAGCATATACGCCTTTCTCATCGACTCTATTGTAAATACCTATCTAATAAACCACTGTGGGCTGGATCCTTTCTCTACTCGCTCTTCTACTCCTCCTCGCCCCTCATCCTCCAGCACCTCAAGTTCCACTCCTGCAGCCCGACCTTCCCAAATCGGCCTCGTCGTCTCCTCATATTGTGACTATTTTGCTTCCGTTTCGTTTCCAGATGTCCTAGACCTAGGCCTGCGCGTTATCAAACTTGGCAGTTCAAGCGCGATGTATGAAGTTGGCATTTTCCGCCGCGGGGAAGAGACTGTTAAAGCTGTCGGTGGATTTACGCACGTGTTTGTTGAGAAGGAGCCTGAAGTGAAGACCGGGGGCGGAGGTGGAGGTAGAGCGTCTAGGAAAGGAATGGATGGAAGGATTCGAAGCGGCCTGGAGAAGTTGATGATAAATGATGTGGCAGGATCATCAAAGCTCTGATGGCTTGGCCAAGTGAAGCGCTGTGTGGTTTGATGTAATTATACCCCTGGGCTGAAAGTGGGATATAGAAGTTTTGGCGTATGGTAATGTAATATCATATTGATACCAAAAATGGCTACATGTAAATCAATTGAAGTTAGCGATATCAACGACATTTAATACTCCTGTCTATGTATATCTATCTGCCTTTGTTGCGGCAGTCATCTACAATTTAAAGCCACCCATCGGCCTTGCGACCATGCAAGGCCCTTTGGATAAATTGTTTCCGTTTAGCTTTATCACAATAACTAACACCTAATTCCCCGGATTTGAAACGCAAAGGTATCTTATCTATTCACACTATCGTCCATAATCTAATTCTGATGTCCAAACAAAAACAAAACGAGACGGGTGCAAATGCCTCGTCTACGGAAATGCCATTGCCTGCCAGCTTCGCAAGAAAGTCAGTCAACTCGATGTTAACGTAATAATATCCTTCTATCTATAGTAGTAAAAAAACATGTATGTAAACGGATGAGTCAGATTTGGGTCATAGCGGTAAAGACAATCGTTCGTCATCATCATAACAAAATGAGTCGTTATAACATCACACACTGTCCCTTATCTCGAGAGGCTGGAAACCAACTTTCTTGTCTTCCTGTATAGAGAGGCACACAATCCAACGTGTCGTTGTGGTGGGCCGGGGTTATCGTAGCCGAAGCAAGGGAAAGAAATAAGCACGAGACGAAAAGAAAACCGGGTATTTTGGAATATCAAGCTTCCAACACTACACTGGGTATAGGTTATGCTGGCGTTCGGTAGAAACTTCTAGCGATATCCAGCGACCAAAGATTTTTTTATAACAAATGAAAGCAAGAAATATGATATGCGATTCCGGAGCTGATTAGACTGGTAAAGACAAGGCGTGCCTTTACTGTGTCGTACACTGTGCCTGTCCTCCCTCCTCTTCATCTTCATCCTCCCAGGCTGCACCTCCCTGGCTATCTTTGGATCCGAACTCCTCAGGGTTCGCTTTTGGATCATACTCGACATCATCTACTGTCTCAGCCTGGATGGCAGGGCCTGGTCCGGGAAGAATATCGCGCAGCTTTGCAAGGGCTGCGGGGTCTGAAGCCCACCCATCCTCTGGGAACTTGATTTGGACGGCCAAATACAAATCGCCTCTCGAATCAGTCTTTTTAAAAGGCATGCCCTCCCCTGGGACTTTGAGGACTTGATTAGGTCTCAAAACAGCGCCTTCTGTTTTAGGATGGGTGATTTCGATCCCTCTTCCATCGAGGTGCTTCAGCACTACGCGGGAAAAGCCGCAAAGCGCCTCAGCTAGCGTGATTTGAATCTCGGCCATTAGATCCGCACCGGCTCGTCGGAACGTTTCGTGCTCGATTTCCTCCAAGTGGAATATAATATCTCCTGGTTCTGTGTTTGGAAATTGGTCTCCCTCTCCCTCTAATACGATCTTGTCACCTTGTCTGCAAAATTTTGTTAGTAAACAAGGGTTTTAATGGTGCGGAGACGAAGGGCAAGAGTCAAAACGTACTTCGCGCCACGAGGAATATATATTTCGAGCAGCTTGCGCTCTTCTGTGACTTGTTTCCCCTTGCATTTCTTGCATTTGTCCTTCGGCTGAAAGAAGCTCCCGGAGCCTTCACACACCTTACATTCCGCCATGGCCTGAGTGACCATGCCCGGCCCAACTTGGACAAGTGTTTCCTTGTACCCTATGATTTGAAAAGTGATATTAGCGACTACATCGTCCTGCTCAGAAGAATGCCAGGATGTCTTACCAGCGCCCCCGCAAGTAGAACATTGTTTTGGTGTGGCCCTTTCTTTTCCACCTTTCCCTTTACATAGACTGCAGATGACATTTTTCGTGCTTGAAAATTTGACGGTTCGACCCTTGTATAAGTCTTCCAAACTCACTGAGTACTCTTGTACCTCGTTTTGACCCTTTCTTGGCCTGCTAGGTCTTGGCCCGCCAAATCCCGGCATGCCTCCTCCCATGTTCATTCCCCCGCCAAACATCGATGCGAGGAGGTCATCGAGATCGGGGCCGCCTTGCATACCAGCCCGTCCCGACCCGTCAAACGCTGACATTCCATGAGTGTCGTAGATGTGCCTTTTCTCATCGTCATAGAGGATATCGTAAGCCTGGCTCACGGCTTTAAAGCGTACTTCGGCCGCCTCTCTTTCATCTGGAGAGACCTTATCAGGATGGTGGGCGAGGGCTGCCTATGGGAAGAGATAGACATGTCCATTAGTTTCAGATGCACGGACAGCCTTTGAGCGTGAACCTCGTAGCTGCATACCTTTCGATAAGCCTTCCGTATTTCCTCTTTCGTTGCAGATTTGTCGATGTTCAAAACATCTGGCCTGGTTTAGTTTCGATGTCCATTACGCATGCTAAAGAATCGGTGCGAAAACTCACTGTATAAATCCGTCTCACCGTCGGCGAAATCCACTATTGCTGCGGAGTCAGTGAAATCGGTCAGGGGAGAGATATTTAAGAAGTACTTCATATGCTACGAGGTAAACAACAGTAACATAAATAGCGGAGGTAACCCACTTGTTGGTGCACCGGAAAAGGACTGTTCTCTTTGGTCTTCTGGGATAAAAAGGATATTTATACGGCTAAACGAGCGACTTGAAAACGTAGTAGACAAGCAAAATATGAGTGCCTCGTGCAAGTGATGACGGCGTTGAGTTGATAGTTGGAAAAAGTACGGAAAAAAATAAAAATAAAAAATCAGAGTTTTGGCGGCGGCGGCAAGATTTTCCTCGTCAACCCAAACACCCGACAGAATCTTGTGAATATTTAAATGAATGCGGTGCTGAAAACCCGAGTTCTATCCCACCCACAGGACTAAAATTTGGAAATTTCCTTAATTATTTATTCTAAATACACGGATGATTCAATATTGAGGGTCCGAGCGTTCTTTTGCACTCTATTTTTTTTTTGCATTGAAACTTCCATCGCGGACGATGAGACCGCGATATCGGCCAAAACTGACGATTCCGCCCTGCACATTCTGCGGCGCAAGTTTCTCTACAACAGCAGCCCGCCGTGCGCGGAAACCAAGCAAACTACTACCAGATTCCCCAGCGCGTACTCGTTTTGCCCCATCTCCTACGGGATACCTCCACCTTGGCTCCCTGCGGACGGCTTTGTTCAACTACCTTCTCTCGAAGAGAACAGGCGGCCAGTTCCTTTTGCGGATAGAGGATACGGATCAGGTTGGTTCTTATATAAGGCCTAGACGGATTTTAAGAAGGTCAACTTGTGCTAATTGTCGAAGAAAAGGACAATTGCTGGCGCTGAACAACGGTTGTACGAAGATTTACAATGGGCTGGGCTTCAATGGGATGAGGGTATGGCTCTATCTTGCTAGGAAAGGAAAGATAGCCTACAATGCTAATGACAGTATATAGGCCCTATTGTCGGCGGCCCCTATGGTCCGTACAAGCAGGTATGCTACTTCTCGCCAATTGATATGGTATGGTCGACAGCAGTTATTAATTAGTGAAATCGAGTCTAGTCCGAACGCACATCATTGGGAATATACACAGAAGAGATTCGCAAGCTTCTATCTACGAAAAATGCGTACAGATGCTTTTGCTCCCAGGAACGGCTCGATACTCTCGCCAGGCATCGGAATGAGCTGGGACTTCCACCTGGGTATGACGGAACGTGCAGGGGAATATCACCAGAGGAGGCTGAAGAACGCGCGCATAATGGGGAACCGAACGTTGTTCGTTTGCGTGTGACAGGACCATTCCCTATGTTCACAGATCTCGTATTTGGGAAAACCGGTCAGAATCAGACTGCGGGCTCTGGTCGGCTCCGCAGCCAGCAGAGTGACCCTATTTTACTCAAATCAGATGGATATCCAACATACCACCTAGCCAATGTTGTTGACGACCACTATATGAAGATATCGCATGTTATTCGGGGCACGGTAGGATGTTTATCCTCTTCGATTGAGATATATTTGCTAACAATCCATTCGTCCAGGAATGGATGGCCTCGACTCCTTTACATGTTGCGTTGTATAACGCTTTTGGATGGGAGCCACCAGCATTTGGACACGTCCCGCTCCTAACCGAAAAAAGTGGACAGAAGCTTAGCAAGCGTAACGTCGACATCGACATCTCGTTCTTCAGGGACAAAGAGGAAATTTTCCCGGAAGCGCTGGACAACTTCGCTGCGTTACTGGGCTGGTCACATTCTCGAAAGTCTGACATTTTCAGCTTGAAAGATCTGGAGCAAAGTGTAAGAATATTAAGCCTACCTGTTCAAAGTCCTCTCCCCCTTAAATACTAAGGAGCATATCATAGTTTGACCTCAAACTCACGAAAGGAAATACCATCGTCTCCTTCGAAAAATTGTGGTTCCTACAAAGTGCACATGCGCAGCGATATGCGGCTGAAGGAGGTCCTGAAGCCGAGTCCATGGTCGATCGAATTGAAAAGGCCGTGAGAACACAGCTCACAGATGAACAACTGTACGTTCCCGCATCTCAGTTCACATGTTCATACATTCTTCGATCCATCCCATATGCGGATAGCCAACCCCGTAGTTAAAACCACACTGACACCCACTCCACAGCTCCCCCTTGCTAAAACACCATACCCTCCGCGAACACATCGCCTCCATAGTGCGGGAGGGCGGAGCGCGCGGCTATACAAACGCATCAAAATTCATCGAAGAGAATAGGTCCTTCTTCGCCGCATCCCTCAACCGACCTCCCTATATTCCCACCACTCCATCTCCACCCAAAAATAAAGCTCAACCCGAAACTGAGACCGAAACTTCCACCATAATCCCTCCCACCATCACCCCAATCGCAGACCTCCACACCGCCGCCGCAGCTCTCTGCCTAGTCCCCGATGAGCACTGGACCACAGAAACCCACAAGCGAAACATATCCTACCTCCTCAGCGATATCCCAGCTCAACCAGCTTCATCTTCCTCAACTACCACTACCACTACCACTACCACTACCACTCCCCCACCACCACCACGAACATCCGCCGTCGCCGCCGAAAAGCAATTCCGCAAAGACCTCTATCACTACCTCCGCTGGGCATTATCTGGCGGAGCGCCGGGGATAAACATCCCAGCAACGATGGCGATACTAGGCCGGGATGAATGTGTCCGGAGACTGCGGGAGGCAAGGGAGTTGACTATGCCCGTGCAGCACGAGGGTGAGAGTTTGGCTGGTGGACAGGGTGGAAAACTCCCAGGGGGTGATTGGTGCACGTTGAAGGCGCAAGGCTTAATTAAATAGTGAGGTTCATAGCGGCCGGTGCTATCTACCTATTTATGTATGTATATATCCTATATAACTATTATATCATTGCTATTTTGGTAATGTATAGACGGCATTTCGATTTATTCGCTACTACGGGGAACATCTTCTTCCTATCCATACGTATAGGGTATAGAGAGAGCATCACAAACAATACTCTTCTACCTGAATCTACACAGCAGTTACTATTCCTTTGCGCAGTTCCGGATGGATAAACAAAAATGGGAACTTATGTATAATGAATTTGAATTTTTGAAAAGCTGTCAAAGCCAAATCCAGATTATACATAAAAAGTCAATGAAAACGAAGATTAAAACAACAAATAATAACAACCAAAGAATATGAATATCGACGACGATAAAAGCCCACAATATTGGAAAATAGAAAGATGGAAAAATACTCGTAAGACAATAATATACTCAAAACAAAGCACGTGGGCCGGGTTGTCAAAACAAAGAAAACGAAAATCAGTAGTGGGCGAGATGGAAAAGCACAAATATAAAGGCCACAAAACCAGACAAAAGAAGACAGGGCGAATGCAAAACCAGAATGCAGCAGAGCTAACCAACAAACATTAAAAGCTCAGGCAAAAAACCATTACAAAATACAACCCAACTCCGAAAACTTGCTCAAAACGGACAAATACAAAATCGCGAACGAGTGGAAAGAAGGAGGAAAGAGGGCCTCACCGGAGGGAGTGAGGGAAAGAAATAATGCCCAAAATAATAGGGAACCTGCGCGTCAGAAGCACATCTGTCAAAATGGGGAGCAAGGCCACGAACAGATAAAATAGACAAGCCCTATGGGGAGACTGGGTAGGAGAAAGGGGATAATATACAAGACGTTGTTGACGAGTAACGGAACGGGAAGCCATATTCTCATCATGAGCATAAATTCCGCCGAAGTTAGTCAAGAGTGTCTTATTTTAGTTACCAAAGAAAAAAAGCATCCCCAGCCGGCTTCATCAAGGCGTTTTCACATCGGAAGGCATATATCGAAGGAACTCGTTTCAACATCAGGGCATGATGTAGCCATTCGTTAATAAGTCTCCATGTCGTCAGTCCATCCATCGCTGCCAGCGACTCTCATAACCTGGCCGTTCCCCTCACTGTATTGCTCTTCCATGCCGACGCCACGAATCCCCTTGGCCTTTTTTCCAGCCATGGAGTCTGTGGCTCCACTGTGCAAATCGTGCCCTGGCCACTTACCCTGAGTGGCTCTCAATTTGGCGTAATAAACGTCTGTGGCGTCAATCTCGGGCTCAGACTCACTGTCGTATGTTTCCCAATTTTCAGACCCTGATGTGGCAGTTTGTATAGTGGAAGTATTCGATATTTGTCGACTAGCTGGTCGTGGAGGAGGGCCCATTGGCTCATGCTGATGCGGTTGTTGCATATAAGGTTTCGGTTGATGCTGCAGCTGCGGCTGTGATTGTTGCCTTTGATGGTTGTAATAGTTTGGATTTTGGACACTGGCAGCTGGGTTGAAGGACTGTGCCATGGAAAGCGATGAGCCGGGCCTGTAATGGGACATTGAAGAGCTCAGGTAGGAGCGCTGGTTTCGATCATCGTAAACGTCCTCTGGTGTGATTGACCTCACATAGGAGTTTGATAATGACAAAGCGTCGTTGCCATGTTCCGCGTCTGCATAGAATGAGTTCTGGGGGGTTTCCTGCCGCACAGAGGCATTGAGGTCTCGCATCTTGGGAGGAGGAGCACGCGGAGGTGGCATCTTGCTACGGGCGCTTGAGGAGAAAGACTGAGGTGGACGGCGATCGGGTGAGTTATTTCCATGTGGCATATTTGCAAGAGGAGCGCGGGATGGAATTTTCGTAGGTGACTTATTACCGTTTCCGGCGGCTGGGTTCTGGGCATTGCGTTTCAGGGTACCACTCCTCGTGGGAGTCTTCGCATGGGAAGGAGGCTGTGACCCTCTTACAGATCCTCCACCGCGCATCGAAGATGGTGGTCTCACTGAGTTTGCACGGCTGTGTTGAGGCGGCCCACATGGCGTTTTTGATCGTGGTGGGATTTTCGCTGGCGCGGGAGGGGCGATTTCATCAAGATATCGCTCTCCGTGAACGAGGAACGGCCTCCCATACTCGTCTTCCCATTGTTCGAGGACTCTGCGCAGCTCTGTCTCGACTTTTGGTAGCTCTTTCGCGATCTTCTTTCTCATCTTCTCTTCCCTTAGAAGCCTGGTGGGATCTCGGCGTTCACCCTTATTGCCGCGAGCCATGAGCCGAGAGGCATCTTGGCTAGAAGCCGCAAGGCTATCACGTTCATGCACAAGAGTGCGGTGCTTCTCGATGAGTTCAAGCGTGGGGGCACGTTGCTCTCTTAGTACTTCGAGACGTTCGATTTCTGCTTCGTGTGCGGCGAGTAGGGCATCGCTGTAGACATCTGAAAAAGCAGGCGTAAAATCAAGCATCTCTTCCTCAGAATAGTATAAACCATCCCAAAGTTCCTGGAGCCGGCAACGAGCATCTTCTACGAACAGGTGAAGGTTTTGCCTTTTCAACTCATTCAAGCGGCTCAGTTCATCTTCAAACTCATTGATCACCCTGAGGCCACATCCACGATTTGCGGCTCGGAAACCTTTCCTATCTCCTTCCTCAACACCTAGGCGATCCCATAAGGATTCGACCGCAGTCCGCAATTCGTTGAGTTTCCGCTCGCGCCCGCGCTTTTCGTCAATTAATTTATCCCGTCTTTCCCGTAGTGACGAAAGGTCTGATTCGTGCAATCCTAGCTGTTCTGGCGATTCGCGATAGTATTCAACAATGGACGGTTCAGTTTGTGCTTGAGGAGTGCCTAGCTCCGCCCAGAGCTTTACTATTTCTTCCGAAATATTCTGGACTACTTGAACACGACGAGTATATTCTTCATAAACCCTGGTGAATTCATTGTCGAGGGCTGACGCATATGATGGCGAGAGGTCAAAGGTGGGAGGAATAGAAGAACCGTCGGTGGTTGGAGGGAGCGGGACCTTCACGAATGATGGCTCAAGGTGAGAGGAATATGACTCAAGTGCTTGGACGAGTTCTGAAGGAACAAAAGAAAAAAGCTATCAGTTACTGCTAGATGAACAACTAATTAGGAGAAACTCACTTTTTATTTGCTCAAATCTTTCGCGATGTAATTTGCTTATGATAGTATATTTCTCCTTCAACACCTTTAGACAGCGATTGAGCGGAAAAGTAACACGAAGATCTCCGCCATCTATCTGATGATCATGTTTAGTGGAGTCATCTAGTGATGCTTCCATTTGTTTTATCAATTGAATTGTCTGTTGTGCCTCATCAATCATGTCACTTTTCTCACTATTTGACAAACAATTAGTAGGAGCGCACAAGGCATATTTTACCGTGGTCTCTTACCAATTGACGCGCCTTAAATGGCTCTGGAGGGTGTCTGATAGGGACGCGAAAAGCTATACAAGCATATATTAGCACCAATCATCCTGTGGCTGATTTGAATACAACTTGCTCACCTCTTGTTCTCGTGACTCGCGATCATGGCTAGGGACGCCTATCTCGTCAAATAGCCCATGTAATTGACTGACGATCGAAGTGACCTGAGTGGTCAGGTAGCCTGTGTCTATGGCCATTGCCATGAAGCAGCCTTATGGCGACCCCGCGCAACAGATACCAGTCGCAAATAAAGAGGAAAAAAAAAAGTCGCCCTTAGATGACTCGTTTCGTGAGGACGAAAACAGCAGAGTAGCGGTTCTTATGCGGATGTTGGAGTTTGAGAAAACGTTTTAACGAAAGCGCAAATGAAAAACGACAGTGAACGAGAAACTCAATGGCACCGCGATAAGGAATCGTGTTCATGTTCAGCACAAATGCGACATAATACGGAGGAGAAGGGCGACCTCCAGTCTGTCTGGAACTGCGGATGGCGGAGATGGAAAGTGGCTCGGTTTGACCTTATCCGTTTGACCAAGCTTGGATGCGGCGCATTTGTTGACGCTGCGAATCGTTGGCACGACAACCGCTGACTAAGTTAGTTTACCGTCTTCGTTCTGCGGAGCGCCCCACGTCACGTGACTGATACCTCATCGAATCGTTTGCTTCCTCTCATACAATTGCGCAGCTCAAGTCCAACATCATTTATTTATCAAGCTTCATTTTTTTCAGGAACCAGCTATTATTTTATTTAAATCCAGTATATCATGATTAATTGATTGAAAATATTAGTTGCCTCGTTCTCCAACAACCTCGTAACGATATAGTGGCATTGTCAGGCTACTCTTGCAATAACTCTCTGCCCACCCACCATGGAGGCAGCCAGGCAAGCTTGGGGTATGTTCTCCCGTATATCCATTCACAATGACTTGAAACAGCAGTAACAAGAAAATATAACAATCCTTAAGAGCTTGAAAACTCCCTTCAGCTCATTGACCCACACCGCGATGCGCTCTACAACTACGACCCCGCCGCCCATTCCGCCCTCACAGCTCAAAGGCCCTGGTCAAAGGACCCGCATTACTTTAAACACATCCGCATCTCTGCCGTCGCATTGCTAAAAATGGTCATGCACGCGCGCTCCGGCGGGAGCATAGAAGTCATGGGCCTAATGCAAGGCTACATCGCCGCCAACACCTTCATCGTCACCGACGCCTTCCGCCTTCCAGTCGAGGGAACGGAAACCCGCGTCAATGCCCAGGAAGAGGCAAATGAGTATATGGTCACCTATCTACAGGCATGTCGGGATTCGGGGCGACATGAGAATGCCATTGGTTGGTATCACAGCCACCCGGGCTATGGGTGTTGGCTGTCAGGCATCGACGTCTCGACACAAGATACCCAGCAGAAATATTCCGATCCTTTTGTGGCCGTTGTGATAGACCCCGATCGCACGATCTCGGCCGGCAAAGTTGAGATTGGCGCCTTCAGGACGTTTCCGAAGGACTATACGCCGCCTAAGAACGAGCATGAGGACGACGACGAGTACCAGAGCATCCCGTTGCATAAGGTGGAAGATTTCGGCGCGCATGCTGCCCAATACTACTCACTAGAGGTCTCGCATTTCAAGAGCACGCTTGATACCAAAATACTTTCGTTGCTGTGGAATAAGTACTGGGTTGCGACGATTAGCCAGAGTCCGCTGTTTACAAATCGCGAGTATGGGAGCAAGCAGATTCAGGACCTGGGGCAGAAGATGAAGAAATCTACTTGGCACATTGATCATAATTCGTCGCGGGGTGGTGGGGGTGGCGGCGCTGCGTTACTAGTGAAAGACCAGCAGCTGGATAAGGTGGTTAAGGAGGGACAGCGGATTGTGGGCGACGAGCTGAATGGGCTTATGGCTGCTGAGATTAAGAAGGCGTTGTTCTATGGCGTGGGACAGGGTAAAACGAAAAGCGCCTCAGATGAACAGGCACTGGAGGCGTAGCGTTTGTTCAAGACTTATTTCCCTCTTTACAGTGCCACCTATTTTATGACTCGCATTTTTCCATACCAGTTTTGTTCTGCATGTAACGCATGTCTGCGCTTGCTCTAATGACAACTTAACGCCATGACAATAGAGTTGAAAATGTTCTTTTCTGCTCAGAGGTCCCTTTCATGCTATTAGTTTGGTCAGGGTTTTCTTAATATATCCATCACAGGTGGGAATTTAACTTCTCTTGTTCGACTGAACGAACATGCATCAGCTTCAGGGTGTAGAGGCAGAGCCTTATGGACCGGCTACCCCATAAAACCTACGGAAAAGAAGAACCTCTTTGATATTCATTCATTCATTCCATTCATCTCGACTTTTCTTTTCAGCTATCTAATTAGCTAACGCTTTCAATATAACATCACATTAAAGCCCTTTTCCCGTCTCAAGGTATACATCAATCAATAATCAAATCTTCAACGAAAACAATGCTAGTTTCACACATATATAACCCCGCCCATTTATTTATTACAAAAAAAAAAAAAAAAAAAAAAAAAAAAAAAAAAAAAAAAAAGGACAATCGTATAAAAGGGAATATAATTTAAGGAGAGTAGGACGCTAGAAAGAGTGAGAAAAACGCAAACATGAGTGAAAACCTTTGGCATACACCGGAGAGTATATAGAGAGGCGTCAATCAGAAAGTAGAAAGTAGATCGTACCATGTCATTTCAAAGAACAGAAGAGAGGCATGAATGGCATTTCACATCATGCGGCACATAGTTATATTAGCCTGATGTTTGGGCGCGGGCGCGGGTGCAGACGCAAGGAAGGAAATCCTGGACCATAGGCATCGCAATAGGCCGTCCATGATTCTAGACGTATACGTATTCTCGACAGCACTATGTATATCGAGAAATTGCCATTTCTAACAAATTGGCTTGAGAGTGAACAACTCATTGCTCCTTACGCCACGTGTTGGCGCCTGTGTTGGTCCCTGATGGTGGAGGGGATGGCAGGGGCGTGACTGGCGAGGAGGAAAGGGGTATCGCAGTTGTGAGGGGTCTAGGAGAGCTGATAGAAAAGGACCTATCATCATCACCTCTCTGCCTCTGCCCGGACGATATCTGGACCCCGTCCTTTTCGCTCTCCCTTTCCCCAGGCGAACACAGACCATCCTCGTCTTTCCTCGGGCTGATCGAGACCTGTATCGTGGTAGTTTTCGACGAGGTATCCGGCGACTTGAGCTCCTGATTATGTTGCGTTTGTCCGGGGTGTTCCACAGTGTCAGCGGCTTCCGCGGCGGTTATCGAGCTTTGGCGGGAAAGTGTCTCGCCTCCGTAGTGGAATGGGGGGAAAAGGTTTGGGAATAGCATGGAAAGTGGCGTGCGGAGCATGGGCAGGCATGCGCAAATTATAGAGGTGTTGGCCTCGACCAGCGCCCACAGCAAAGCGCTAACTGTGTCTGTACTCCGGTCATGGGCTTTTGAGCCGCCGATAATGGTTGTCATGCGTATTATTGATATTATGCAGACGCTGTTTTGTGGGAAGTGGCGGTTAGAAATACTAATAATGATATGTCTTTCTTTTATCTCGGTTTTCCCTGGATGAACCAAAAGGGGAAATAGTAAAAAGGAGTTTATGCTCACAATATTCCCAGAGCAAAAATGCCCATTAAGGCATATTTCTGTCGGGGAGGAAGACGTAATCTATGAATTACCGGCATAGGAAGAAGAAGAGTGACAATATCGCTGCTTGATGTTGAAATTGCATTTGCAAACCAATGAGCTGTAATGTTTATGCATTTGCCTGGGATTGCCATGTCGAAGTTTTTCTCGACGGGTCTGCATTCGAGAAGGTTTGCCACGACAGAGGCGATGAAGTAGAGAACGACAAATGTGAAGACGATGTTGACTGAAATTTGAAATTTGCGCGTGGCGAAGAGGCGCCGGTATAGGAGGAGAATCGACATTTTACTGAAATTCAAGGTGAATTTGTAGCCGAGTTGCACGGCCCAAAACAACTAGATAGTCTATTTGTTAACTCTACTCTTATTCCATTTCATTTTCAAACCCTTCATTTGGATCCGAACTTGTGAAATTAAAAGCTCACCTTCATAGATACCATCTGCTCATATGTTGTCAGCTCATCCCACGGTTTCCCGTAGCCGTAAGCAATACCTAGCATCAGGTTAGTGTCCATTGATCTTATGAAGGCCATCCGCGCATAATTGACGCCTACCAACAAGCGGGAAAGTATTCATTGCAATGCAACAAATCTATCCATTAAAATCAATCAGCATTCGAATGGTTGAGATTTCTCTGTGGTAGGCAACGCAACGACAGCAGTATAGTAGAGAACGCCAGTTTGGAATAGAGGATCGGTAGCACAGACGAAAAAAGAGCCCTGTACTTACTATAGCAGCAATAATACAATAATCGTCCCATACCAAAACTCTAGCCAACTTTAGGCGGAAGTAGATACGATTGACGACCAGGAGGATAGCGATACTGGGCAGCAGGAGAAGCGGAACGACAACATTGGTCATCCCGGCGTGGAATGTCTGATCCCGCCGAGTGAGCTCATGAAGCTCACTTAGGGGAGCCATTCCGACGTAGCTGGAGTCTGGAATGGATGCTCCTTATATAAATGGTGAGCGGCGAGAGGTCGGGGATAGGGGGAGGTTTGTACCACGAGCGACCAATGGCTTTGACAAACTGCGGATGATGAGCGGACAAGAGGGAAAGCAGAACGTGTAAAAATCCTGCACGAACAATACGGGTCTTCTCAAGTTGCTCACAGTTGCGATGCCAATTACCTCACATCAAACAATAAGAGGTATATATAATAGGGAGATAGTTGCTACGGCCAGAAGGGTTAAGTGAGGAGGGCGGAATGGATGGCTGCTTAAGCAACACTGGAGTAACGTAACCGTCAAAACACAACGCTCAATGCTTGCTATGGCTGGGTGGAAACCACGACAGTGAAGATGCAAGAACTGACAGAGAAGATAGAAAAACACACAAATAGAGCTTGAATTAGCCGCGGATGCCGCCGAACTCGACGAGCGAAGGAGATCAAAGCGACCTTATATAGAAGGCTGCTGAAGAGGCTTCACCATTCCTAGCAGCAATGCTAGGCTCCGGGTGTCAGATGCACCATTAGACGCCATACCGTGGAGCAAGGGCATGTAATGTACATCATTATGTGTGAATGTGCAGAATGAAAAGACCGTGCAGAAAAGGTCTCAGAAAAGGGATAATAATACTGACATCGTCTTCAACGACGCAAACGACCTGCAACGTCCGCAGGAGATCCAAAATCCGATATATATATACATATATATATAATCGCACACCAGCCATAACCATGTCCCTCCCTCTTTTTTCCCCTTTAATCATGAATGAACCGAAAAAAATAAAAATGAAAAAAGAAAAGAAAAGAAAGGGAGGGAGGGGGAGAGAATAGAGCAACCACACAGCCCATCGTCCAAAACAAGGACCAGTCACTTCCATAATTCACCATGTAATCCGTAGGCTGCGAACGATCGCCTCCTCTCCAACAGCTTGGGCGAACCAGAAAATCACCCGTTCACTGGCAGTTGACAGATTGACAGATTGACAGCAGTCCGGATCCCGGAGAAAGAACAGGGAGACCCATGATTGAACGAACATGTCGAAACAAAAAGAAAAGAAAGAATAAAAACCAAGCTTTAGCCACTGTTCCGCCTGCCCACTCTTCTGTCAACGAGACAGGCAAGAATTATGTCAGTCTATACAGCGGTGCCATGGACGCTGGACGGAAAAGGGTGTCACCGTGAATGGATCGACCATTTCAGTAGAACGCCGCCGGAAAGCCAGTCTGGTCATTGCGCATTCTTTCTGGAATCCTGGGCGCCCGTTTCTTAGGAAACCCCACAGCGCCCGCAGAATCTAGTTGCTGCTTCCTGGATGATATAAAAATAAATAAGTGCTATGAACATGCACGTATGAATATGCACGTATGGGGGATGGCTTGGGAATATATCAAATGTGGGGACATATCCGGCGTCCGCTTCCTGATGTCCCGCTCAGAAAAATGGGCAAGAAGTAAATGCTACTGAGTATGGGACGGCAACTATCTGACTAAGAAACGAGTCTGCCTGCCTGATTGCCTGTTACTTGGGAGGCATTTAATTCTGCCTGGATAGAATGTGCTGCACAAAGAAAGGCAACAGGCAGACATGCACGAGCAGAACAGGATGAAAGATGCGGATTGGCAAGGGGACGCAGGCAAATCAATCATCTGCTTTGTTGACAGAACAAAGAGGTGAGCTTTTTGGAAATATAGAGATTTCATTGGTTTGTTGGTAGCAAGGCTCCATGGAGAGGTCAAGGCAGCTCGTAACAATTTGGAAATGATAGACGTTCCGTCGAAGTGGCCTAAAAGAGAATCCGGTGGAGTTGGCCAAGTGGGTCTTGTCCAGCTAAGGTTAAGCACAGAAATTAAGCTTATTTGTGGCAGCGGGACTCCACTCCACCAAGATGTTCTTCGATGCGATCAACATTACATTACATATATCTGCCAGACTACCCTGGGTACCTCTTCAATATCAAAACGAAAGAACCACTACACCGAGCACCCGATGCGAGTTATCCATATCTCGATCCCCATCATGGGGAATAAGAATCATGGCCACACAGTTCTACCAGGCCTCCAGCCAATTTCCACACATCATTTGAAAGGCACAGCTCAAAACAGGACCCCCCTGTATAACATCACCCTCCCACTGACTTAACAATTTTGACCCAGCAATTTATGAATAGAACAAAGTATATTTCGACCATGTCTGGATATTATGCGTTATATGTATATACACAAGTTAACCAAAGCTGAAAATCAGAGAGCATTGATGTACAGTGCATACATACATGGCACATGAGCTACGTATACCACACGGCGCACCGTGAGCCCCTTTTCTGGGCGTCTTTGTCTTCATCATGCTGGGCCGTTGTGATCATTGAGATTTTCTCGAACAAGCCGCTTAAGAGGATCGATATGATATCGCAGAATAGACCACATCTCAATCAGGAACAAAAGATGTACACTCGAAACCAACCATTTGCTGACCGCAGTCCTTCAGGTTCCAGATATGGGGACCACCCAATGGTAACACTAAGCAAGTCCGTAGGGCTTCCAGCCAGAACGGCGTAATTGGACTTCTAAACATCCAAAATATCCAAGACCTGCTCTTCTTTAGGAAATGACTTCTCCAGCATATCTATCTTGCGGCTCAACCTTGACGCGTTCGCAGAAAAAGAATAAATATCACAGTGTGTAACGACAAAGCTCTCCCTTTCCCAGCGAGATCCTCCCGTCCTGCTCTATTTCACTTCCAGTAACTCGCAAGCACCCAAAGCAAACCCAACACGACTATCCCAACAGCAATCTTCCCTCCCCTCCGCTCCCCCTCCACCAAATACCCCCGCCCCCCAACCATCGTACTCATTACTCCATAAACCCCGGCAAGCGGCCAAATGGTCCACACCCACCCCGTTAGACGCCCCAGCAGGCCCCCTTCCCCCTGCCCTGCCGCCTGCCCCTGCTTCTTAACCCTAACCTTCTCATAAACGTCCGGCAAATAAGTGGCTCCATACTTCTCGCGCAGGCCCTCATACCACTGCCGATCGTAGATATCCCAAAACTCCTCCTCCGTGTAATACGTGTGCGCGTAGAGCCACTTTGTCCCGCGCAGCGCGCGCACCTTCTGTTCGATTGCGCGATTAACCTTGACGAAGGCGGCCGTCGTGGACGGGCCAGGACACCAAAGGCCGACGTTTATTTGCATTTCGTCGGACTGTGGCGCCGCCGCCGCCGACGACGACGAAGATTCCGACGCCGAATGTAGTACCCACTTCGGATGCATTGAGCCAAAATCCGTTCCCTGCCCCCGCCCCCGCTCCCTCCTCTGTAGCCGCAGCGGACACAGCCAGAGCGGGAAACACTCCCCAACCCGATCCCCCACCCCTTCCTCCCGGCGGACAAACTCCACAAACTCCTCCGCGGCCGCACCATGCGGCAGCGCCAGGTCCTGGATGATATACCTCTGCGCAAAGCCGCTGCGGTGCAGGGCGTGGTACATGACTCTGGTATGCATGAAGCCGTCGAGGAGCCAGCGCATGGACGCCGTGAAGGGCACGCGGAAGTATTTGAACGCGTAGAACCCGGTCCAGAAGGCGCCACGGTCGTAGCGGAAGAGGTAGTCTGTCAGCGGGACTGTTTCGATGATGATGGGGCCCGCTGCCGTCGTCGTCGTCGTCGACGGCGGCTGCGGCTGCGGCGGTGGTGATTTCGCCACTACTTCCTCCGCATGGAGATAGAACCACGGGTCGTGCGCGCGCGTGAAGCGCTGGATGCGCCCGTCGGGCGCGGTGATGGCATCCGTCAGCCGGCCCGCGACCACCACGCCCCTATCGGCGCTGAAGAGGATGGCGTCGACGTAGTCCACCTCGCCGGGCGGGCGGGCGGCCTGGGCCCGCACGGTCTCGACGGCGTCGTGCACGCTGGACACAGGCCAGTATGAAACCTCGACGAAGGCGCGCGCGTCGATGAGCTGCAGCTCGAGCAGGGTGGTGATGCCCAGCGTGCCCATCGTGCCCGCGGCGCCGTGGAAGAGATCCTCCGCGTCCGCGTCCCCTGCGAGCTGCTTCCCACTTCCACTTCCCACACCAGCTGCTGCTGCTGCTGCTGCTGATGATGATGATGATGATGATGAAGAGGAGGCAACAACAACGGCCCCATCCCCCTTGACAACCTCCACCCACCGCACCGTCTCATGAAACATCCCATACCGAAACGAGCTGCTCTCCCCGCCCATCCCCGCAAACCCGCCACCGACCGTAATGCCCGGAAACTCCATGACGACCGGCGGCACCAGCCCCGCCTCCAGCGTCGCCGCCACGAGCGCATCCATGGGCACGTTCGGCTCGACGAGCGCGGTGCGGGCGAGCCGGTCGATGCGCAGCACGCGGTTGAGTGAGCTGGTGTCGACGAGCCGGTCGCGCTGGAAGGAGGTGGGGCGGGTGGTGTTTGTGGAGCCGTGGTAGATGCGGAAGGGGGTGCGGGTGGAGTGGAAGCGGCGGACTTGGGCGGAGATGGCGGCGACGGCGGCGTTGTGCTCGTCCATTTTCTTTGTTATTGTCGTTGTATACGTTTTTATATAGAATATTTTCTCTTTTCTCTTTTCTCTTTTCTTTTCTTTTCTTTTATTTTTATTTTTTTTTTTTTTTTGCCGTCTACTTTCTATTTATTTTAAATACCTTCAGGACCCCCATTGGTAATATCCCATGGATATGCGGCGGAACGTTCGTCGTTCGTCAGGGTGTCGTCAAGCTTCCCCTGCTAGAGGATACCTTGGAGGCACGATTAAGACACAAACAACTCAGCCCCAGACGCAGGCGGCAGTCCCTCCCAGCTCACTTGCAACCGAAGTAAAGAACTAGTTAATGTACAGCTGAAATCAGCTCCGATTATTATGTAGTGCTGTTCTGTTCAATGCCAGCCATTCCCGCGGCCAGGGCGATAACTGGTAACATAACATGGAGAAAAGGGACAGAAATGACGGCATACACCCCCGCAAGAAAGCTAACCTAGGTATTATTACGCAAACACTTACCCAGATGCCCAGTTAAAGGTGGAACAAGCAAAACAAAGCAAAGCAAGCAAATCAAACCAGAGTTTTCGTGCATTAAGTTAAAGCAGCCAAACCAGCCAAGCGAGCAAGAGGCCACCAGCAGCAGCCTTCAAGATTCGCTGCCATTATAATCATTACATGGTCTCATCAATACGGAGTAGAGGAGGATTGCTGATGTTCACCATATTCCATAGCATAAGCAATATCAATAAAATGCATTGAACTCAAAATAGACTAGTTATATAGTACATGGCATCCTACTTAGCAAAAAACCAATAATAATAATAATCAAAAACGTAATCAGTAAAAAAAAAGAGAAAATAAACAGTAAAGGAAAAAGGAGCTTCTATATATAATATAGTAGAGGCCCCCCCACGCAGGTAACTAAAGATCATATAACAAAAACCAAAATACTCGCTCGATAAAAATCAAAAAAAGTCAAAACGCAACAAACAAACAAAACATAAGCTCGCATCAATGACAAAAGAAATACAAAAAAAAAAAAACAGAAAAAAAATAGCTACGTGCCCTGGATTAGTAGTAGTAGTGCTCAAAACATCACAAAACAAAGGCGACCGAAACTATTATGCACACACGGATGGCAATTTGGATTTGGGAGAGGAGAAGGACTTGGGAGATATAGGGAAAAAAAAGACTTAACACAAAAAACATAACCGCACGCGAAAAAAGCAAGGTGGGATAGATGGGTAATAATAGGTAAGGTAAGTAGGTAGGTAGGTAGGTATGGTAGATGGTAGGTAGATGGGGAGGAGATTCGGGCTGACCGCTTTGACTCTAAAATAGAACGTGACTCGGACGAAACATAAAAAAGATCGAGGAAATGGAAAAAAGCAAAAATTTAACAAACGAGTGTGGGTTTCTCCATAACCAATATGGACGAATAGTTGGGATAAGATCGAAGCAAGTAAGAGAGGGGAGGGAGGAGTAGGGGGAAATGGGGCAATGAATGACTCTGAGCAACGATTGACAAGAAGACAAAAAAGCAGTGTTATCAGCTGAATGAAGCAACAAAACACTGCACGACCACGAAACAAAAAGGCTAGCAATACCAGATTAATGCAAAAAATTGCCGAAGATGATGATCAATGGAGGTATCAAGGCAAAAAAAAAAAAAAAAAAAAAAAAAAAAAAAAAAAAAAAAAAAAAAAAAAAAAAAGGCGTATATATAAGAAGAGAAGAAAGGGGGATAAAAAAAACACTAAAAATTAAAGGGTTCTCGGAGAGGGATGAGCAAAAAGGGGGGAGAGATAGAAACACGCAGGACCAGCCGGTGTAAACATGCTGTCTATGCCAACAGCCCATCAACAAAGTAAAACCAACCAGACCGGACTCCTGGGTGCTCTCTTTAAAAACTAAATAGATAAAGGGATCAGTATGGAAGAAGACTCAAAAACAAAAAAGACGCAGAAACACGCAACAAAACCAGAAAATAAAAAAAATGAAGTAAAAAAGTCCCAATAACGGGGGGTAAGGAACGGGCAAATCCGTGGAGAATGCAGTGAGATGCTTTGGAAATCTGATCACCCAAATACAAATAAGACGTCTAGTTTCCGATGCGAAAAACACCTTACCAACCTCCGTTTGCCTTACCCTTACCTGTCCCCGAAACCTTTTCCACAGTTCCCGTATATAAAATGTCTCCCAATGGTTTCACAAAACATAACGAACAATGCGATTTAAAGAAAGCGAGAACAAAGAAAAAAAGTGGTCGAAAAATTTGTAGATTCGCGAGCGGTTGCTATGCCACTTCTGAATCTAAAAACCCGTGCCAAAAAAAAATAAAAATAAAAATAAAAAATAAAAAAATAAAAAAATAATAAATAATTCGTGCAAGTATAGAGTCCGAGAATCCGGTGAACACCGCAGTGCCCACCGGAAGTATAAGGAAAGGAAGTCCAAAAAGGTAATTAAAACAGCGGTATGCGGTTGGATATATGCACGAATAAAACCGAGAGTTAAAATGAGCAAAACGAGGGTAAAGAAGTCCGAAGAGTCAGTTCGGTCGGCGTCGATTAATATGCTGTTCCAACACTTGCAAGGCCTTGTGTGGGCATGGGGTCCAGTGTGTGTTCCGAACTGCTGGTCACCATTGAATCCTCATATCCCACCAAAGCCTGCGAGTGAAGCTTGAAGGACTCGCCCATGAGCTTGGTGATCCTGTTGAAGCAAGTAATTAGCAACTGCCACGTTAAAAACCAAGGGATAAAAATTAAAAACCCGAACTTACCCCCAAACGACTACGCCGTCCAGTATGTTGCCCCACACACGGGCGACCGTAGAGCTGAGATTCGACCCGCAGGCATCAACAGCATCATCATCGAAGAGATTCCGCACTTTGTTGTAGATAGCCATCTCAGCTTCAGTGGCCTGTTCGTCGTCATGTTCCAGACGGTAGAGCCAAAGGCTTAGAATCACCATCATATCCAAACCACAGAGAGGGTGTTCCACACTCCAATTAGTTGCGGAAGTTTTCGCAACCCAATTGATGCCTTGAATGGCAGCTATTTCAATGCATTCAAAGCATTGTTGGATGACCTTGTTCATCTCTTGGGATCGTTTGACTTTCTCACGGGCGACAGTCATGGCAGCGGCAACTTCGTAGGACGAATGGTATCGAAGGGCCTCTTGTATCGACTTCAAATCAACTTCAAGTCGAGCACGAGTATTCCGATAAACAGCCATTGAATTGAAGATTAGCGGGTGGCTGTTTTGCGGGGTACTGAGTGGAGGAGCGATCGTTTCAGGTTCACACAGCTCAAGCGAGCTCTCCCAAGTTTCGATCGCAAGTCGTAGCCTAAATTCGGTTACAACATCTTGAAGAGCCTGGAAGCTGCGTTTGTGGGACCAGACTTGGAGGAAAAGAGCATTGATCATTACGCGAGTAGCAAATGCGCTGTATCTTAAGGATTCGCCACGGAAAAGGCTATCATGGGCTTCTCGGACTGTGACAGGAGGCGAGGCTGAGTTCAGGCTTCGGCGCCACGCATCTTCATTCGATATCTCGAGGTTCCACATTGACTCTGAAGAGGGAAGCTCCAAGGATTCAATCTCATCGAAGCTAATAGCTGGTGTATGATTGAACGTAAGTGTCAGCATTCCGAAGAAGATATACACAGCGTAGTAAGTTCGTCGGCAACCTTCATCCTCGATCCATTGCTCGCGGGTTGGTCGTGCGCCTTCTCGAGCATCTATACGAAGTTTCAACTGGTAACGATTACCCGCAACCATCTAGATAAAGAACGATTAGCAAAAACAAACAACGAAGATTAGTAGGGAGGGGGGAAGAAAGAAAGTAGCTTTACATTAGCAAGCAGACTCTTGATCGAACAGGTCCATTCTAGACCTTTCGGATCACCACTCCAGCTCTCGAAGATCATATTCAACAGAGTGCTTTGCATTGCCCAGAGGGGACATTTTCTCGAATCGAAATTCTCTTTATGTTGCAGGAACTGATTAACAAGAACCTTTGATCCAATATGAAGCATGAAGGCATGCTCGCGTTCAAAAGTGTATAGGGCGCCAATGGACAGCACAGCAAGAAGCAATGGCGGCGAAACCTTGGATGGAGAGAAGGACTCCTGATGCAGGAACGGTAGATGATGATGATAGAGATTGAAATACGTAGTCAAATACCGATTTAGAGCAGCTGTTGACGGTAGTTGGAAGGTATCAGGGAGAGAACCAACGGCGTCATTACTCTTGACATGTTCAATAATCGCATCTCGCTCAGCGTCGTTTGCAATTTGGGGAGATCTGGGTTGCTTTAAGGGTTGGCTTGGACCAGGCGATCGACGATAGTTTACCGGGGACAAGGGGCCAGTCATCGAAGGGAACGGTGAAAGAGCATTGGGCGTCGAGTTGCCCGAAACCGGGAGAGAGTTGACCAGCGAATGTAATGCAGGTGTCAGGCCGTCGGTACCCATGGCATGTCTGTCGAGAGAGGATCTGTGGTGATGGTTGCGATTGGAGTCTTGGGATGTGAGGCTTGACGATATCGAATGCGACTTGATATCTGGCGTCGACATGAAAGCATCCCAGGGCATCTGGGGCAAGGTCGCGTTACCGGACAGATATGCAACGGAAGGCTCGAGAATGACGGCACGATCGGGGGAAAAGGTATCGCGACTATCGTCACCATGGTTTTGGTTGGTGGCTGCCGCAGCGGCCTTGTGTTGGAAGTCTGTCATTAACATCGCAGCAGTTTCAATGTCAACCATACCGTCGCTGCTTGCCTCAATCTGTCCCAGAGCGGCAGGGTCTATTGTGATGGACGGCTTCGATGGAGCATTTGATGTTGTTGACGCTTTTTGTCCACCACGTCGACGGCCCTCCGTTACAAGCGGAATACCCCCATCCTTAGCATGGACTGTTCGGTCATGTCGAAGGAGCAGATCCCTTCGAACAAAGGTGCTCCGACATTTTAAGCATTTGAAAGGTCGTTCTTTGGTATCTGCGTGGGTGATATATTGTCAGTTTATTTCCGATATATTAAGCTGCACTAGGCAGGCGAGGGTCCGGGTAAAGATATAGGATATTGAAGCATGATAAGGATTGAGAGTGTGTCCTTAAGAAGAACAAAGAATAGGTTCAGTTGCGGTGGAAGGAACCCCGACACCGTTGTTCCCGAAAGGGGAAAAAAACACACAAAAAAAAGGGAGCGCAAGCTGCCTCAGATATGCCAGACAGAACAAGAATATTTTAAAAAAAAAAAAAAAACCCAACGTACGTGATCGTTCATGGCGACTGCGATGTTCACTTCTGCTGAAAGCACGATTGCAGAACTGGCACTTATATTTCTTCTCTGGAGCAGCCGTAGCTTTCTTCGCTGGCGGGTTACTACTCGAGGCGGTGGGGGCCATGGCTCTGATTCTTTTTCTCTTCTCAACAGAGCGTATATGAAAAGGGCAGGACGACGGCGGCAGAGGAGGCGGAGGCGGGAGGATGGATATATGGATATTAAAGGCAGGACGAGAGGGACGGGAGGTCTACCGGTCGTTCTGCGCTTTCACACCGTGTCTGGAGCGGGCGGGATGGTAATAGAGGGGGGGATGGTAGAGATTGTCGGAAACCAATCATTCCTTGGGGTCTGCACTGCGGGAGAAAAAATATATATATTCGAATTCGATAGGATAGCGAGTGGAATAAGTATGATGATGGGTTTGCTTTGTTGGGCTTTAAGGATAGATAATGAATAAATAAATATAAAAGTAAAATAAAATAAAATAAAGAATAATCAAATAACCGACGGGTCCAGCCACGGGCTGATTTTGTCCCCGATGATGAGAGAAGCGGAGGGAGAACCAGAAGAAAGCAAAGTCAGAATAAGAGTGAGGAGTTTTTCTCGATTTCCTTTTTTTTATGGGTTTAGTTTCTCAGATGTTGAAATCGAGAGCAGTAAAATGCAGCAAAAGACACGCGGATGATGATGATGATGATGGGGGGGGGGGGGGAAGGGGGCTGACTGATTAGGGGGAGGAGGGGGAAGGGGGAAGGGAGGGGGGTTAAGGTAAATATAAATTATGGGCAACACCAGCAATAAGATGCAAAGGGGTGGTGGTAGGGAGGAAGTGATATATAGCGAAATATCGGAGGGGAAGATATGTTGAATGGAGACAGGAACAGATAGATGGAGTATGGGGAAAGGAGGGGAGGAGGAGGGGGATAATGGAGAATGGAAAGAAGAAGAAGAAGAAAAGAAGAAGACGAGAAAAGAGGAGAGGAAGAGGAAGAGGAAGGGCCAAAAATAATAATAATAATAATAATAATAATAATAATAATAATTTAATAACGACTGGACCAAGGCGCGGGAATGTGGGCGAGAGAGCCGTGGAAGTCGTGGCTGCAAGGCATTTGATGCGGCAACAAAAACGGAGAGGGAGCAAACAACCACCACCATACCATACTCCTCCATACTCCGTACTGTAACACGTACTATCTATCAACGAGGGGCTTCGCGTCTCCTCCTTCTTTCAGTCTTTCTTTCTTTCTTTCACTTTTGCCAGCGCAGTCAGCCAGCCAAAGTAAAAAAAAAAAGGGGTGGGGGAGCAGCCATTGGCGTGTTGTGAATGTGCTACTGCCACTGCCCAGACCACCAACCGCCACGACCCGACCGCCTTCCAACCACCCCCGCCGCCGGCCCCGCGCCGCCGCCATTTTGCCAGGTCGATGGCTACAATGCCTGCGCGACACAACACACACACAACAATCCCTGGACAAACCGCCCCATACCGTACTATTACGCGGCGTAGGTATGGTATTATTCTTTGCGGGCTGTTTAAAAAGTATTTTAAATATAATGTCATACCCATACATACATGGATAGGATAACATGCACTCCCGTTATGGGAAATAGATCATCCCTTTCAAAGACTATCACATCACAGCCCGCAAGCATCACTTCCCACGAATTAAATACCCACGCTAGCCCTGGCCCCACAACGCTTGCGCACTCCAGCTGTTTCGGCTCCCCGGGGCCTTCTGCCACGGCCCAGTCCAGAATAGGGCATAGGCGTCCTTTGAGGCAGGCCCCCCCAGTCCCCGTTTGGGGGCACAGCGGACAGCGATTTGAAAGCCACAGGCCCGCATTTGGGATCGGGTTGGTACTGTACGGAGTACCGAGTAACATTGGAAAACTGCCTTGGTATGATATTCTTGCTTCCTTACCGATTTATTAATTATTTCCACTCACCGACGACCACCGCACAATACACACACGTATCTTGAACCCCTCAACCACCAAGGCAGTTAAAATAATAATAATAATAATAATAACTTAGAAGGAGGGGAGGTAGCCAATACCTCCCTCTGATAAATTCTTAATCAGCCCTCACACTCACACCACCCACCTCGTAATAAATAAATAAATAAATAAATAATAATGACATATAACGAATGAGCAAGGAGTACGCAACCCAAATACATGTTGCGGTTGGTGGTTGGCTACAGCCCACCAGCTCACCAGTCACTCATCCCGGGGGCCCCGCCGTCTGTCGCCAACAACACACATTCCACGCGCCCTCCCTTGCCCCTCTTCGCCCCTCAGAAAAAAGAAACCGTTAAAGAGAACCCTGGTGGGCACTTTGGCAGTGAGTGAGTGGGAAGGGGGGTAGTTAAGTTGGCACTTGGCAGCTCCAAGCCCACCTCATTCAACTCATTCTCCAAGACTTTCTCCAAACCCCTCGGTCGTTGTCGGTGTCGTTGCGTTGTCTGCTTTGTTGGTTGATCACTCACGGCCGAATGCCGCTAAACGTAATAATAATATTAATATTAAATAGCAACATGGGTCGTTCCAAATGTTGTTTATGTTTTTTTTTTTTTTTTTTTTTTTTTTTTTTTTTTTTTTTTTTTTTTTTTTTTCCCCTTTGGCCGTTTTGAAGGGGGGATTTATATTCTTTTTAATTCTTCAACATTCATTCTCTGGCTGGCCAGGTTTCTCTCCCTTTTCCTTGTTCTGTTGTCCAATAATACGGAGTACCGGGTTTTTTATATACAGCGTGCTTTATATGTACGGTGATTACCCACAAATGAAAGAAGTAAAACAAAAAGCACTCTCTTTCTTTCTTCCCTTTCACTCTGAGAATAATTTTAAAATGCCGGCTGCCTCCTGTCTCTCCCAACCTGTTTGTTTGAATAAATAAATAAAATAATAATAATAAGCAAAAACCGCCCCTCTCCCACCTGTTATTATTGCTATTGTAATCTAGGAAAGTACCCTGTTTGTATTTATTTCCTGCCAGGGTCTTTTTTTTTCTTTGTGTTTTTTTTTTTTTTTTTTTTTTTTTTTTTTTTTTTCTGGGCCTTTCTTTCACACCCCCCTCCCCTAGCAGAAAAGACAGAGAGGGGCAATTTCCCACTCAACAAGCTAGCCCAATAACACCCTCGCGAATAACCCATAGTTAACCCAGCGCTAGTCCGCGCCGTTTCGAAAATAAAAAATTAATAGTAACAGGTTTTTATTTATTCCCAGGAGGATTGACGCGTCCTTGCTTTCGTGCGGTGTTGCGGTGATACATGTACGGAGTACATACATACATTCCCATTATTCCCTAGGTCGCCACTACACTACACTACTACACTACACACTACATTACACTACGGACGGTGAACCCTGTAGGAAATGGGGAAGCGGGAAAGTGGAGCGCGAACTAAATCTCCCAGCAACCAGCCGGCTGGGGACCGGAAGGTAAGCTCAAAACCCCTCCGGGGACCCGGGGGGGGGGCAGTACGCTGTAACTGCGTAGTAGTTATGTAAAGCCCCGCGAGGGTGAGGAGGCACTGCCTGAGAGGGAGGGGGGTTATCGGGAGAAGAATCTCACAGAATGTTCTTTCTGATAATGTAGTTAATAATAACTTAATTGCTGCTTGTTAACTTAGCCTGTAATAAGCTGCTCAGGAGAGGGAGAGGTTTGGTTTTGAATGGTTCGGGTATTACAGCTGGTTGTATTAATTATATTATTATTTGAGAGTTGGGAGGATTTTACCTATGTATGAACAATGGAACGTCTCGGCTTGGCTGGCTTCATCCCATCCCATCCCCAGAAAGGAAGTGCTCACCAGCCTCAGAGAGAGACTGTGAGCCATACTATTCATTATTATTCATCCTACATTTCTCGCCACGGGCCGAGTCGGGAATTGAATGAGGGGCCACTCAATGTGGCAGATACATATATATACTCAGTCAGCTGAGGATAGTCAGAGAAGACCATCAGACAAACTCGCAGAATCAATTGAATTGCACACACTCACCACTCACTCCTCCCTTCCATCAAGCAACTGGAAAACATAATATTACAAGATCTATCTATCTATCTGTAGGGGGATCCATCTACATTGTTACTACTACAGGGTACGCAGCGTACATTATTATTACATCTTCTTCTACGGAGTACTCCTTGTTTTATTACATCTCATTGACCGCCTTCTCCCATTCCATCCATCCATCCATCCATCCATCCATCCATCCCTCTATCTCTATCATAAACCACATATTCCGTAGTACAGTACATACATACATACATACATACATACGTACATACGTACATACGTACTCCATAATCTCTCATTATTAGTCGAATCGCTGGCGTGAAGGGAGGGGCGAAACTACTTCCCGCCGTTCGCTGTGAAAATTCACAATTCATGAAAATGATTGGTATCCAGCAACCTGCACCAACCGCCTCACCTTTTCACCTCTCTCTCACTCTCATGAGAATAATGTGACTCCAGATTTAAGCCAGTGGTTTGGCTGTGAATTCTGCATGTTATTTTTTAATTTTTTAATTTTTTAATTTTTAATTTTAATTTTAATTTTAATTTTAATTTATTCTTTCGTGTAATGCACATTTTGATGAAAACACACAAACAAATATGCATAACATAACCCCACCAGTCAGGCCAGTTCACTCTCTTTCATTCCTCGCTCATTGACTCCCAACTGGCCAGTTATGAAATTCCTTCTTGCAAATCATATTTATTATTGTTATTATTCTCACCAGATGGGATGTCACTCAGCTCAGTCAGATCTCCAACTTTAATTCTTGCTTTTTTTAATTACTAGTTAACTACTAGATTATATACGACTGAATCATTTTTGGCGGCGATTCGAGACAAGCTGGCTGACAATTCCCACAAAAGAACAAACAATTTTTTTTTCAAAAAAAAGAGTTTATCCTGGCGGGGACGGAGATCTGCAATATCGGCAACCACCAATAAAAAAACATGAAAAAAAGACCAACGCAGCACACAACAGAAGATAACTTCCAGGTTCCTGTACATACATTGAACTATCTTCTTTTTTTTTCTTTTTTTTTTTTGGCTCTTCTCCAATCCCCCTCCATCCGGCTCTCCCTCCTTCCCTCCCGCCCGCCCGCCCGCTTGCCGAACCAGGCAGCAGGGGAGGAGAAGGAACCCCCCCTGAGGCCCTGGCACTGGCAGAGAAACATCGGCCCCACCCACAATAAAATGATGGAACAGTGGAAATTCTCCGTTCGATTCTCTGGATATACGCTGTAATAATGGATCTATTCCAGCCTGTCTACGGAGTACTCTAAAAACATTACATATTATTAATAAGTAATCCAGTAGTACGTAACTAACTACTTCTGTCAAAGGCTTCTTGAGAAAAGAGTTCTCCATGCCATGCATGCCCCTCCAGCCAAGTTGCCGGACTTTACAGAAAGAAAAAAGAAAAAAAAAAAGGAAAGAAAAAGAAAAAGAAAAAGAAAAGAAGATCAACATCATTAAAAACCCAAGCTAAAAATCAGACTGGAGCAAGACAAAGATCCCGGCCAACATGCCAGCCTGCCAGGTGGCAACTCCGTACCTGAACAGAAAAATGGGCTTATTCATGACTGCATGCCACTAAAAACTTATCCTAGGCTTCCCTTAATAAAGAGAGATGGTTTCCACAGTTTTAGCTTAACTAAGTCACCTAACTCACTAGCTAGCCAGCTGTTCCCTGAGGTGTCCTTCCTTGAATCCTTGGGGGGACCCGGGGGGCGGCCAGTGCAGTGGCCAGCCGGCGGGCGCGCGACGACACATCAGCAAAACTAGTTAAGTTACCGAGTTTCGACGCGGGCTTTAACATAAAAGAAATACTATTTCTTATTATTTATAGTATTATTAAAGAATAACGTTGCATACAGAAACAACCAACTCAACTGTTGCCCGGGTCTTCTTCACCGCCGCTTCTGGGTTGTTCCAAAAAGGCGGAGAGATGCTTGAGAAGTTAGAATGGAGAAAAAACGACACCGCACAGAGAGGCGGGACGAGTTGGGTATGGAAGTTGCCAGCGGGGTCGTCGTCGCGACCGGCTTGAGAATTATTATATTGTTATGACTGTTATTACTATTGTCTAGGGTGGGTATAGCTGCTCGGTTATGTATTTTTTTTTTTTTTTTATCATCGAACGAATGCGAGTTTTGAAGAGAAGAGAGCTGAAGAAGAAGAAGAAGAAGGAGAGGGTTTTTTTCCCGATGTATCTAGATGGAATGGCGGGGCATTGTGAATCGTTGGTTAAATGAAGATTGGATAGTTACGTATGCATGCGAGCGATGCGGCCGCGATGAAGGAAGACCCCCTTCAATAATCGTAAAGACTTTCTAACCACTGCTTATTACTATATTTCTTTTTTAACTACATACAAAATCTAGATCTTTCTCTTTTGCTTTTTTCCCTCTCAATGGGCTTTTCCTCACAGTTAACAATATACTCCGTATAATAATAATAAAACCCACACAAAGAAAAAAATCCCAAAATCGCCCACCACCCCACCCACCAGGGCCACCACCAGGGCCACCACACCACCACACCGCAACAACAACAACAACAACAATCACCCCCCACCAGCCCACCATTCCAACCCACCAGCTTCCTACGCTGCGTACGCAGTATGTTACTACTACTGGACAGCCCATCAAACTATCCTAGCTAGCATGATACTAACCAAACCTCCCACTAGCCCCGAACTCAACTGCTGCCACCGTGAATTCCAACCAAGGTTTCTTGGAAACCTCCAAATCCCGAACTAAAACTCTCTTAAAAAAAAAAAAGAATCCTTGTGCTGGGTGGGGTGGTTTTCCGTAAAAACCACGGAAGGATTTCAGGAACAGGAACAGGAAGAAGGAAGAGGGGGAGGCCAACAAGTTCCCCGGAAACGAGTTGGGGGGGTAGGGGGGTAGAAGAGGGGAATCCACAACATTCTGGTCTGGGCCCTGACTTTTTTTTTTTTTATCGTTTCGAGGCGAATCTTATTTAGTCTGAAAGAATTGAATGGAACGGAATCATCAAAGAAGGGCCCCTTGCCTTGATCTGCTGCAGTCGGAGAAATAGAATTGCTTTTGAGAGGAATTTATTCTTGATATGCGCTGTAGGTACGGTACTCAGGAGACATACGAAACTGGTTACTCAGCTCAAATCAGATGGTCTCAAAGTTATTATGCTTTACTTTACTTCTTCAATTTTTCTTCTACGTACTTTCTCTTAATTCTCTTGCTTATCCCTAATCATGGGAAGCTTGTGCTTATGTTCCATTTTAACATTACTCTCTCAAGATATCAAACAGTGACGCTTGTGACAAACAGACAAAAGCTAAAGAAAAATTTCAAATACTACAGACTCTGTGATAACAAATTGAGAGAGAACAGAGAAAACAAACTCAAGGCTGAATTTCAGAGCAAGGAGTTATGGGTGGCCAGTCAGAGAGATTCATCCTCATATTCACCAGGGAGAGAGGGGGGGGGGATTTGAATAATAAAAAATGAGCAACACCAGGAGAACAACATATCATACCATATTTCAATGATCAGAACACTTGAACACACACACACACAAACCCCCTGCAGCCCCATTCACGCCAACCCTTCCTCTCTGCTCTTAACAACCTCCTTACTCATCTTATACCCCGCATCATTACCATCGATAATATTCTTCTCCTCCAACCCACTCAGCAGATCAAGCACAGAGTCCCGACAGCTATACCCCCCAGGGTATCCATGACCGGGGGGGGTAGCCGCAGTTTTGGCAAACGGCGGCAATCGCGCTGATCTCTATGGTATCCACGTCCACGTCGCACGGGTGGACCATCGCCGAGAGATTCAGCAGCTTGTAGGCGTCGAGGTTTTTTTTCCATCTCGAAGAAGCGGTAGTTGCCTGCGCAGCCCGCCGTTGGCCTGGAGAATGAACTTCTCTGCCTCGCTGGGCCCGTCGACGATGAAGAGCAGCCAGTGCGTGGAGACGCCGGTGTCCTTGTCCCCTTGTAGATGGCGGCGTTCAGCCCGGCGGTTGCAGGCATGTTTGTTTGAGAGTCGCCAATCAAAGCCTTGTTGGAGGGTAGGCAGGTCCTTAGAGCCCCGGGGGGGGGGGGGGGGGGAAAGGGGGGGTGATAAGTAAATACCGTCGAGATGGTGCGGTTGCGAGTGCTGCGCCGCACGTACACGGATATTGTATCAAAGGCGAGGAGGCTGCGCCAGACAGAATTACATAAATGAGCCGTCAGTCTGACATTCGAGAAAAACCGAGAGCGTCGAGAGAGATACTTCCACATAGATCCAGGAGGTTTTGACAAGCCTTTATAGAACCATTTACTAAGGGTTACGAAACAAAGGAGCTAGGGTTTTCATTCGGGCGAACGAACAGTCCCCTCTGGCGATACGCTGGACAGCCTTGTGAGAAAACCTTCCAACAATCAAGCATTCGTGTCAATTTAGGGTCGTGCATACATATCCAATTGCGTAAATCGTTAAGCGTACCTTCCATGTTCCCTGCCGAGTTCGCGATGTTTCAGCGCTTCTGTCCTCGGAACTACTCGCATCCAACCAAACCGGCATTATCTCTCTTCTCCAAAGTGGGGGAGGGGTTAAAGTAAATACCCCTTGTGAGAGTTCTTCGGGGGGGGGAGGGATATCCGGGTCCCTCTGCAAGGACAATATAGTAATGTGCATGTGTGAGAGAAGGCTCATTGATTATTCGTTTGCCCGTCCCGTACTCTATACGTCTGAAGAAATTGTTTCCATAGGAAACTCCAAAATCGAGTTGCGGAGACTTTCACGAACCAATGCCAGAAATGGTCACTTTAGCAAGCTTGTACACAGTCAGTCCACCGCGAGATCTGGGGCTGGCTCCAGGTTCAGTGATTTTGCTATGTCCGCTGTCATATCCATAACTCTACTGTTGGTCAGTTACATTAGCTAAAGGTAATGCCAACTCCGAGTCAGGTGTAGGATGGGGTTTTTTTTTTTTTTTCGTCGATTGCATCGATTCCACTTTGGGAGGAAAGAGTCAGCTGGTCTTGAGTGGCAGCGAGAGCAAAGAAATTTAGCCTGTTGAGGGAGGGAGGATCTTCTATGATTTAGAGGTCTTGTGAGATCCACGGAGTAAGTAGAGGAGAAGTGTAGACTCTGCCCAGGTTAGAAAATAGAAAATTTAGAAAGACTGTTTGCTGGACATGGAGTTTTGAAGGACCCGCTTCCTTCTGTTCTCCACCACCAACAAATCATCACTTGGTTAACTATCACATGTCTAATCCCGAGGAACATATTCTGGGCAAGCACTTTGGCACAAGAAGCACGATAGCCCAAGAAGCCCTGTTAGTTGGACACAAACCAAACAATCTAAAATCATACCAAAAATAATTCGGTTGGCTCATAGCAAAGCCCATCGCGCCTTGAATTGAAACTGCTTCCGCGAGTTCACCTGTTCGGGGAGGCTTTTAGATGTTGACGGGGATACCATTCAGGCATTCACAGACTATCCGTGTCTGGGTTTGGGGCCATCTGTAGCCCCAGGTTTGCGGAGTTTTGTTTGGGTATTTTGCCTCCAGCTTGGGAATATTCCCAGGCGCCCCCTGAGCAGCTGAAGTCCCCCTTTTAAGCTACAAATACCCAGAGCTTAGACAGAGATAGCGCCGGTCACCCAGGATTGGTCTCACAACTCTTTCAATGTTAGTTTCAGAGTGTCTAATTGAAGAGCAGCTCCATCAGAATCCACAGAAAGCATCATGTGTCATGAGTATGTGGGTGCAGAGCCAGCCAAACTAGTTGATTAGGTATTATCAATGGAGTGATGGTTGGCTGTTAATCATCAGTTAGTCTGTTCTGTTCAGCAACAGAGAGAGAAAAACTTACAGATTGCACATCAGTTCATAATCTCCAGATATAGTATTCAGTGCAACAGGGCTCTTTCAGTTCAAGAGAGCCAGTAACTTGTGATCTTATCTTGACAGGCACTTTCATTCTCAGAGCATCAGTTGCAGTTGAGCAGCAGGAGTGTATGTAATTTTTGATTATGTGGAAAATGTTAATTTCAACAATCATTATCTCTTTCTTCCTCAATGTGGAGTCTGGTCTGATTAGAAGAGTCAGTACTGCATTTCAGAATGTTCTCAAGAATGGATTTTTCTTTTTACCATGCACTTACCTGAACTTGACAAGGGAATGTCTAGATCTATGAAGAGTATTATTGCTCACATCAGATGTCTTCCCATTCATCAAAGTGGCAATACAGGGAGAGGGTAATAACAGGCCTATATATGCAGATAGCCATGTTTGTATCCCGATAGCAAGCAACATTCTATGGATAAATTTTCCATACTGGGACCTGTGTGAGCAATGTGCTATAAACCCCTAGATGTAGATAGAGATGCCTTTGACACCTGGGATCTTGGAAATGTTTTTTCTCAAAACAAAGTACTGTAAACTGGTTAGCATGGCCCATAGATCATATAAGAAGCGCAGGAGTGATATTCTTACCCCTATGTGAAGCAGCACCGGTAGATTAGATTGACTGCCTGCCAGCGGAGCGGGAGAGCGAAGGGAAGGCGGAGCGGAGTTTCAAGGGCATCGATCATTCGATCCTGTTTCGGCAAATTTGGGAGTTAATTACGACTCTGCCGTTCAAATTTGGCCCTTCTCATTCCACAGGTGTGTCGCATGTCTCAATCGATAGATATTATCCATGTTAAGTCATCTCATGGGCGCAAGACTTTGCCTGAGAAACAAGGGCGTGGAAAGGCCGGGAGGCGGGGGATATATCCGACCTGATGGCTCTCCCCTTTCTACTCTTAATTCATCACTAAATAATTACATATCCATAATAAAAGACAAGCAAGCCAAGTATATCCACCTATACATGGCAATCCACCTAGGTAGATTCATAGGCGAGGGCACGAAGTTGATAGTGTCAATCCGGGGTTACTGGAAACTGCCCCCTTTAACTCCGGTGGGGGCTTAATAAATTGCTGGCGGTATGGTATAACTACGGGAGTACCTAGAATTTTCTGGAAAGCTCACATCTTCTTTGAACAATTCGGGGTAAGGGATAGAATGGGCAGAGACTCGAGAAGAAAGACGCTCGTTAGTGCGACGAAATTTCGATCGAATTAGGTTTAACTAACGAGCCGAATTTTCTCCAAATATACGGGATAATTTTATTTTCCTTTCTTTTCCTTCTATTGAATTTCTATACGGAGTAATCCATGTTTTTGTGGCGCTTCTTATTTTATTTTTATTTTATTTAGTTTGTTTTAGCTGCTTGAGCAGGCTCATTTAACTACCCCAGTTTCTCGTGAGATGCAACTCTCCCGGGGACACAGGCAGGAAAAGATAAAAAAAGTCTTACAGCTCACACAACTTTTCAAAATTCCACGGCGTAATTTTGGTCTGTGAAAACTAACTACGTTCTTCTCTGCTCCGTAATTTCTGCTCCAAATGCACTGCGAAGGAAGTCGGTCTGTCGCATGCCACTCGTAACTATTATTGAATCACGTCACATCGCGGAATCCTAATCTGCAGGTGCAGCAGCAAAGCAACAAATGAGAAATCTTGAAAAGTGCGGCAGGGGCTTGGTGTTTTCTTCTCTCTCCCCCAATTCTTGGGCGAATAGATTGCGTCGCTTTACACAGAAAAAAGCCCGCCAAGGATACATAAAGTGAAGATTGGTTGCAATAATAAAATGCTGGAGGCTCCGGACCCTCCGCCAAAGCCACCTGTTTCAAAAGGCCCTAAAGAAGACAATGCGCAGCCTTGACAGCGGGCAATATTTTATTTCTGCACGTGTGGATATCGATGTTCAAAACATATTCCAAGGCTTTGTTTGGTTAGCTAGCCACAGCAAACTTTTTCGGGAGAAATCTGATGGAGCACATCTAATTGACATCAGATACAGCTCATTGTACAGTACAATGACGAATGAATATGTCCTCCGTATGCACAGAGGATATGCTCAGGGGGAGAAATATGCCAAAGTGGTAAAACTAAAAAAATAAAGCGAAAAAAAATACCCCGTCCTCCACCCGGCCTGGATGGAGGTAATTCATGCAGACCGCTTCCTCCCGTTCCATTTCTGTACTTAAAAAGCAGAAAGGAAGATCAAACAGCAAAGTTGGAAACTCCACATGTGTACTATGTACTCTATAAGGAGCAAAGAAACCCAAATCTATGGAAGAGTCCAACACACCTCTAGTCTAAAAAAGTTACATATTCTACCTCAGTCCATGCAATTTGGTGGGCCGCGGCCTTATTCTAGCTCCGGTTGCTCGCAGATCCGCTCTGTATTTCTCCATTATGTACCCCAGAGGTACCCGACGGGATTTGTAGGAGAGGGGAGGATCTGTTGGGTTGAACCATAGCCAACTCGCTCCGGCCACCGTCCGTTATTCAGGAACCGGAACAGCGGTTGTTTACAATGTTTAGGCGACGTGACGTTAGGCTAGAAGTGAGGCTAGTTAGGTATCCTACTGCTACGCTACCATATCATATAGCGGCGGTCGGCACAGGTTGGTGCAGAGAGACGTTACATTCGGGTCTGCCGAAGCTGCAGCAATGGATAAGATGAAGGGGGAATACATAACTCGTGGAAGAGGCATGTTTTGGCATGCCGTTTTTTTTTTTTTTTTTAGAGAGAGGAAATATGGGGAATCGAGAACGAGTTTCATGTCGAGTGAATACGGGCCTCGGCGCATGCACGGTGGCTGCATACGAGGCGGCGACGGCTGCAGGGCGGCAAGACTCGGGAGATGGTTGGCAAGGATTATACGTACTGATTGATATCTTTTCCTGTGAATAGCCGTTGATACTCCGCGTTTACATATGACAGCCGCATATGTACTATATGTATGAAGTTAACGACATCAATGTGCGGAAAGGCAATAATAATAATAACCCGCGGGCTGGAACACAACGTCGGGAGTTTTATTTTTTATTTTTTATTTTTTATTTTTTTTTTTTTGCCCTGGATGTAGCGCAAAACGAACAACCCTCCCGAGAAATTCGTTAATATCAACTTTACAATGTTACAATGCCTCGGAGAAACAAACAGTACCACGCATTTCAAAATGTACTGCATGTCGCGACTTTCATCCCGAACGACAGACAATCACAGCAAACAAAAATGAAGAAGAAGAAGAGCACTCTTCCCTTCGCGTCTGCTGCTTCTCTCTAGGCTCTAGCCGCCCCAACCCCCGAGCACATTTTCCAATACCGATCCGGGGATGTAGTAGGACCAAGCAAGCAGGCCAAAGCCCTACAGCTAAACTCCTCCCCCCTAAATTTCCCCGCGTATCCCAGCAAAACACCCATGGATCCGCCAGATACTTTTTCATGAACTCTTCAACATACCTGCCAAAATGGATGGAAACAGAAAACGCCCAGATCGGATGCAGCGTTTGTTGTCATGCTCGTCCCGGGCGGCCATGCATGGGCCATTATTATGAGTATTGATTGATAGGTACTGGGCACTAGGCAGTTCGCCGGGGTCCTGGGATCAGGGATCGTGTGCGCAGTGCGAAACGGATGCACTGAGCCGATGGGATGGGGATGGTGGGGCCGTGGCCCGTGGGATGGAATGATAGAACTCTTAAACATATGACGATCTCAAGGAAGTTTCTGCAATGCGATTTCGACGTCGTGTGTATTCTATTCTTCAGGAATAGAGTGGAAAGGACAAACGCGGGCGCAGGCACGCGGGTCTGTACTGTACAAGCGTTTGATGTAAAAGCAATCTGGAGAAAGGAGAAGTAGGACCACGGGTATAAGATGTAATATTTAAGCACTCTTGGTCTAAAAAGAATTTACCTAAAAGATTCCCAGGCCAATTCCGAGCTGAGTTTGAAAGGAGCCGTCTTGAAGCACAACATAGACTGCATCCACGGCCATAATATAACTTACACATAAAATATAATAATATACAGAGTGCGAAAAACTCAGGTCCATCGAAGGTGAACCCACCCCGCTATGAAACTGTTTAATGCATCGGACAAATGCCCTTCTCACGTCCTCAAACAACTAAAAACCTCAACATGGCCTTCGTTTTATATATATCGTTTCTAGCGCAAAAAAAAAACCCCTCAGCCACGAACTGACACAGCTCTCCTTCATAAGATTAAAAACACATATGGACTACATGCATGGAGATTACTTGCACGGCTAGGGAAGTCAGTTGCGTGGTAAATATAGACCTGTAACCACCTAGTTAGGCTGGTCAGGCTGGTCAACCACATGGCAATTATTATGTCAGGCCTTTGACTTATGCAGTCTGAATTTGATACTCCCGTCTTTCTTCATCTCCCGGAAAGATATAGACACCATGGCCCATGTGCAAGACTATATATAGTATACTCCGTAGTAAACCCCTTCCCTCCCGTCCACGCCATTCAGCAAGTGCATGCATGCACCCTCTGTTCCCCCGGGGCTCCCCGCTATTATCATTTCATGCGATAAATTTTCTATCTGAAGCTCTCTCTTTACACTCTCCTTTCCCGTTATCCGCTATCTGCGAGCGAGTACTGGAGAATGGAGTGGAAGATAAGCAAAAGAGATAGAAAACCCCAAAAAAAAAAAAAAAAAAAGGCTCATCTCCGTGAGTTACAGAGCTTTTATTAGCATTTTGAATATTTATGCGCTGAAGTTGTGAAAAGTGCAAGGTCTTTCACTCTCCTGCACACATTCTCTCCCTCCACCCAATCCCTTGCCCTATCCCATCTGGTGTCACAGCTCAGCTGGGGATGAGAGGTCGTGAGTGGCTAGGTGACTGGTGACGGCGGGGCGGCACACCAGCTCCAGCAGGTGCTTCCCCCCTAGTTAATAATGTCTATATTAAGCGGCAATATACCCGTGGACCCTCAGGGTCAGTAAACTTGATTTGTTAACATTGGAAAGGCCTGCACGGCTAAAGAGGGAATAGAGAGAGGTAATGATTCAAGGAGAGAGTCCTGTTGATTGTAGTAAAATATATAGACTAACTTAGTCAAAGTCAGTTGAGTTGCAACACAAACTTTAATTTTTCCCTTGCTTGCTTCTATTTCCCCTTCATTCCATTCCATTTCGTTTCCTTTTTCCTTTCTGTTCCCTTCAGGTAGTTGGTAAACTTAGCCCCTTCAGAGCCTGGGGAACAAAAGCGCGCACTCTTTTATCTCCGCTCTCTCTCAACTGACGGGCTGAGATTGGGGGGTTTCCTTTCCCAACGGGGTTGCAGCAAATCAACTGCCGATCATTGGCGAAATGGATGAAATCCTGCTGTAGTTTCTCATTGGATGGATGGAACTTTTTCGAGGCTGAAGGGCGAGTAAGAACTTATGCAGAAGGGTTCTTGAAGGGATACTCCGTAGTTATGGGAAGAGATATATATATATCTCTCTCTCTAGAAATGTGATTGGCTGGACGGTGAGAGAGGGGAGGGGAAACAAGCAGAGGGTGAAGAGGCAAGGTTGATTGAGGTGATGGGAAGTTGAAGTGAGTTATTTGATGCCAGCTGATGAGAATAATGATAGACAGATTGATATTGATTGATATTGATTGATTCAAACTACCAAACAGCAACAAATGACTGTGTACGCTGTATTATCAAATACCTAGTTATAGATACGCACGTCCACTAAGACGCGTAGGGAGACAAGTGTCGCGGCAGTTCATTATTATTGGCGCCCTTGGGGCGTATGGTACGATATTACGGTAATTTACTGCTCCATAGGCCTTGTCACTGACAGTCTGAGAGATAGGAACGAAACGGACCGAAAAGCATTCAAAGCAAAGGAGTAAACACTGTCAGCTGTTTGAGCATTGAGCACAGCTAATAATAATAATAATATTAGAATATCAAGATGTTAATTGAAGAGGAATAGAGGAATTAAATGAGAAGCCTTGTCGCCTACAGCAGTACTCCATCGTTACCCGGCTTATTGAAATATTCAATTTGATATTGGTTAATATAACTCCGTATTATTGATTTCAATTATTGCTGCTGGGGAGTATCACCAAGGCTTGAATCTTATATTCTTTTTTTTATTTTATTTTATTTATTTTATTTTATTTTATTTTTTATTTTATTTTTATTGTTTGAATTTTCTTTCTTTGAAAAGAATCCCATCTCTATATTGATCAATGCTATTGCATTGCTCTTGCAACAAGGCACCTCCTGCGTACTGCGCACATCTTTGCATGTGGGATGACATGTGACATGGGAATCAAATAGGCTAGGGATAGGGTACAGAATGGTCCAGACGGGCGATGCGGTCCACCTGTTTTGCTGGAGGCTTCAGAGACTGGGTTAGAACTTAGAAGTTACTTAAGTAGTTAGTTAAGTTAGTAACTAGTTAGTTAGGTAACTAAGAACTAAGTTAACTAGTGGTTAGCAACTTTCATAAGGGGGTTTTGCCCATAACTAACTACCTATGTACTCCGTACTCCGTAAGCCTGCCAGCTGAGTTGAGCAGAGTAAAAGAAGAATAACTTAATTAATAATAATAATCATGTGTGCCTCCCAAGAACCAAGGTTCAGCAGCATCAAAGCTGTATTGTCATCCTCCAAGAACTACGCTGCGTAATAATAATAACAAGCTGGCTTTGTCGTGTACTACTACTGATGCTGACACCCAATCCACACATAGTTAGTTATTTTCAAGACCTTCATTTTCATCAGCATGTTCAAGGCCAGTTTCATCATGGTCATAGAACAATTAATTTATCTTTTGTATGAAGTGAGGCAGATCTCCTTCTCCTGTGTTCCCCTCCCCTCTTCCACTCCCCCCAAGCCACCCCCATAACATAGCCCATCCCATCATCACCCTTAACTAACCCCCAGAATCCTCCCCTCCCTTCTGTCCCGCCCTTGTCTCCCTGCGCTTGCTAACCAAAATTCCGCGCTGACCACACGACGCTGCGTAGGAAACCTCTGACCTCTGGCGCTGACCTCTGACACTGGCCCGGCCAGCCATCTCTGCCTTCTCTTCTTCCTCGCTTCGTCTCTCCTCTCTCTCTCTGATCCTCAACGTCCCATTGCATTGCACTGTTGTTCACCATCCTTCGACCAACATCTTCCTCGATTCTGTCGTCTTCTTGATCATCTCGCTCTCTTCTATCTCTCCTCTCCTTTCCTCTCTGCTCCCGTTAACCAGACTCTCTCTCCCTCTCCCTCTCCCTCTCCCTCTCTCTCTCTCGCCTTGGCCCCTCTCTAGAAAGTTCAGACCCAATCCCGACCTCCCCACGCTTGCTCCTCTGTCAACCCCACCTCACTCCTTTTCGCAGCCCATCCGTCGTACAGTCCCGTCAAATAAAACACCATTGACTTCATTATTGCTATTTCTCCCAGCCCAAACTCTAACCTCGTCTTCGAATCCCCTTCTCATTCTCTAGTGTTTTGAGTCCTCTTTTCGCTACTCCCTCTTTCTTGCTTTCTCTCTTTTCTACCCAGTTCACTCCCCGGTAGGACCATTAGATCTTCATATTCTCTACTTGGTGCCTCCTTTTTTTGTGTAGTGTGTCTGTGACCTACTATCAATCTTTTCATTCCGTCCGTCCACGAAGTCCTGTCCGACCCCCCCCGTTTTCGCCCTCGAACTGCTACGCTCCCTTTTCCCACACCACACAGAATCGAAGTTGACAGCGAAAACGAATTCGTAGGAACAAGAGAAGGAAAGGAAAAGAGAGGATCTGAAGGGAAGAGCCAGCAAGCCTGAAACACTCCCCGTTTTTACACCTTTATCAGCCGATAAGAAGCCAGTCAACCCCCAAAACAACTAAAACAGCCGTTCACGACGATGCGATAGAATACTCTCTGCGCTTCTCTCCAACCTTCAACCTTCCCCCGGATACTCCCCCTTTCTTTTCTCCACTTCCCAAGGGAAGATATCAATCAAACCATGTACTCTTCTCGATCTACTATTCCGCTAACGGCCAACTCAAAGCCCGTTTTGCATGCGAAACCTGGCACTTTCGCTGCTGCTTTCCACTACACTGAAGACGAAACGCCCTCCCAGGACGACTCTCAGTACCACTCCACCAACGACCACTCCTATCACGAAGACATGGCAAGACATCATGGAAACGATGGATATGTTACGAATAATAACAGGGGAGCTGAAGAAGGTACTGTCTACTTTTCGATGTTTTTTTGCACGTTTCGCTTGTATCAACCCTAGATTTATTGCTTCTATTAACAGAGTCAAAACAAAAACAGTATATAACTCTCCAGGAGAATCTCAGCCTGCGCTATACGTTCGTGCTCTCTACAACTATACCGCGGATGACCACACGAGTCTCAGCTTCCGCCAAGGTGACATTATACAGGTACTTAACCAGCTGGATACTGGATGGTGGGATGGCGTCATGGGCGATGTGCGCGGCTGGTTCCCGAGCAACTACTGTGCAGTTGTAACAGACCCTGATTCGATAGGATTGGGTGGTGGCCATTATGAACATGAAGGCGCTGACACCAGCGCTGAATCCGGCGCTGACGACTACGACGACGACGATGATGATTTGGACTCAGAAGGGAACCCCAAGGATGAGCCGTCAATCCTCCCCATCGAGGGAGCAAGAGGCTCGGAACATGAAGAAGCCGCCTTCTGGATTCCACAGGCCACTGCTGACGGGCGGCTATTCTATTTCAACACTTTGACTGGTCGAAGCACGGCAGAGCTCCCGTTGGAGTCACCCATGTCCGCTACAGACACTGGCCCACGCGATCGGACGAATATATTCGTTCCTGAACAGACCCGACCCCCGCCAGAGCTGATGGTTGGGGGGATTGATCGTGACGAGGATGATTATGATGGTTCCGGATCGGAGGCTGAAGGTGAATCGTTAATACGCTCGTCACACGACTCCGAGTCACGGCGCCGACGGTCGTTTATTTCAGACGGTGTTTCCCCTGCCACCTCGCTAGACTCAATAAATACAGAGCCCATAGGGAAACCATACTCTGAGTCCAAACACTCACGACAGTCACCCCATACCAGCAGCAACCAGTTGGCTCCCAATAATGGTATGATCTCTTCTGCCCAAGCTGCTCACTTTGACCGACTCTGCGCTCAATCTATCTCATCCACCATTCCTCGTCATTTCCTCGATGACCGCTTGTCTGCACCTCTTACTTGGAATAAGCTCGTTGGAAACATGCGCCAAGCGATCGATGCCTACAGGCGTGCGATTATGGAGGGCCATCGTGCACAGTACGTGAAACGTGCTGAGGATATTTCGGACCATCTCAGGATGCTACTTGCTGCAGGCTCTGACACAACTGATAATCACTCCGGAAATCCTTCCATAATCTCCACAAACAAAGCATTGTATCCGCATTTCCGCGATATGATGTCCAAATTCTCGAAACTCGTCCTTTCGTCCCATATCGCTGCAGCCGATTGGCGAGGGCCTGATTCGGATGCCAAATGCCTGCAGGAAGCCGAAGGCGTCTTGCACGGTGTCTATGGCTACGTTGAAGTCGCAAAACAACAACGAGGCGACGATATTAATCGTCTGGTTCCTGGATTTGTACAGGGAAGCGCCTCGGGAGGCCATTGGCAGAATAACAATGTGGGAATTCGAAACTCTACTTCATTTTTCGACCACGCGAATCGAGAGTCAGGACTGGAGCCAGCTATGGTTCTTGATTCAAACATCGTTGATCGAATTGAAAGTCTGAAGGATATGCTTACTGCAAGCGCCCGAAGATTGGAAGAGAAGCTATCTCTGTCCGAGAAGACCATAACTCCAAGAATACACCTGGCGATCGCGGATGCAGTTTGCGCTGCAGGGTCCAGAGTGGTCGAATGTTTCCAACCGTGGATATCGCTTGTGGAGTCTATTGATCTTGCTCCCCTCGAACGGAGCTCCCAGAATCCACAGCTCGTCGACTTCAGCCTCCAAAAGCAACGTGCATATGACGGTGTTGCCGATTTAGTCCTAAGTTGCCAGGCTGTTTCTGCGCCTTTGGCTGATGAATGGGCAGAATTGAGAGGTGATACTCTCGAAACTCGACTGGCCAGTGTTAGAGCGGTTTCCCGCCAGCTACAGAATTACATGACTCAGATCGGGTTCTCTCTCACCCTGCTCCTCGAGCAAGCTCCTTCAGAAGCGCCTCCAGCTCGAGACATTGGTAGTGGTGGCGGCCCGTCAAACGTTCCCTCAGGGTCTATCGGAGTGCCCTCGTCTTATCCTCCAGCTGATAGGCAGCCGGTAAAGAGTCGAGCAAATATAGATAAAGCGCAGCGTTTCTTTGGTGATACCATCCCAACTGAACCAGCAGTGCCATGGTTTTTGAACATTGACCACGAATCAGAGGTTTTCTATGACAACAAGGGAGATGTACCGACGCTCAAGTGTGGCACTCTGGCCGGGTTGGTGGAACATCTCACGCGCCACGACAAACTTGACACCTCCTTCAACGCGACTTTCCTACTCACATACCGCTCCTTCACAACCGCATCTGAGTTGTTCGAGATGCTGGTACATCGTTTCACCCTACAACCACCTTACGGACTGGATAAAGCAGATTTACAGACTTGGACTGAACAAAAGCAGGTCCCAATTCGGATTCGAGTGGTTAATATCATGAAAAATTGGTTCGAGAATTACTGGATGGAACCCAATGATGACGTAAACATACGTCTCCTACAGCGGGTATACGCATTCGTCAAAGATTCGGTTGGCAAGACAAAGACGCCTGGCTCCCAGCAGCTTTTGAGCTTGATTGAACAGCGCATGCGTGGCCAAGACACCTCAGCGAAGAGGCTTGTCCCTACCATCAGCGGCAACGCACCGCCATCGATCCTTCCCAAGAATATGAAGAAGCTGAAGTTCCTGGACATTGATCCGATGGAATTCGCGAGACAGCTTACCATCATTGAATCCCGTCTCTATGCCAAGATCAAACCTACAGAATGCCTTAACAAGACATGGCAGAAGAAACTTGCACCCGACGAGCCTGATCCGGCAGCCAACGTAAAAGCGCTGATTCTTCATTCGAATCAATTGACTAATTGGGTCGCGGAAATGATATTGCATCAGCAGGATGTGAAGCGGAGAGTAGTTGTCATTAAGCACTTTGTCTTGATTGCAGAGGTATATACCCCGCCCTACCTTGAGAATCTTTTTTCATTTGTCTGTGATGTGAGTGAGCTTACGTTAACTAAAAAAAACCAACCTTTAGAGATGTCGCTCAATGAACAACTACTCCACATTAACGTCAATAATATCAGCCCTTGGCACAGCACCTATCCACCGACTGAGTCGCACGTGGGCCCAAGTTAGTGCCCGCATATCGGCAGTACTTGAGAATATGCGCAGGCTTATGGCCAGCACGAAAAATTTCGGGGAATATCGCGAGGCTCTACATCTTGCGAATCCTCCTTGTATTCCCTTCTTTGGTAAATTTTTACCCCTTTCATCAATCCTGTCGCTTGTTATCTGGTTTTTTTTGTGTGCCAGGCTTGGCTTTAGAAAGGCCCTTCTTCTGTTAACACCAAGTGATATAGGCGTTTACTTAACGGATCTTACGTTTATCGAAGACGGAATCCCATCTCTGACGCAATCGCATCTGATCAACTTCAACAAGCGAGCCAAGACAGCCGAAGTTATCCGCGACATCCAGCAGTATCAAAATGCGCCATACCCATTCCATCCCGTCCCAGAGCTCCAGGATTACGTGCTTAGCAATATGCAGGCAGCCGGCGACGTGCACGAAATGTACGAGCGCAGTCTCGAGATCGAGCCGAGAGAACGCGAAGATGAAAAAATAGCGAGGTATGGACGAATGAATGACGCTTCTGTTTTTGCACTTATGATTTCTACGTGAATATGGATGATATGTTTTTCTTTTTTTCTTTTTTTCTTTTTTCTTTTTTTCATTTTCATTTTTCATTTTCATTTTCATTTTTTCCCCGCTGGACCCTTGATTCTTACTATTTCACGATCCGATCTATCTCCTCCCCCGAATCCTTGTTCCCCCTGTCTGTCCCGAAACCCCTGTCATGGTCACATTGGGTCATTTCCCATCTTTGCCCTTAGTTTTCCTTCTTTTAGGTTCAGCCTTAGCCCGCCATCTTGGGTGGGCGGAGATATTGTTTTTTGGGGGGCTGGCTGGCACGTGCGCTAGTGCAGCAACCCCAGCCAATAACAAGCGAGTATCCCCAAAAACCCGGGTTAGGCAGCATGGAAACCTTGTAAAGCAGCAGCAGCACACAATCCAATTCCCCCCGCTCTCATCCAGCGCGCCCTCCCCTCCGTCCCCTCCGTCCCCTCCGTCCCCTCTCAACCATATAATGACTTTAAATGAGCGAATGAGAGTGACAAAGTCTAGAACGCACCCATTCTATTTCGCGCAAATTGGATAAAGTGGATTGGCTCCAAGTACGAAATGGAGGGGAGATTTATCCCTCCCTTTATATATTTTGTGTTATGCGCGATGTCCAGTGTTTGTGCTTGAAAGAAACCAAGGCGCCAAGCCTGGAATAATTATCTCTTGCAATTCATACCTAACCTACCTTCTTACTCTGACATTTTTTGGTTCCATTTACTTCGTTGCCGTTTCCTTGGCTTTCCCTTTTTTTTCCCCTTCTCCCCTCTTCCTTTGCTTTGGCCATTCATTCTCTCCTATTTGCAAAATGACCGAATTCCTGCTGACTCATAACCCTCTTCGTTTCTTTTGCTTTTTTCGCGCGTAGATTGCTTTCGGAATCGGGCTTCTTGTAGCCTCCATCTACCTAAACGCTTCCAAGCGCAGGGGCCCTAGGGCGCGGCGCCCCGCCGCCACCCCCGCTCCCATGGCACCATCAACTCCCCAGCCCTTGCTTGGCCTACTCGCTTTCTCTTGACTACGACTACCTCTAGACCCGATGTTGATGGTGATGGATGGTAGGCGGGGCGGGCCGAAAGAAATCTAGTTGCATCGCCCGTTTTCAGCCCTCTACTTGGCAGCCCGTGCCGCCACTCACAGTTACTCCAGACGTCCACGCATCGAGTCGTAGTAGCTGTCATTTTGCTTCCGCCGTCTAACGCTAAAGCTCTGGTGGCGCTTCCCATTCAGGTCAACTTCATCCAACATACTCTTTACACTGGATGAGCGAGAGGATCAGCCACCCCTTTCGTCACGTTGGCTTCGTGCTAGGGAACTCGAAATGGGATCCATCCATCCATTCCTCCCTCGCGGGCATATTTCATCTCTCGCCCGCTCTTGGGGGAAATAGATGTGCCTGATGATGGCGGTCCGTCTTTCTGATTCCGCTCTATGTATCCGTCTGTTTCGAACGAGTTTCCGCAAACCAGTTCACCCAGGCTCGTCGGCGGCCCTTCAAGTGACTTATATACTATACTGAGTATTCATTGAGGCTGAGGAGGGCCATACCAAGAGATCTTGGGCATCAAACACCATCCGGTGCTGTTTGTCAATATTGATAGCAGAAGAGCAACGCACAAAACAATTATCACTTCGATTGAAATTAATCAGTGCGAGAAAATGGATAGGAGTCTGTGACCACTGGCTCCTACCAGTTAGTGTGATTCTTCGGGAGATGGTGTCCTGTCTCGTCTCGATCGATGGCGTATGAGAGGCGGCGGAATCGGATGAAAAGAGGACCATCACGAGCTATGATTTTGCTCGGGTCATGAAACTGTATGTCCGTGTTCCGTGACAGCCCCACGGGACGGGACGGGATGGGATGAGTTGAGGGCGTGAAGTTAACTCAGCGACGGATGGGTCAGGACTATCCCCGCCGCCCGTTGTACATTCTGCATACCACATGCATATGCAGGTGTTGAGGGACGACAGCTACCTTCTGCTGTCAACGTTATTATGGCGTCGTTCCGCAGTTCATCTCGCACGGGGGATCCATACAGTCATCTTCGAATCCCCCACTTCTGCCATTTTTCCCTTTCGCATCTTGTTAATGGATAATAATATCATATTCCATTCCGTGCAGTTTCCTTCTCCTTTTTGCTCGGGGCCTTTTTACCCGCTGGTCGGCATTATGCACTACGGAGGGGTATCTTATCTCTTAATGGAAGCTGTTTTTTCGATTTGTTTTTTGAGCATATATATTTTTGTTCCTGGAATTGATAGAGAGGTCTTTGTCTGTCTGTCTGGTTGTCTGCCTGGTTGTCTGTCATGCATGTTTGTAAACTGTTATAACTCTTGCTCGTGTTTGTTTAAGGGTGGAACGGCTTTTCTTTATATCGTTTCTATTTCTCATATATTTATCTCATGTCTTGGTTTGTGCAATGCTCCGTTTCCTCTCTTTCTTCTTGTTGCTATGCTCTATACAAGCCCAGTTTACATGCTATGCTATGCTATGATATGATATGACATGAAATGATATCTCTCTACACATACATCCCCTTCATGTGTTCCTGTTTCCGTTTTCTTGTTTATTTCATTCCCTTGATTGCACTTCATAGGGTCCAGGGGGGGGGGGGGGGGGTGATTAAATGATTGTAGAGAGAAGACACGGAGTATGAAAAGGATTGACAGAGACAAAGAAACCCAGCTCTTTTCCAGTGCAGGGTGCGTTGTTCCTTTTGGCTAGGCAGTTAAGTTACTACTTTCCTTCTAGAATCACGAACTACTTTCTTACCTGCATGGGGTGGGGGGATGACAAGATGACGACGGATGACAGTTCGCCATGTTTCTCTTGACGGCCTTGCTCTGTCAGCCCTACCTACATACATACTATCAATACATCTAAATGTTATATACCAACCATGCCCTAACGGATATGGATGGGCAAAGGTGGGATGGAAATCTCGACACGAAAAAGCGGCTGGGAAACGATATTAACGAAACGAGGCTGTAGGGGGAGCCTGTGTTCATAACACACACACGAGCACACACATATACGAGAGTAGAGATGAGGGATGACAGGCAGACAGGTGAAATGGAAGTGGGTTTCATTGATTCGGAGTGGATGGATATGGGCGGTTTTCTGACTTCGTCTTTTTTTTAATTTTTTTTTTTTTTATTATTTAATCTCATCTGATGTTAATAATGAATATGTAATCCCATCCCTTCCCCTCCCCCTCATCCCCCCCCATCCCATCGCAATCCTCCTCCTACCCTACAAACACACCCCAGTCTACCTCGCCCAGGAACCTACCCCAGTACATCATTTCTTAAATGCTACCTACCGTCCCTGAACCCTGAACCCTGCACGTATAACATCGGATATTATCATTAGCGGATCTCCGCTCGTATCCTATCCGGCCGAACGGCCTTCTTTTTACTGTTGGGAACCAGGTCCTAGCCACGCTTGGGCTAGCTGGGGATAGATGTGTCTAGGGCGCAGTAGCGTCTGATTTCCCCGGTCGATCCACCGCCCGCCGGCATATGCGTCGCTGCGGTGGACATCCGGCGTAGTTACCAAGTTACCATGCCTTGACGGTTTCTTCGTCTTCGTCTGTGATTTGTTTGGGCGAGGAGCTGCTTTTGGGTGGTGGGATCGTTTGGCGGCTTACTCCGTAATATTGCGGATGGGATGGGGAAGAAGGCCTAGAGCTCTGATCTCGTTAGTGCGGTTCTATCCCGTGAAATTAGGTCGTGCAAGGAAGTGTATGTATGTACTACTGTAACATGCATGTATTCCCCTGCTGAAGGTCTGAGCCTGTGATCTAGGAAGGTGGGCAGGTGAGGTGGATAAAATGCCAGGAACTATTATTGGGCATCTCAAACTCGCTATTCAACTATTTATACAGAGGAGGAGCTATAATTTGCCGCTGCACATCTGCGCTCTCGCCGTCTTCAAGGAGGTGATGTTGAGAATGGGCGTCTGGCATGTTGACAGGAACCGAGTCCCTGTCGCTGATTTTAGAAGTCTGGACCTGTGCAATCAGCTCAAGGTTGGAGGCGATCCACGAGGTTGTTACCCCGCTTGGGTGATGATATATCCTCTTGTAAGGCATGGTTTCCAGCCATCTCCGCCTCCTCTGTGGAAGGGAAGGGTGTTTCCAACTCAACATGGGCAAAGCATCTTCTATCGGTTGTCGGGCGTTGGGGATTAGGTGAACGATGTGGAGTAGCTGATATTTAAGCGTACTTGTCGCAAAACTCACTGGTGAAATATACCCTGCGAGAGAAATAGCCGCTGTGTCACATTTTCCTTCAAGATTGTCTAGATGGGTCTGGGTGGATGGGAGAGGGTGAGCGCGCTGAATAGCCATTCAACGCTTCCGCCCTGAGATGTTGTACTGTAATATTGAACTCTAACATCCCCCCATGAAGAAAAGAAGCTGCACGCTCTACCTACGTTGTTTGGCCATTGTGCAATTCTTGCCACTTGGTATTTTAGCACCACAGCGCTTCGATATCTGCCTCATCACATCCGTTCGCATTCGTCTGCTCAACTTCGTCCAGAGCCCACCGCATACGTCCCTCCGATGAAGCAATGAAGCAGAACACAGCGGCGGGGTAGTGCGTGCTGGGGAGCATAGCATAAGTTGATGAACACTTTCGTTGGTCCTGAGGGTGAGATCACTGTCCTTCCCAACCTTTGACATCAGGTATCGAAAACGGCTGGGTCGAAAGCGTTCACAGCCAGTTTCACCGACCATACGCTCGCGCCGGGAATAGCTATATCTGAGATGTATGATGCGTGCTGCCAGGAATCCGGGGTGCAAGAGATTGTGAAAAAGGAAATTATGTGTGTATCGAAAAAAAAGATTCGTGATAATTATTATTTAAGATAGGGTAGAAGCCGCAATTGGGCTCATCCCGGAATTGATAGGGGCGCAATGGTGGTAGCTCCTATGCATATCGTTAATAGCACCAGAAGAACTCCGCCATACAATTTAAAACCAAGCACAAACAAAACATGATGGGTATTGCATGCGTCGTCATGAATCATCCCAGCAAACCCGGGGTACGCAACTCACATGTAGTCCGTATCTACCCCTCCTTCATTCGTCCGTTCCCGAATCAATAAGAAAACAACAAGTAGACCATACCAGAAACGGGAAAAAAGAGGAAGGGAAAAAGAAAAAGCCTCTCACTTTCCCAACGCCAAAAACAGGCGATCTCCAACATCACCTACACCAGGCTTAATCATCCCGTTCGCGTTCAACCCTGGATCAACAGCGCCCAACCAAATATCCACCCCTTCCGGCCATTCCTCCGCTGCCCGCTTTGCTCCGTCTGCACTCGCCAACACACTAAGAACCAATACCTTCGCGACCCCCCATTCCTTCAAAGTCTGAATCGCAGCCGCACAGGTGCCTCCTGTCGCGATTATCGGATCAACAATGATGGCAAGAGTAGCAGCGGAGGTATTCTTTTGCGCGTCTTCAGGAGAGGGCTGGAAGGGGAGGTTATTGTAGTATTCGACGGGGTGGAGGGTTGTTCGCTCGCGGAAGAGTCCCAGATGGTGTACAGCGACGGGTGAGGGGAGGAGATCTTGGATTGCTAGGTGTGTGGAGAATTGTTAGATTGGTGGATCTTTGGGGACATATGACTGGGCTGAAGGATTTTAAAAGGAAGAGGACGCGATTAAGGAAAGGGGATTTGACACACCCTGAACCATCCCCAGGCCTGATCTGAGAATTGGGACAAGCGCGATCTTCTCCGGGGTGATGGTTTCTACTGGATACTCATATCCAAGAGGCGTTTTCCCCTAGAACATTTATGACATCAGTATTGGGAGAAAGGGAATAAGATACATTGTTCTCCCATCTCATCTATTTCCTTTGCTTTGCTCCTGCTCTCCTTGTTCCATCTCACCGCTCTCATTTAGATAAGGTAGTCTCGGGAGGGAGTAAATGCTCACCGTACCACTCGAAACGACTTGCAAGCTGGTACCCAAGGCCTCACAACCAAGTATCATAGCAATATCATTTATTAACCTGTTCGTGTCCTTAGAGCCCGTGTTGATCGAGCGCAGCTGAGAGAGCTTCGCACGCAGACAAGGGTGCTGGGAAACACGTATGTTACTGGGGAGCGGGGACGCCATGATTTAAATTTATTTTTTTAAATTTTTTTATTTTCCGCAGCCCTTGGGAAATATGGCAACAAATGGTACTTATGAGCTTGAGCGACGATTCATTGACTCTTGCAGAAAATATAAGGAGAGCGAGAAGTGAGGGGTTCCGACGCGGCAATGTGATGCTTGGAATGATGTAGTTAGATACATACAATACATAGTTACATCAGATGCTTATCTTATCGCGCAGAGCTCTGTAAAGTACGGTATCAGGCCGGAGACAGAGCCGTCATTTGCCCACACAAGCTACATTTATCCTTGAAAAGCGGGTATCAGCTCCGCTTTCGTGTACCGAATATTACCGTTAGCTCAGTCACGTGGTATACTAGGTTAATTTTTTCAATATCAAACCTCCAACCTGGGCAGATGTCATGATGTCATCTATACCTGACATTAATGCAGTTCTCCATGAAAAGTTTTACAGAGAGAAGCCTACGCCGTGCGAAATGGCGTAGCAGTTGGCGTGCGCTCAGGTTTTAGACAATAAGGTAATATTCCTCGTGATTGTCAGAAGTTCGGTTTGCTAATCAAGTCGGGGTTCGCCGAGTCATTTCTATACTTCCATCCAACTACACTTTTATTGATCGCGCTAATGCGTATACATAGAAAGTTCTGAAGTGAGAAATAATTTGTCAATTTTGATATACATATGATATACTTCAAGCATGGATGGCGAAAATTCCACAGTTGACTTTGACAGTTCGGCCCGCACACAAGAACCTCAACCAGAGGCCCAAGAAGACCAGGAATTGAGGCGTGGTCCAAGTCTTGAAGAAGAACAGTCAGGATGGAGGGAAGAAGAACGCAAATCGGAAGAGGGCCGAATTGCAGATCTCACTGAGCGCGCTATCCCGGATACCCGCGAGGACGCGGATGAGGAGCTGCAAAGAGAACGCACGCGTGAGGAGACTTTCCGGAGAGATATAGAGAGGGATGGATCCCTTACTGAGCTTGCCGTACCTCCTCCCGTTGAACGCGTGTCATCCAGGCGGGGCGACTGGGCAGCTCTCGAGAGCGCCGAGTCTCGGGTTACTGCGCCGCCCCCTCGCGTTGATCGAGTTGCTGGAATCGAAGCCAAATTGTCGGCGTTTGCTACCCGCCTTTATACCGTCTCCTATCTTGTGCTTTTCTCAATGCTAGGAGCATTGGCTCGGATTGGGCTGGAGTGGTTGACTACTTATCCTGGAGCGCCGTTGACCACCGGAGTTACCTGGGCAAATGTTGGAGGATGCCTCTTTATGGGATTCCTAGCTGAAGACCGAAAGCTGTTTCGTGAAGAATGGGGACAGTGGAAGCGAAAGCATTCGAGACACAAATCTAGCGCGTCAAATGGCCCGATTTCCCATCCATCTCCTCATTCTCACTTACCGCATCCTATGAAACTACTCCGCCGGCGGTATTCGCGTTTCCATACCCTCCACACACCACAACATCCACCTCCAGAACAACAGCCCCAAGCTCCAGAACAAAGCGACCTAAACGAACAAAAGGAGGAACCGATAACCCCGTCACTGGAACCCGCCTATTCCCTCCAGACCCACAAATCTATCAAAAAGACCATTCCCCTCTACATCGGCCTCACAACAGGCTTCTGCGGCTCCTTCACCTCCTTCTCCACCTTCATGCTCGACGTCTTCCTCGCCCTCGCAAACGACCTCCCAACTCCAGGCCACCCATCATCCCCCCTGTCCCGCAATGGCGGATACAGCTTCATGGCCGTGCTTGCCATAATAATCTATACCCTCTCCCTGAGCATCGCCGCCTTAATCCTCGGCTCCCACCTCGCCATTTTCATGGACGAGTACACCCCCGTAATCCCCTACGTTTTCTCACGAAGATGTCTCGACCCCATTATCTCCTTTCTGGCCATCGGCTGCTGGCTGGGCGCCGTATTCCTCGCCATCTGGCCCCCGGACCGCGATCTGGGAGTCCACGAGCATTGGCGCGGCAGCGCCGTGTTTACCGTCGTTTTCGCGCCGCTGGGCTGTCTGCTGCGCTTCTATGTGTCGTTGCTGCTCAATGCCCGCATCCCGAGGTTTCCCTTGGGAACGTTCACGGCGAATATCTTCGGGACCCTGGTACTGGCTATGTGTTATGACCTGCAGAGATCGACACATATGCTTGCGGTGTCTGCTTCTTCGTTTTCCTCCGCCCCTGAGGCTGCTGCAGCGGGCGCGGTTAGTGTGTCGCGTCTCAGCGGCTGCCAGGTATTGAAGGGCATTATGGATGGGTTCTGCGGGTGTACGACGACGGTAAGCACGTGGGTGGCTGAGCTGGATAGTCTTGAGCATGAGCATGCGTATGTTTATGGCTTGGTTACACTTGCTGTTGCCCTGGGCCTTTTGGTTGTCGTTGTTGGGTCACTAAAGTGGACGGTTGGTTTTGGTCTTGCGGTTTGTTGATGCCGGGTTTAGATGCGTTAGATATATACAACAAATCCTAAACGGACGTTTTACAGATATCAATCAGTATATTATTGTACCTTGACGTCAGCTCTCGTGTAAATACATGTGAATGCATATTAGAACTAACTTTCCGATGGAGAAAAATATGGCAGTCATCCAACCCAACGGCCATCAAATCTACGAAGCAAACATACCACAAAACCGCGCCTCATCCCCAATAAACAGTCGCAAGGTCTCGGTGTTAATTTTGACAGCAAGAGTATATAGGAGTGATATCATCAAAGATATAGTAAAGGTAAGAACGTAACCGGAGGGGGGGGGGGGAAGCCGTACAAAAAAAATATCCATTCCAGCGCCATTCCCAATAAGATATACAACCACAAGCACCCCCATCCATATCCGTCGTTCTCAATCATAATCTCATAACCCAACCCAACCATCGAAAGAGAGAAGCAAAAAGACGACACCCAACACGAACCAACGTTTCCGTTACACTATCAAGTCTTGCATCGTATTGCCAAAGCCAAAGCCATTCGCACTGGTGCCGTTCCGAGTCGACCGACTCGGTATCCCATCAATAGCTCCCGAAGCTGCCAAATCGTCATGCTCACTATTATAGTCTGTACCCTGCTCCCGGTGTTTCTCAGATTGCCGTAGTCGGTCTTGCGCGGTGAGGGCTTCGCGACGAGCGGCTTCAATGGCAGCGTTGCGCTTTTGGGCGGCTGTGGGATTTTGTTGGTTAGTTTATATTTTTCATAACATGATGGGTCTCAAATGGTATGTGAATGTTTATTTTGTTTTTACATATTTAAATTTATTTGATTGAGCTAGAGAGGGATGAGTGGGCTTGAGGCGATTTTTGTGTGCGACATACCTTGCCAGAAGTACCAGTAGAGAAGCATAGTTACTATCGACAGGAGGATGAAGCCAAACATAATACCTAGTTCTGCCCCGATGGATGGTACTGGAGTGTAAGGAATGGGGTGGATGTCACCAGGCCTGAGAGAATGGACTGTTCCTGGAAAGCCGTTCATTTTGATCTATCTATGTTTCCTCCTTCTATATTTGTGTGATGTTGTACCCTTTATGATTGCCGTGCAGGCCGTCTCAAGATAATTATGTATATCGAATGGCTTCGAGAATGTTTATACGTGTGATACAACAAAGGTAGGCAGAGGAGGGTGAGTCCCGTTGGTAACGTCTCGATAGCGTGATGTGCAAAATTTCTGATAATAAGATAGATATACACTGGAGGTTAGTATTTATAACGAGGAATGGAATGTTTCAAGTTCAAACAAAGAAACCAAAGATGTAGGGGGAGTTCAGATTGCCGTAAACTCAAATAATTCAAGTAACCTTGGACAGACTGATGAATGCGGAATATCAAAACACTTGCCCGACGGGATTAAAACAATTTTCCCGTACCGTATCTCAACCCAATTGTTTCTCTTCTTTATTTCTCGTTCTTCCAAGTTCAATCTTCAACCCCAACCCTTAGGTTCTTGAATGAGATAACGAAAATTCGCTTGCAACGCAAATTCGTGATTGGGGGCTATGATATGGTGGGGTGTTTGCGCTTATTTCTTAGGGTAATTGTGATGCGCAGGGCACTACTCGTAGGATGTGCAGACAGTTAGCTGGTGAATTATCAAGAGTAGTATTAAAACCAGATTGGAGTTCCTTTCTTTTGAGCGAAGATGAACACTGATGATTGAAGATTGGATGGTAAGTGTTCAGACAAAGGAGGTTGATGTCAGTCTGGGGCAGCGGTCTGATCGCGGGAATGAGTCAGCAAGCCTAGGTTCTTCCTGCTCGAACGACATCCAGGAAGCAGAAAACTTGACCTCGCTAAGTGCGCCACTTGACCTCGTTATGTAAGCTGACCTCGCAAATGTGGCCCGTGCCACTACCTGACCTCGCTCAATACATCTTTTCTTGTAATTTGAAACCACTCAATTATTTACCATCAATTCTACAATCAATTCAAAATCAATTTAAAATCAATTTAAAATCAATTTAATACTGAAATTATTTTTAAATTTAATAATAAAGTAAGTATTTATATAATTTACACTGAATTGATTATCAATTGATTTTCAATCAATTGTTAATTACTGTAACGTGGCGGAACCGAAGCGGTGGCTAGTCAGCAGCATCATATAGAAGTAGTTGTTTGAGAAGCTGTATAAGTGAGCTTGACTATCTTGCTTGAATAGTGAGCTCATAGGCTACAAGATTATTGCAAGAATATCACAGATATGATACTTAGTATACTAAGAAGATTGTATAAAGTATGCAGTAACTCTCATATATATTTCAGTAGAAGAAAAAGACAAATCACTGACTTCTTTGATAAGAAGTCAGCATCTAGCTATTCTATATAGATAATGAGTGAATACTCTTCTCTTATTTCATGAGTGAGAATAGCTGAAGTAATATCTCAGCAGTGTCTCATTATTAAGAAAGAGTAATCTGTTAATCTTATATAGAAGCAGAGTTCTCATACTTATTAATCAGATCTTTCTATGATACATTCATATAATATTATAGAGTGATTGAAAACTGGTTCAGACAGTCTGCAGAATAAATGAAATTATTTATATAAAAGTAATAAGCTGTGTGAAATTATAATAAGATCTTGATATAACTGAGAGTATAATAATACTCTTCTCTTTAAGAGTATAGTCTCTATACTCTTAAGATTACTGAATTAGAAATTATCTTTATTATATAGCAATGATTGTTAACTGATTAACAGCATATGTGCTGTGTATAATATAAAGAAATAGATGAGTTTTTCTACTAACTGTGTAGATCTTTCTTTTCTCATCTTTATTCAAATCAAACACATGATAAGTGAGTTTCTTATATATTGATTTGAAAGATGAAAAATGTAATTAATAAGTAACTCACAGATCTTTCAATATATTTCATTCTATATATGAAATTCTCTGCAAAAGTGATGTATTTTAGAGACAAAGTTAACAGTTATAACAGAATTTTTTTGAAAAGATTTCTCTTCTTTATAATACATTTTTCTCTCTCTCTTCTCATCTGTAATAGTGAGTGTATAAGAGTATCATTCTTGAAGAATAGTAGAGAACTTATTCTGACATTTTCTAGTAAGTAAATGTCTTTATGATGCAGCAGCAGCCTTCATAACTGTCAAGAAAGTCAGATTAAAGATGACAGTGTCAATGAGCTGTGAAAGTACTACTCTTATTATCATATCTTCTTCTGCTTCTCTTGCAGCTGTGATGAAAGTTGCTGTGCTCTGCAGTGAGATGTTATCTCTTCTGTTAGTCAGTGTATCTGTATTCAGTTTATTTCTCACTCTCTCTGTCACTATTGCAACACTGCCTCTCTCAATCAATATAGTAATGTATAATCTCATATGATTATTTAAAGAGAATCTCAGAGAGAGCTTGATTTCAGAGACAGTGACTCTGAGAAGCTCAATCTGTAGTTTTTCTCTTATGACATACTTGAGCTCTGCTTGAAATACTGCTGAGTTGAGTCTGCAGAGTTCTGTGATTTCTTCATCTTCTCTCTGTGAGAAGGCTCTGATACAGTCTCTGATCAGTATCACTACTTATCTACACTACACTAAGCAGCTGAAGAAGAGAAGAATTCTATACATCTATTTCTTCTCTCACTCTCATTATTTCTATTATATCTGTAATAATAACTTCTATCTCTCTGTAAGTATTATCTACTCTATAAGAAGATGTCATATCAGCTCTGATAAGAAGCTCAGATGCTCAAGTAGTACAGAGTGAGAATCTCAGAGCTTTAAGTATTGATAGATTTCATTAAGACTGAGAAGATCTCTCTTACTCATCTGTAAAAGAAGATGAAAGTATGAATCTCTGAGATGAAAAAACACCTCAGAATGACTGATCTTAAGAAGAGATTAATCAGTACTACTATTAAAAGTATTATAGAGATTAATCACTGATTGAAGAGAATCTTACTTCAGTTAAAACAGATAACTGAGATGCTTTATAAGTTAATAAGTTGATACTTTCAGTATCTCTTATACTCTTCTGCAGTATACTTCTCTGCAGTACTGCAGTACTAACTTCTCAGCAGATAAAGATATCAGTGTCAGAGACTTCAACAGTGAAGAATGAGTTTAATAAAGATGTAATTATTAATAAGTAGATTCTGAGATTCTCTCTTTTTACTTTTTCAGCAGACTGTGATCTTATTAGATTAGCAGCAGCTTATAAATTAATTAATATTAATCTTTTTATTAATTTCAAATATTTCTTTTCTCTAACTGCTTCAGAATTTTTACACTTATATAGTCTTATTAAACTTCTAAAAAATCTTTTAAGAGAAAATAGAAGAAGAGTGCTACAGAGTCTATAAGATGTCAGCTCATCACTATAAGATTATCTCTAAAAAACTCTTTAAGAAAAATGAGAAGTTTTAAGTAGTATTTCTTATTCAATGTCTCTGATATGTAATGAGATAATCTCTACTAGCTATCTTATAGCTTGTAATCTCTTTCTCAGTATTTTTCAAATACTCAAGCAGTTTTCATGAATTCTCTGATAATGAATATTCTTCTCATTTCACAAGATATTGAAGCTTATTATAATATATTTACTTATTCAATATTTTCTTCATAAGATATTCAGTATCACTCTTAATCTCAATATTATTCAGCTAAGACAGCTTCACTTCAGAGTGTTATTTATAGAGCTTTAAATAGAAAATATGAAAAACAGAATGAATTGATTTCAATTCTGTGAATAATTTTAACTCATATATCTATTTACTTATTACTCTTGTTACTGAGAAAGATTCTAATCACTACTCACTGAGCTTCTTATATAATCTCATTGTCTTGATATTCTTTACTGAAAGTAGCACTTGATTCTCTATTAAGAACTTTATTAGAAGATGTTTTTAATTATAGTATTTTATCTACTACTTCTGAGTATAATGAATACTTTTCATCATCTTCTTATGAATTTTATTTAAAAGTTTCAATCTTACTTTTACTTCTGATACTGAGAGATACTTTATTCTCTGTATCTATCTAACATTCTGACTATCTATTTCTCTCTTTGAAACATTGTTCATGATGTCACTGAGTAATGAAGAATTATATTTATAATAAGTATAGAAAGAAGATACTCTTAAGATTACATTCTTTGTATTATTATATATAAATTTAGTAATCAGAAGATGTTTAAGTCAATTATTCTGATAATATAAATAGAATACTTAAAGATGCTGTTTTAGTATCTGATTCTGATGTTCAGTCTGATTATCAGTCTGTGAATGAAATACAGTACTGAGAAGATATCTTATTATAAGATAATAGTAAAAAGCTGATCAGTATTTACTGATGAAGAGAAATTCTTAATCTGTTATCAATGATTTCAGAGCACTGTGATTATAAATAATGATATCTAAAAACAGATCAGTCAATTTAGAGGCTTTAATCTTTTTATAAGTAGAGATATATCTGATTATCTTCATGAAGTGATTAATAATGATTAAAATTAAGTCATATTCTTTGACTCTTATTGACTTTGACAGATTAACTATGAAATTCATCAATAGATTCTGTCATAAGCTCTTTGAAACAGACAGTGATATCAACTCACTATATTACTTATATTACAGAATCTTTATTCTTTGACAGATATTATAAGTTTTAATATACTCTTTGACATCTGCTCAGAGCTTATCTTAAATATATTTATATTTTAAAAGCTTCTCAGTCTTCTCTAACCTGAAGTGCTCTGCATGAAGATTATTATAATAAATTCTCAATAACTTTTAACACACTGCTCTGCTATGAGAAATAAAGACTGAATTATTCAGTAGTAGAAGTTCACATTCTTCTAGTTATCAGTGACTTGATTTCTTAGCAGTACTGTCTCACTCAGAGTCTGTCTCTTTCAAGTTTAAACTGAATTCTTTCTTCTTCAACTTCTGAATTCAAGCTGCAGTAGAGATGTCTAGACTGACCGCCAGAATCATGAATTTCACGTTTGGTCTCATTTGATCTGGT